AGGCCCCGTAAAATAGAAACTTTATAAAAATTTTGGCACAGTTTCCCTCATATGAAGAAGTCATTTGTCAAGTTAAATCAAAACATTCACAAGTGTTATCAGCAAAAATGATGAGGTAAGGAACTCCAAAGTCCATCCCTTCATTAAAGCAAAGGAAAAAAAAAAAAAAAAAAAAAAAACACCTGGCAAAACTGTCATAGTCAACCTGCTTGGAACTTGGAAAACTAAACCTTGCAGCAACCAGAAGGGCATTTAATCAAGTAAAACCAAGGCTTTGTGGTATCCTCACTAACCCTAAGACTAGCCCTATCCAATGCAGTACAGCCCAGTGGGAGTCTCAAAAATAAGAGCTTGTGTTTCCAGCACCTATACCAGAAGGAGCAGAACAGGTTTCATTCTCAAAGAATTGCAATTATTTGTTTTGACCTGTCTGGTAGTTCCCTGGAAAATGGGTTAAAAAACAAACAAACAAACAAACAACAAAAAACAACACTTGCTCAGTCTTGTCTACCTCAGAATTCAACCAGCGCTAAAGGGACCATATTGAAAATATTTTTAGGCATATGTAGTGGCTGTTGCCCAAGGCAATGACTAACAGTTAGACCAAGCAATAGACTAACCAACAGCACTGGAGGAAAGGCTGGGGAATAAGAGCTTAAAAAGCTCTGATTTGTGCCTGGGGATCAAGAAGTCCACACACATGCCATGTTCACACTAAAGAAAGACCTGAAAAGGCTCAAGTTTCTTAAGTCAGGGTAATCTGAAGGTTCTGCAGAAGTGAGATGTGAGGCAAAGGAGAGGTGTTCCCAAACACACAACCCAGATGCCGCTGCAAAAACTGGACAAGTGTTTAAGGAAATCTCTGCAGCGATTTGCTGATGGCTATACTAATGGAAATACACAGCAAGCACATAACCATTCATTCTGTGAGATGATTCATGTAATGAAGGCTACACAATACAAATGTAGACTTAAAAAATTAGATCAGAATTTAAAAATTAGTTTACATTAAAATTAGTATTTTTTAATAAAGATGAAATAAATGACAACAAAATAAAAAAGCAAAAGTATAAGAAAAGACACTCCATGCAAACTATGACCAAACGAAAAATTTCCAAATATCAGAAAAATATACTTGAAGACAAAAATTGATGAGAAAAATATAATAATAAAAGACCAATTTATCAAGAAGATAAAGCAATTATAAATATATGTAAGCTTAACGGCAGAGTTCCAAAATACATGAAACACAAACTGACAGAACTGAAAGAAGACATAAGCAAAATACAACAATAATAGTTGGAGACTTCAATACCCTGCTCTTAATAATGGAATTAAAACCCAGACAGTCCAAAGGAGACAGAAAATGTGAAAAACAATATGAACCAAATAGAACTAACACATCTATATAAAATACTCCACTACACATGGGCAAACTATACGTTCTCCTCTGGGGTACCTAAACCATTCTCCAGGACAGACACAAGTCTCAAATTTTAAAAGATTAAGATAATACAAGCATGATCTCCAACCATAATAGCTTGAAATCAGAAATCAGTAAGACAAGGAAACTTGGAAAACTTACCCTCGATACACACTTTGCTCTATTTTGCTAAATTTGTAGGCTAAACATTGTTCTAGAGGTCTACACAGGCAATTAAGAAAGAAAAAGAAATAAGTGACTCCAAATTGGAAAGAACAAAACTATATTTACAAAGACTTCATCTTCTTTATGAGCAAGATACATCAATTGTATTTCTAAAACATTAGCAATGAATAATTTAAAATGAAATTAAAACAATTTTGTTTACAATAGCATGAAAAAGAATAAAATAGGAATAAACTTAACAAAAGAAGTCAAAGATTTATACTTAGTAAACTGCAAAATACTGTTGAAAAAATTTTTTTAAATCAGCAGTTATCTTTTTTCTTTTTTTTTAAGATTTATTTTTATTTATTTATACAAGCACTGGGTACAGTCAGAAGCGCGGGAGGGTGAGAGAATTCACCAGAGCCAGAGCGGGGAGCAGAACAGGCAGAAGGACCGAAGTACACTGCTGAGGGGAGCAGCGGGCGGCAGGTGAGGTCTGCGCACCATGTGGAACCCTCCTCCGGTGGCCGGGGAGCAGCCGGGGATCGCACTGGCGCTGCAGAGGCTGCGGGCAGCTTCGCAGCCCAGCGCTCAACCGCTGCGCCACCAGGGAGGCCCAATACTGTTGAAATTTTAAGGCCTAAATAAATGGAAAGATATCCTATGTTCAGGTACCAGAGGACTTAGTGTTAAAATGGCAATAATCCTCAAATTAATCAACCAATTTAAAACAAACCCTTTTAAAATGCCATTTGGGTGTTTTGTTTTGTTTTTTTCAGAAATTGACAAACTGATCTTAAAATTCATATGGAAATTCAAGGGGTCTACAATAACCAAAACATTCTTGAAAAAGAACAAACTACAAAAATTCATGCTTCCAAATGTAAAACTCACAATAAAGCTAGAGTATACAAGACAAGGTAATAGACATAGGACATAAAGCCCAATGAACAGAATTGAGAGTCCAGAAATAAATCCACATCAGTTGAGTTTTCAAGGTTGCCAAGATCATTTAATGGTGCAAAGAACAGTCTTTTCATCAAATGGTATTGAGGAAACTGGATAACCGTATGAAATTTGACACCTCACTTAATATACAAAAATTAACTTAAGGCTCAAAGAACTAAATGTAAGAACTAAAGCTAGGAAAGGCAGATGTACATCTGCATGAACCTGGAGTAGGCGAGAGATTTTAAGACATGACACCAAAAGCATACATAGTCAGAGACTGACTTTATACAAATTTATAACTTTTATGCTTCGGAGGATACTATCAGGAAGGTGAAAAGACAACCCACAGAATGGGAGAAAATACTGCAAATCAAATATGTCATAAGAATCTAGTATTCAGAATATATTAAAATACTGTTGAACCTCCACCACCAGGAGACAGTCATTATTTTTAAATGGGCAAAGGATCTGTCTGAATAGACATTTCGCCAAAGAAGAAACACAGTCAATAAACACTCGAAAAGATGTTTAGTTACCAAGGCTATGTAAATCAAAAACATAATGTGGTTCCACTTCATGCCCCCTAGGATGGCTATAATTTAAAATAAAAGGTGGGGAGGAGTAGAACCCTCCTACTTTGCTGGTGGGAATGTAAAAAGATGCAAGACACTGTGGACAGATTGGTAGTTCTTCAAAAAGCTAAACAAGGGGCCTCCTTGGTGGCGCAAGGGGTAAAGACGCAACCTATGAAGCTCACCGGCAGCCACTAACAGCACAAGTTTGATCCCCGACCAGGGAGGTAACCCACATGGCACAGCAGATCTCTCCTAACTCACCCACTGCTCCCCTCAGCAGTGTATTTCAGTAGATCTGCCTGTTCTGTTTCCCACTCTGTCTCTGGTGAATCCTCTCACCCCACAAAACTCTGGCCTGTACCCTGGTTCTTGTATGTATAAATAAATAAATCTTTAAAAACAAAACCAAAAAGTTAAACAGAGTTACCATATGACTCAAGAATTCTAGACACATACTGAAGAGAACTAAAAATACACTTTCACACAAAAACTTGTTCATGACTGTTCACAGCAGCATTATTCTTAACAGGGAAAGCCTGGAAACCAACCCAAATGTCTGTCAATTGATGGATAAACAAACTGTGATACAGCCATACAACAGAATACTATCCAGCCATAAAAAAGAATGAAGTAGATATATGGTACCCAGTGGATGAGTTTCAAAAGTATTATGCTAAAAGAAGCCAGAAACTAAAGGTCAAATATCTGTGATTTCACCTATATGAAATGTCTCCATAAAGACAGAAAGCAGATTAGTCGCTAGGGACTGGGAATAGGGGAGATTGGGGAATGACTACCTAATGGTTACAGGGTTTCTTTGAGGATGATAAAAACGTTCCAGCATTAGATGGTGGTGATTGCTACACAATCCTGTGCATACACTGGAACCCACTAAACTGAAATTTAGTATGGCTAAAAAGTTGAATTTTCCATTATATGAATTTTATCACAAATATAAGTAGGTAGGTAGACACATAAAACATCGTTTTACTGAAAATTACATTACTATTGAGTGGTAAAGTCATTCCATTATAATCTGAAATAATGTGGATGTGTCAAACTTTGAAAAGTATAGTTCCAAACTTCTAAATCTTCACAATACATATATACGGACACCAGTTCATGTTATGTTTACAATTTACATTAGGAACTTAAGACAGCAATTAAGTTGTTTTGATTACCATTATATAAAATGAGCCAATCAACGAATGCTGAAACAATATGAACAAATTACCTCCCAAACCCTATAAATAAGATATAGAACCTTTCCAGTGAAACTTGACGTTTTAATCAGCAGCTGATTTGCAAAACATGTGAATAATTATTTCTGAAGCCTTTACAAATCATTTAGGAATTGCCAAAATAAAGCTGTCAAAATTTATTTTTCATGTATCAAAACAGGAAATGTTTATCCTGTTTTAAGAAGAAATCTGTGGTGGAAAATGACCACAACCAGCCCTACACATTCTCATCTGTAATTGCCACTAGCTTTGATTGAAAAATGTAGACAATATTTTTAGATCCACACCAAATGGCACTCTTTTGGAAGTTTTAATAACCTGGAATTACTTAAAGGTCTAGGAAGATGTTCTTTGGAAATACCTATGTATTTTAAGATGAAAATTCAGTTTACCTTAAAATGTTTAGTGGGCTGAGTCAATTTGTTAAATAGCTGCAAGTTCTGATGGCCTTAGAGGACAACTGTGTATCAAGTGCCTCTGGCTAAGAAAGCACCAGGAGAGACAGGAGAGTGCACGTGGACCTGGTCACTGGCTGAGAAAGCCAACAACTTAGGAAGGCCCAATTAACTCAAGTCCGTAAACAGTGATATTTTCCACAATCAATGCATCCCGAAAGGAAAGAAGAAAAAGAAAGACGGTTACCTCTTCTAAGCTAGGGAGCGAAGAAGAAGACACTGTTCGAGATGACAATGGGTGAAATGGCTCTTGACCAATAGCATGTGGATGATTCTGGATTTGTACAAAAGGGTTCTGCGGTGGCCTGTGCGGCAACGGAGGTAGGCCATAGGGAAAACCCGGCCCCATCAGGTGATTCTGCTGCAAGTTAGCAAAAGTCCATGCTCCATCAGGTGCCAGGTATTTCAAGGGAGGAGGGGCAAGGTGTTCGGATGGCAACGAGAAAGGCGAGTTGAATATCTGGGGCGGTAGGCGCTGCGGATATGCTGGGTTGCTGGCTACTTCAACGTCTCTGCTGCTGTCGTTAAAGTTAGGAAAGTGGCTACCGTGGTCAGCACTGGACGGGGGGGAGGGGACTGCTGGTGGGCTCCTAGTCTGAATTTGTCTGTATTGCAAGAGTCTTGATTGAGGTGGTGGCATTTCGGCAAGCTCCCGTGTTTCACTTTGATCACGATTAGACAGCTCTCTGATTAAGTCTTGAAGCCTACACAAAGATGATGAAACATGAGGGGGAGAAAACAAATGAAAAGCTCTATCACATTAAGGAGCACGTGTCATTTCTACAAAGAAAATCCTAGCAATTAGAAAAAACATTACTTCATCTCAAAAGTAAGCATTAAAATCAACAGATGACATGAGGTATCTCCAATTGCCAATTCCTCTCCCTTGGTCTTGGAAACGGCTGTCCGTGCTGCCACCTTCTTCTGATACGTGTCAGTTGTACAAGGTACCCATGATGGTCGCCTTGTTCAGAGGGACTAGGAAACACTTCACTGCAGTCACATGACACTGGCCATAAAAACAAATTTAAGTCGGGACTGAACACTGTAACTAAAGGAAGGTGGAATTCAGTACTCCTGGGGGAGAATTAATGACAGATTTACAATTTTGGACTTTGAATCACTAAATTACTTCTGTTCTTATTCACTCTTTATAAACTTATAAAGTTTAAACTTATAAATTCATTCTTTATAGTACTGAATATGGGGGGGGGAACCCACTATTGGGTATATTACGTTTCTCTCTTTTTTAAAAAAAAAAAGATTTATTTATGCATACAAGAACTGGGTTGTAGGCCAGAGTTGTGGGGAATGAGAGACAGAGTGGGGAACAGAACAGGCAGACTGAAATACACTGCTGAGGGGAGCAGCAGGCGAGACAGGAGAGTTCTAGCGCACCATGTGGGTAGCTCTCTGGCCAGGATCAAACTCATATCATGGTGGCTTGGTAGTGCTGAGATTTTAACCCCTGTAACACAAGGGAGGCCCCATGTTTCTCTTTTAAAAGAGACTCGAGAGCCATGGATTGTGCACACCTAGACTGGCACGAATTACTTCTAATGGACTCTGTATTTCAGAGTCAGTCAACAGGTAGCAAGTGCCTAGAAGGCCAGCCAGCATCTGACTCCTTTGGGACAATATTCCAACTTGAGGCTGAAAGGACAATATTCACAAAAGAAAACGGTGAGGGCTCATGTTTTGGAGGCTGTGCTTAGTCCACTGAAATACCTTGAGTCTGCTGCTTCTGCTTCCTCTTCAGCGCTGTTGGGAAGCTTCCAGTCTGCCCTCAGGGGTGGCTGATGTAACCCGAGGGGCGGCTGAGGAAGGTGTTGGAGGTGAGGGTGGGGGTGATGATGGTGCGGGTACGGAATACTGCCCTGACTGAGATAGGCGTGGTGCTCACTCCACTGCTGTAGCCGCACCTGCTGCTGCCTCAGCGTCTCCAGAGCGACGCTCCCATGCATACGATCTGCAAGGACATTGTTGAAGAGTAGGTTGTCATGTGTTCGGCGGTTCAAGCTAAATTTGTCAAGAGTTTTTACAACCAGACCTTCTCCACAAAGGCCAAAAGTGGCTACCAATTCACTTCAGGAAAAGGTCAAAGTTTTCTAAATTTGCCAGAAACCAGAGTTATGGCAAGGAGGTTGACTCTTCCTTACAACATAATGAAACAACCTGGTATCAACTGGAGGCTTAACATTATATAGCATTTGGAATCAGACTCTAATTATTAGACAGGCTGATTTCTGCTGGCATTATTTGAATGAATCAATCCTGACCCAAATTCATATTATAAAGTACATCTGACTTTAAGTAAATAATTTCTGTATTTATCATCTGCAGCAGTGACAGGAGAACTTACCTAATGTCTCCCCTATGGGCAATCCTGGGGGGTTCTCATCAGTGAAGTTACTCAGGTGTGACGGAAGAACGGGGCCGGGCTGTGCAATGGCTCGCAGGGGACTGTGGCCTTCTTGCAGCATGGGAGGGGGCTGCTCGGGAAGCACAGCCTCTGCAGGAGGAGACTGTGGCCGATGAGAAACTGCATTATTAAAAAAAGCGCCGTTGGGACCCGCCTGATAGGCAGGAGAAAGTTGAGGAGGCGGCTGCTGAGTCAGCTGACTCAACTGATTCTGCTGCTGGACTACCTGATTTGGTTGAGGTGGCATTTGATTTGGTTGTTCAGGTAAATTATTCTGCTGCTGATTTAACAAGGCATGCTGCTGTGGAATTGGAAATGGTGGTCTGGGTAACTGGGGGAGGGGGTGAAAATGACGACTGGGGATTGCATACTGTGCATGGGGAGCAGGAAGAGGAAGATTTATGTGTCTTGGATTGAGATTATCTTTGCGATGAAATTTGGTATTAGGATAAACAACACCAGGGCGTGATTCAGGACTTCTGTTCTGTGGATTTGATTCCAAATCAATCTAGAAAAAAATAAGAAGCATTTAAACTGCAGAAGATCAAGTCCAGTGGCTCTCTACCTTTCCCATGATAACACATCGAAAGGAGATGATACATTCTGAGGATAGCAGGAATGCTGGGTGCCAAATCAATCACTTTCTGACAATCAAATAAGGGAATTAATACTTTTTAAATTAGGAAAAAATTAAACAGTAAAAGCAGCATATTAAATTTGAGTCATAAAAAGACTGCCATTTTATTATACAGTCACTTTAAATTCCTTTGAAAACATTTTTAATTTCACACTTTCTTCCTTGGAAAAATAACCATTTATCTCCTTTTGATATAAATCATTAAAATGTCTTTTTTCCTTCTGATTTTATTGTTTTTACATATCTCTTTCCTCAAACATATCTATATTAATTAAAAAAAACTTGTTTCAATTTAAACAACTCTGAAGTGAACAAATAATAGTTTGCTAAGCCCTGGCTTAGAGCTCGGTAAGGGATAACAACATTGAAACATATCATCAAAAGTGCGGTAAAAGGATGTACAATGAGATCCTCGTGCCTGAGAAAATGAAAGGTAATTCACAGAGGCTCTATAATTCAAGCCGAAACTTCCAGGGAGAGAGGGACTGTCTAAAGAAAAGTAATAGTTTATCCAAGATGAAGAGAAGAGAAAAAATGTGGTGAATTTGAGGAGCCTGGGCAGTGGTGTGTACACAGAGATGTAACTTTACTTGTTTATATGTTCATCTCCCCCTTCTTTACATCAGATGAAACTGCAAGAGCCCAATCACACAAAAGTATGAATGACTCAACAAAGAATATAAACATTTCTTTAAACCGTAAACTGCAGTACGTTACCCAAAGTCTGTAAGCTAGAATGTACTGTCACTCTTCTGACACACGTTTGATCCTAAGTGGCAACAATGTGAAAAATGAAAAATAAGATGGTAAGAGGCAATTGTTCTTTACCAGCTCTGTCTAACACTCAATGAGCCATTCCAGCACATCAATCTCCTTACAAGTTTTAGTGTTAAAACAGTCACTGCGAACTCAGGGTTCTTGCCTCACCAAAGGCTCTCAAGTTAGACATGAAGCTGACCACTCCCAAAACCAGCACAAGCAGCTTGTTCCTGAATTGAAGCTGGGGTACATGGGATGATGTATTTGCACTGTGCAAGTACTGATGTTATGTGCCAGTCATGTCCCAAGTGCATGCTCACCTCTAATCATTGGCTCAAATGAACTGTCATGAAATTTGGCCAAGAAGGCCTGTAAGATTACTGGATGTATACAACTGTCCAGAAAAGTAAGAATTGACAATCCTGTCACAGTCTTTATAAGTAGCTACAATGCCTGCTCCACCTGATTAAAGTTTTTTATAAACAAACATTTTCCATCTTTTAAATGACATTCATATGGGATATACTTTTTCTAAGAAGACACTATGGATAGTCACACTCTGATCTAATGAGGGAGATCACCACCAGATGTCAAGGTTACCTTGGATAAGCTACTGTTTTAATTCCCTCCTTCACTTCTAGCTTAGACATGGACAGGAAGTTAGGTCAGTGTGAAATTTAGATCAAGACTGTGCTATGCTACAATAGTGCAATGGGCTACACAGGACAGGGGACAGTATATGATCTAAAGAAATCTGAGTCTGCTATTATCAAAATTAGATTATCATCTGTAACTGTCCTCTTCATACTGAGGCACTGAATCAAAGAGAGCTAGGAATTCCTCACTGCCCGCCCCCGCCCTGCCATGTTCCCATTCCAGGTCCCAGGACAAAGCATCAGGATGGGAAAGAAAAGGAAACATGTCTACCAGGTTGCCTATTTCCCTAACAGAGAAGGATCACAACGGGTATTTAAAAACAAGGAAACACTTTTGGTTATCTTTGCTTTAATTGTCTTGGCACTACCTAAGACAAGGTAGTACCTTGTAGTCAGTTTTGTTCCTAATTGCCTCTGGCTACAACTGCTGCTGATACTACTGTTACACCATCCGAACATGTCTGTCTCTCTCTGAACCCCCTTCCTGAATACACAGGACTCCTACTTTCACTGAACCACCCCTCTTTCTTCAGCAGAAGGTTCTCCCGGGCTGCTTCATTCACACTGCTGCTTCTCTAGCGGGAACTGAATCCACCCAGTTGTAGAAACTGAACCAAAGAGCCTTATGGGACACTAGTAACTGAATATAGAGAACAGCTATTTAAAGCAAAGCTGAGGGTGGAGATACAGATCCATATCTGTATTATCAGAGTGGTCATTTAAAAACCTGGAATTGGATTAGTTTAACAATAAGAAAGCAGAGAATACAAAAAGAGGAGGGAAAACCTCCATTCAAGGATGAGGGACAAATGGAAAAGGGGTAGACAGGAACTTATAAAAAAGACAGAAGATTATGTTAAAGAGAATTATGAAAAGTATACATGTGATGTCAAAGAAACATGTAGAAAATGCCCACTACCAGAGCAAAGTCAATAAGGCTATGATTAAAGTGTGTTCATAAGATTTGCTCACTTGGAGCTCAACAGATTCAGTGAAATGTTGAGGTCTAGTACCAGACCGCATGGGTTTCCTACACAGGAGATGAGACAGAAAGGAGAAATTAGGCAATGACTAAGAGGTTAAGGTCAAAAAAAAGTGTCCCTTTAAAAAACCATCTATCCATTAACTTATTTACAGGCTGAGGAGAAAGAGCCAATAGCTGGAAAAGCACCTACAGATAGATGAGGAGCCAGAGTAAGGTGTGTGAGATGACAGGAGGAGGAGTGATGTGTAGGGTGGGAGCTCTAAGATTGGTGATAAGGAAGTGAGGATGTCCAAGGATATAGAAGAAACACTGAGACTAAGGTTTTAAATTAACAGGGTGAAATCTTGATAATGAAAGGTTTTTTTTTTTATTTATTTATTCATACAAGAGCTGGGGTGCAGGACAGAGATGTGGGGGTGAGAGGATTCACCAGAGACAGAGTGGGGAGCAAAATACACTGCTGAGGGGAGCAGCAGGCAAGGCAGGAGAGGTCTGCTGCACCATGTGGGTCAGCTCCCTGGCCGGGGATGGAACTCCTACTGCAGTAGCTGTGGATAGCTTCACAGTGCTGTGCTTAACCCCTCGCGCCACCAGGGAGGCCCCTGATAATGTAAGTTAAAGGCAAAGTCACGTCCTGCAAACAGGCTAACAGAAGGCAGAAGGGAATCAGGATGAGGAGAACTGCTAAGAAAACTGAGCAAAGAGATTTAGGCACATGTAAAAGAAATGCATGGTTCCCTCAGATTAAGAAAAAATGAATTTCTAGGGGCACTAATTCAAGTGTGATTTCATTTTCTCTAAGTGGTTTGCAAGCACAGAAACAGAGAAAGGAGACAAATGGACAGATAGAGAGTGAAGGATTTATACAGTGGGTATGATGACAGAACCAGGGGAAGGACTTAAGAAAGCTTCCTTCCTCTAAGGAATTCTCCCTTCTCTAAAACAGCTCTCTTCGTTATGAGAAAATTTTCAATGACACATCTGTAACTGTGTCTTCATCTACTACTTTATCAGGAAAAGTCTCTAAGTTTAAGTCTATCACTGAATAACGCAATTTGAGAAACATTACTGATAAATTAAGTAATACAGCCAAAGAAAAGATGCAGGGAGAGAGGGCAACATGACCGACCACATTCTTGTAATACAATAAACATAACAGATATACATAAAAAGGCATACATTTTTCTTTAAAACATCAAGATTGTAAGGTTATCGATTAGGCTATATCTAGTAGAAGAATATTTAGACTAACTCTAAATAGAAGCAGCATACCTGTTTTGATTCTATAGGCTTTTTCTCTGGTGTCCGAATCTTATTAATTTCAGGTCCAGGGTTACTTGCATCACTTTTACCTAAGAAAATATTTTAAAATTCTTATAAATTGTCTCCAGTAGATGCTACATTTCCAATAACTATCAATACAACATTAGACAAAGCAGAATATTTTAAACATTTTTCACTCATTACTATCATTTTATATTTCTGTGTGAGTTTAGTTCTTAAACTTTCAGAACTACGATTTTCTCCCTAAGAAGGAAAATTTTTAAATGAAGCAAAACTCATTCAAAAGGCAAAAGTTTAAAAGGTGAATAAGTCTAAAACATCAAATAGTCCCAAAGATAACTACCCAAGTCCCAGGAATTTACAGCCTCATTTGTTTTTAACTAAATATTAAAAAAAAAAAAAAAAAAAAAAAAAAAAACCTTGGCATTCTTGCCAATTCATAAATGCTTGATGCTTTGGTCATTTACAAGTAAGCAAAAATTTATATTAGGTGTCAATCCAATTTAGTAAAGGAATCGAAACTGAAAAACAAGGTACTCTGAAAGGAATGATGTTACACTTTAAAAAAAAATAGATATAGAAATAAATATAAGTGGATGATAAACAGAGAAAGCAAACTTTCTTTAAAGTTTATTTAAAACTTTATTTAAAGTCCAAAAAAACCACAACTGCAAGACTTATAAAATGCCATTTTACAGATATGAAGGGCTTTTAACCTATTACAGTATTACAGTTAACTGCTAGATATTTAAAATTCCTTGAAAGAATCCTTGATTTGGGTTCACTTCAAAAAGATTCTTTTAGAAATTCCACTGGAACTTTCTAAAATCAATTATCATGCCAGAAGAGCCTCAACACTAAACTTCCAGAAAACTACAACGTCTGAGATGAAAAGTATACTGCTTAGAAGTAGCAGTAGATCAAATACTATAAGGAAAAACACAGTGAATGTAGTGAAGATATGGCAATAGAAACTACACAAAATGAAGCACAAAAAGGTATTTTTAAAACATGGAAAGAGAAAGTGTGAACTGTGGGAAAAGTATAGGCAACCTAATATGTTTTCTGAAGAAATAAAGGGTAAAAATTCCCAAACTTGATGAAAGCTATAAACTCAGACCCAGAAACCTCAACAAACCACAAACACAGGAAGCATGAAGAAATCTATACCAAGAAATATCATAATCAAATTGCTAGAACTTGTACAAAAAGGGGGCACACTACCTATAGAAAAAACAAGAAAGATAACGATAGTATCAGATTTATCACTAGAAACAATGCAAGCAAGGAAATAATATAACATCATTAAAGCACTGAAAGATTGTAAACTGTCAAGCAAGAATTCTATACTCTGCAAAAATATCTTTTAACTATAGAGGTTTATAAAGAATTTTTTTTAATGCTGAAAGAATTTATCACCAGCAGATATGCACCACAAAGAAAATTAAGTCCTTCAGGTAAAAGAAAAAGTTATCAGATGGAAACATGGATATAAGGAAAGAAATAATGATAACCAGAAAAATTAACTACATGGACAGATACAAAAGATTATTTTACTTAGTATTTAAAAATCCTTAAAAATAAGCTTAGCTGTTATGAGAAACAGCTAAGATGTCCATCAGTTGGTGGATAGACAGAAACACTGTGGTGGATCCACAGACTGGAATATCAGTTAACAATAAAAAGGAACAAACAGCTGACACAGACATCATGAATGAATCTCTAAAAGCATTTAGGTAAGTGCATGAAGCAGAATGAACAGTTAACAAAATAAACTGTTTCCACGTATATAACATACTTGAGTACAGAAATAAAGTACAGGGACACAAGTCAGGCTGCCCATGGCTGGGGTTGGAGGAGGAGACTGGGGGGGAAGAGGGGACTTTCTGAGGAAATACAATATCCTGTTATCCCGATGTTGTTGGTGCTTAACAACTTTATACATTTGTCAAAACACATCAAACTATACATCTAAAAAAGTGAATTTTAGTGCATATAAATTATACCCCAATGAACCTGATTTTCAGAAATAGAGTGGGTAATTTTTTCGTATTTATAGTTCTAGTAGAAAAGAAATTATGACTTGCATAAGAAATTACTTTGAGTCAACTATCACCACAGTAGCATTAATATTTAGTATGCCACCAAAATATTTTGGATCAATAAAATGCTAAACAGGAGACAATTCTGTCTCAACTTTAAATGATTACCATTTAAAATACTCTATTAACATTTAATATTTTTTTAGGTAACTGATACCAATCATAAGTGATGGGTTACATGGCAATTTTCTGTGTACATACTTGTATGTTCCGGAGGGAGGATGCATGGTTTTTATATGAGATTCTTTCTCAAAGATGTCTGTAATCCATAAAGGAGTTAATAATCATACTGTTAAAGGAAAGTTATATGTTGACACAACTTGGTTTATCACCAATTTAGGAAAATAAAGCAGCAAAGCAACTCACCATTTCTTTGTTCATGTTGATCCTTCTCCTGATGCTGGTTTTGTTGCTGCCCTATGCTGACAGGTGGGTGATGCCCAAGGCCATAAGGTATAGGAGACCCCCGTCCATGGGTCTGCAGGAGGTTCATATTGTAGGCCATCGCTGCCTGATGTGTGATTATTCGAGGATCAACTGCAAACCTACCCTGGTATCCTGTCCATGGTACCTAAGTCATCACAAGAAGTAAAATAATTGCACTAAGTACACTTTGGAAGGAATAGTGCTTTGATTAGAAAAAGCAAACACAAAAGACAGATGTTAATTTTACCAAAATAATTAACTTTAAAGTTGATGCTAATAGTAATAATTGGTAGATTTACTGCTATGTCTTAATCAGCACAAAAACATCTCCCTGAATCTTTAGTGCATAAGTGAAGATGATCATTTTTCAGATTACAAAGAAATTGAAGACTTAAAATTGGTTATTCCTTGAGGCATTAAATGCTTTATACTCTTAAATCACTTACCCTCAAGATGAATATACATATCACAGATTACCATGGAAATTATCTTCTAAAATCAAAACTGTATAGTTATATTATTTAACAGACAGAACAAGAAAACAGAGGGAAAAGTTAAGGAAAAATGTTGCCTCTAGAATCTCAACTAAAAAACTTGGCATTCCAACTTTATATGAATAACCAAATTATTTCATATTCATTTATTGTAGGGAAAATTCAAACAAGTCATTATTTTAATTAATGTTTTTTGACTAATTCAACTCTTCCCATAAACCAAAGAAAATTTGTTTAGGTGTGTCTAAATATATAATTTCTGCTTAGTAATATAAAAGGAATAAATCCACTGACATCTAGGCTAGTGTCCTTACATTTTATTAAAATATAACTGTTAAATGCAGACTCATAGAAATCTTATATAATACAAGCCTCTTTGACCTAGTAAAATGAAATACAAATCCTAAGGGACTTACTATTTAAAGCAGATGATGTATAATGTTGCCAGGCTATCTTGGAAGAAATAACTCGGCTAAAACTGAAAGTCTATGAGAGTGGACAAGAATTACATATTTTTTACTGAGAGTTATTCCCAAGGATTGCTGTGATTATGAATTATTACAACCCATATGGCAGAGGAATGTTTGCATCTGGGCATTTTTCCATTTGGGGTGTAGGAACAGGTGTAAAAGATCCTTTCAGGTAATGATCACCTCTGCCTGAAATTACAATACTTACCCTAAATGAAAGAAATATTATCTAAGCTAAAATTTCTGAATTCAGAAATACCAGTATATCATCAAATTAACAGTCACCAAAATATTCAAAAATCTTTAAGGAAATAAGATGGACTTTAGACAAGACAGCAGTCCTATAAAATCTACAGTCTTAGAAAGGATTTAATAATTTTTTTTTAAGATTAATTTCTTATTCATACAATAGCTGGGGTATAGGCCAGAGGTGCGGGAGGGCGAGAGGATTTACCAGAGACAGAGCAGGGAGCAGAACAGGCAGACAGACCGAAAGCACTACTGAGGGGAGCAGTGGGCGCGACAGTAGAGGTCTGCCACGTCATGTGGGAATCTCCCTGGCCAGCCAGGAATTGAACTGGTGCTGCAGACGCTGTGGACAGCTTCACAGCACTGCGCTCAACCCGCTGCGCCACCAGGAAGGCCCTGATAATATTTTTTAAGATTCCATAAGGTATGAAATTTAGATGCAAAGGAGCTAGACTAATCCAAGTCTCTTTGTCCCCTCTAAAGAACTAATTTCTTAGGAAGGATTAGTGAATTATACATGAACAAAACAGAAGATGAAATAAAGACATCATTTGAAAAACAAGAGACCAATTTACTAGCTCTGTTAATTTTAACATTTAGCCTAATTTTTTCCAGCAAAACCATGTTAGAAGAATAAAAAACCTTGTAAACCCAAACATCCAAGTTACAGATTTCTTCAGTTATTGACATTATAATAAATTATAAGCAAAAACATCACATATCTTTGGTCATTCCAAATTTTGAAAGTTAAAGATAAGAGTTGCTTAAAAGAAGATAATATGCACTAAAACATTTTAAAGAAAAAGAGAGGTGGTAGAACACTTTTTGGGATAGTCACAAATTTACAGGCGCCTACTTTATTTAATAGAAAGTATTTTCAAACCTCCACTTACAGGTAAAGGCACCGACATAACTACATTCCCTCCATAGACAGCAGGTACATAAAGAATACTTGTCCCAGTGTGAGGATCTATTCTTTGAACGGGGCTTGGAGATTTTCCCAAATTTGGGTGAGGTCCAAGAGGAGGCGGAGGAGTATATGCTCTAATAGGATTGCCAATAAGTACAGAAGGATTGGGCTGAACTGAAAAGTAAACAGAAAAAGGACGCAGTCAGCAGTCACACATATTCACCAGGACAAAAATACTTTAAATCATACAACAGCCAAATATATTTCCAGGCTTGCCATAAGAGATTTTATAATCAAAGAAATGTATGTGGAAGAGTAAAGCATATTAAAAAAGCAAACAAACTATTTTACAATACTCCCCTAAAATTAGCTTGATATATACAAAGGACCCTTTTTATAAACTAGCATAATTTTAAATGTGTTTCATGGAGCTGAAAATGTGTCCTTCGAGAAAGAAAACCACATACACCCATAACACTATCGGCGTTACTCTGCTAAAACTACAATTCTTCAGAATATAGTTTTGACTTGTGATGACACACAAAATGGAGTCAAGCAATTATTATTTTAAAAGCATAATTCTGTAACATTTTAAATCATAAACACATAACATAACATTTTAAATCTATTTATCAATTAAGTCTGAATGACCCAATACCTGTAGGGCATATTTTCCACAAAATTATGTTTTCCCCCAAAACTTCTTTCCCCTTGGTACCTATAAAATTACCTTTATAGAAATGATATATCAAAGCATTTAAAAGACCAGCTGTGTGGAATAAAAAAGATAAAGAGTTTCAGCATGTCCATAGATGTCACTTCTGCCACCTTCCTCTTTTAAATGATGAAATTTGAAGTGAATCTCTTGAATCATAAAACAAACTTTTATATGGCTAATTTTTCCACTTACCTAATCCATCATTCTGGAAATGATCATTCTGGGTATGATGGAGACTTTTCCCCTTTATAGAAAAAAAAATGTATAATTGAAACATGTTTAATATTAGACAGCAATAAACATTTTCTAATCCTATACAAACCAAATGGGTATAACAACAATGAATCTGTAATTAATAATCATTAAACTGTTTTTGAGTGAACATTCTTTTTAAACATTAAGTCATGGTGCTAGTCCTCAAGTTTTCTCAGCTTCAAATTCAGTATACCTAAAAATTTTTGGAAGAATTTTATTAAAAAAAAAAATGTGATCACATGATTGAAATCTAAATTCTATTTCTTTCTATCTTTATAAATTTCCTATGAATTAAATGACAAAATGTAAAAGGAAAAAATATCAGTCTTCAATGCTTAAAATAAGAATCTTTAAAACAATGACACAAATGTAAACATGGTTTGGGATTTGGGATATTTTGAGTACGAGTCACGGCATCTTACAAACAAAGTTTATTGATGGAAAAGAAAAAAAGACACTGTCATAATTTGATTAAGAAAATGCACATATTTTCTAGAAAGCTATTTGGCAATATATATCAAAAGCATAAAAAAATACATACATCTTTTAACTCAGTAATAGTACCTTCAGGATTTTATCCAAATAAAATAATAATGGATTTGGGCACAAATGCTCATTCCAGTCTAGTTTACATATGTGACAAAAGTGAACAAACTGAGTGTCCATCAATGGAAGATTTATTAACTAAGCAAAGGCAGATTCATCTAATGACTAGTCCACTATAAAAAATGATGACATTGGGCAGAAATAATACTTGAATAGACAACGGTTCTGAATTTCTTCACTATAGAGAAATTTCTCTTTCCACTGGCTAAATGTATCTCACATAGCCATTATACAATAACATGATATACTAGTACTTTATGTAACATACCCTATTTTGTTATTTGTACATTACATCTGAAAACCAAAGGGGAGCTCCTATCTATAATAGGAAGAGAAATTTGTTCTTGATCAAAGTAAATGTATAGAGGTGCCTGATAAAGCTATAGCTCCCATCTAACTGTCATCAACATTAAATATTCAGCTTGTAACATCAAAGGTTTATGGTCAGTGACTAGTGATATGTGAGCAAGGGTAGCTAAGCTGTAACTCTTAAAAAAATCAGAAAATATAGTCAAAATAGAATCATAATTGGCCCATTAACCAGAAGAGAATGTTCACAGTTCACAGTGGTAGGTATGGGCTATAAATTAAAACAAACAAACAAACAAACTTTTGAGGAATAGAGAAACGATAAGAAAAGCAGAACAAAAAAAAAAAAAAGAAAGAAATGGAGAAAAGGACAGATGGCAGAAGTAGGTGGAAAGATAAGAAGCAGATCCAATTAGAAGTACAACAAGAATAGCTGGTGGGGGGGGGGGTTGACTAAAACAGACATAAGGAAGAGCCAGTGACACAGACAGAAAATGAGACAGTTCTAGTTCCAAATGGTAACAAACCACTTAGATTTCTTAGCAACCCATCAACCAAGGGCAATTGTGTAGCATGCTGAGAAAACAGTGATTTAATCAGAGCAGGCAGGCAGAAAGGTCTCCAAAGACACCCCCACCCAAATGTCTGGAACCTATGACTATGGCAAAAAGGAATCTGCAGATGTAATTAGAGTTGTGGACTTAAAATAAGGAATTATCCTGGATTATCTGGGTAGACAATCTAACTTCATGAGCCCTAAAAGCAGAGACATTTCTCCAGTAGGAGTCAGAGAGATGTGGTTTTAAGAAATGTGGCAGAAGGAAGAGATTCCAGGGAGAAAGGATTCAATACACCACAGATGGCTCTGCGATGTAGGGTTTGCATGCAAGAACTGCGGAGAAGGGTCCAGAAGCTAACAATGGCTCCCAGCTGACATCCAGCAAGGAAGCCGTCCTACAAGCCACACTAGAAAGCAGATTCTGCCTGTGCTTACAAGCAGATTCTTCCCACAGTCTGTGCTAAGAGCCCAGTCAACGCCAACACCTTGATTCTGGCCTCATGAAATCTGGAGTTAATAAAGCAACCAAGGCATCCTGATCATAAAACCCAAAGAAATGTGATGTAATAAATTTGTGTTGCTTTTAATTCATTAAGTTTCTGCTAATTTGGTACAGCCTTCAGCAGTAATAGGAAACTAATACAGAGTGTCACTGCAGTCCAGGGTAATTGTTTACTATAAAGCGGAAGCTGGCCAGACAACAAACATTAGCACTCTGGGAACTATGTGGTATATACTAAATTAAAAAGCAACCTGGGACTTATCATGGAAAAACAATAGAAGCAAATCTACAAGCATAAATCAGCACTCTGTGCAGTTCAAAACAGGAAAAAATCCTGTAGTATATTTTACTTAGTATACAACTGTAGAGCAGTAAATGAACTTGTTCTATATAAAACAAAGAGAGAAAACATTAATAAATACAAATGAATTAGTAAATACAAATAAAATCCAAAATTAATAAATATGCTACAGATAACATAGAAATACAAAGAATCCTAAGAGATTACTATGACCTATATAATAAATTTAATAACCTTGAAGAAAAGGACAAATTCCTAGAATAATACTTTACCAAATTTAAACCAAGAAAAAACACAAGAGTTTGATAAACTGATCACAATTGTGGAAATTGAAATAGCATTCAAAAATCTCCCCTAAAACAAAAGCCCAGGGCCAGATGGTTATATAAACAAGTTCTATCAAACCTTTAAAAAAGAAATTGTGAACATCTTGCTTAACAATCTTCAATAAGATACTAGCAAACAGTTTTCTCCCCCCACAAAAAGTACAGCCAAAGAAAAGAAGGAAGGCTCTGCCCTTCCTAAAGCTGAAGCCAAACAAAAGCCAGAAAGCAGTGCTGAAGGGGTCTATACCACAAATAAAAAGATCCACACATCACCCACCTTCTGGTAGCCCAAGACACTCAGCTCCAATGGCAACCCAAATACACTCATAAAAGTGCCCCAAGAGAAATAAACTGGACCACTAAGCCATCATCAAGTTCAAGTGAGCTATAAAGAAGAAAGAAGACAGTAACACACTTGTGTTCATTGTAGAGGTCAAGGCCAATAAGCACCGGATCAAATAGCCTGGGAAGCAGCTCTATGACAATGAATCAGACCTGAGGGAGAGGAGAAGGCATATGTTCTATTGGATCCTGACTAAGATGCTTTGGATGTTGCCAACAAATTGGGATCATCTAAACTGAGTCCAGCTGGTTAATATATTTCTAAATATAAATTTTTTCACCATAAAAAAAGTAGCATACAGAATTCAACAATATAGTACAAGAATTATGCATCATAATCAAGTGGGATTTATCCCAGAGAAACAAGGATGATTTAATATATGCAAATAAATCAATGTAACATATTCACAAAAGATAAAAATCATACAATATCATACAATACATAAGTGCTGAGAGAGCATTTGATTTGATTCAGCACCCATTTATTTTTTAAAGATTTATTTTATTTATTTATGCATACAAGAACTGGGGTATAGGCCAGAGTTGCAGGGGGTGAGAGGTTTCACCAGAGTGGGGAGCAGAATAGTCAGATCTACTGAAATACACTGTTAAGGGGAGCAGCGGGCAAGACAGGAGAGGTCTGCTGCGCCATGTGGGTTAGCTCCCTTGCCGGGAATCGAACTCATGCCACAGTGGCTGGTGGCTGACAACTGATAGCACCGAGACTTTAACCCCTGCACCACCAGGGAGGCCCCTCAGCACCCATTTATGATAAAACACTAAACAAGGTTGAAGTGGAGGAAATCTCCTTCAACACAATAAAGGCCAAATATCACAAACTAAAGTCAATATAATACTTAAAGGTGAAAAACTGAAAGCTTTCCCTTTATGATCAGGAAGAAGACATGATGCCTACTATTGTCACTCTTCTTAATTTAGTATTAAGAGGTTTTAGCTAGAGAATCAGAGAACAGGAAGTAAAAGGAATCCAGGCTGGAAAAGGAAAAGTGCAATGATCATTATTCTCAAATGACACTTTTATAGAAAACCTTAAAGACTCCAACAAGAAGCTATTAGAATCAATAAATGAACACAGCAAAGTGGCAGGTACAAAAATCAACAGACAAAAAATCTCGATGAGAAGAAAAATAAATTAAGAAAACAATTCCATTTACAATTTCTTCAAAAAGAACAAATACTTGGAAGTACCCTAACCAAAAAGGTGAAGGACTTATACAATTAAAACTATAAAATTTATTAACGTATTTAGATCAGACCACAGGATTTGGGAAGACTTTGCATACTCATAGTGGGGATAATCAATATAGTCAAAAGACTATTCCTCCTAAAGTGATACGTAAATTCAGCCCATACCCATCAAAATAACGATAGACTGCCTCAAAGAAATTAAAGGAAAAATATTCAAATTTATATGAAATCATAAAAGGCCTCATATAGCAAAAGCAATCCTGAGGAAAAAAGAGAGAAATGGAAGCATCAAGCCACCTGAGTTTAAACTACACAATAAAGCGACAGTAATTAATATGGTATTGGCATAAAAATAGACATGTGAGTCAACAGAGATCAAGAAGTCCAGAGACAAATCAATAGAACAGAAACAAAAGCCCAGAATTAAGTACATATCAATACTTAATTCGCGATAAAGGAGCCACAACCACTCTATGGGGAAGGGGAGTCTCTCTAACAAAGGATGTGGGTAAAACAGCAAGGCCACATGAAGCTGCATCACTCTAACTGCACAGACAAAAATAAATTCAGCATTTAAGACTTAGACATAAGACTGCAACAATAAAATACAGCAGGAAACATCAGTGACATGTTTCATGAAATAGATGTTTTTGGAGACATGACTGTTAACAGCAAGAGAAATACAAGTAAAAAGCAAACAACTGTGCTTACTGCAAATCAAAGAGTTTTTACACAGAAAAAGAAAATCTAAGATAAAAAAGACATGCCACTAAATAGAAGAAAATCTTTACACATTATAAAACCAACAAGAGGATAATATCCAAGATACACAAAAAACTTACACGAATTAAGAATTAAAAAACCAGTTAATAAACGGGCAGCAGATATGAACAGACAATTCACCAAAGAGGATATCCAGAGGCCAACAGACACATGAAAAAATGTTTAGCACCACCACTTTTAATAAGGAAGATGAAGGTTAAAGCCACAATGAGGTATCACAGAAAGACACATATTAAAAAGACCCGCAGGGAAAGTAGAACCCTGTTACAATGTTGGTGGGAATGTAAACTGGTACAGCCATTTTGGAAAGCAATCTGAATTTATCTTAAAAAACTGAAAATGGAAATACTGTAGGATCCAGTCATGCCACTCTTAGGCCTCTATCTGAAGAACTGAAAACCATTAACTTAAAAAAATGACATGTTCTACGATGTTTATCGCAGCATTATTCACGGTAGTCAGATGAAAACAACCTAAGTGGCCACTGGTAGAAGGATGGAACAAGATGTAGTACAGCCACACAGCCAATATTATTCAGCCATAAGGAAATATGAAATGTTGTCATTCACATCAAAATGGAAGGAGTTTGAGGGAATTATGTACAGTTAAGTAAGTAATAATGACAAAGATAGATACTGGACATTTACATAGTGGACAATTTGACAAAGCAAAAAACTTACAAGAACTAGTGGACACTAATAAACAAAGTGAAGTTTCCATAGTTAAGAGGGAGGGAGTGGAGAAAGAGTTAGAGGGGTAGGAGGAATGGCGGTGGGGAAAATATTTAAGTTCAATATAAAGGTGTGAAATGCAAAAGATAAAAGGACATTAAAGAATGAAAATAAATAAAGCAAAAGCAAACTGCAGGATCTTGTTTAGTCAATTATACATTTTGTTATCATGGCTTCCCACCTAGCTTCATCTATAGTACATGGATTGATGCTTACATTGCTCAATTATGTACACAAAAAATCATAATTACTGTATTTAAGAATGTGCAAAGGAGTGTGATGATTCTGCAACATTTTAAATAAGAGCAGTTATTTTTTAAATCTCTTCCTGTGTTCTCTACTCAGCACATATCCTAAAATACATGCTGTTCCCTGCAGATCCTGGTCTCTCATACCTCCTGTTTTTTTGGATAAATTTCCTTCTTAAGCTCAACTCATTCATCTAAAAAATATGTGTAAGCACCTATCATGAGCCAGACGTTGTTCTTGACAAAGGCTAGAGCAGTAAAAGATACAGGAATTGTAAGTTTTGACTTGTTTCCCAACCTTTCACTGTCTCCTTCCATCTCGTCAGGGAACTCCCAAATAAGATCTCTATAATGGAAACTGAAATCCACCTACTTCTTCTGACCATTGACCTTCCAGTGTCTGCCCTAAGAGGAGTTGGGGGTTAATCTTATCTCTGCTTCTCTGGCACTTACTACAATAGCTGGCACACAGCAGAAACTTTATCTGTTTGATAACTAAACTGATAATTAAATGATTAATAGTTTAAGTTGCAGAAATCTAGATTCATTTATGCAATGTGCTTAATTCCCCCAGTAGTTGCAAATCACTCAAGTATTATTGTACATTAAGTTCATTTTTATTAAGCTAAGAATATACAATTGTAAATTAAAACAAAAAGTAGTTCCCTCAGCTTATTACCAATTGAGCTAAAAGATTTTCAAAATAGTAAACCATTGGGCCTTCCTGGTGGCACAGGCAATTGAGCGCCGCACTGTGAAGCTGTCCTCAGCCTCTGTAGTGTGGGTTTGATCCTGGCTGGCAGGCGAGAATCCCACATGGCGCAGCAGACCTCTCCTGTCTTGCCCTCTGCTCCCCCCAGCAGTGTATTTCAGTCAGTCTGCCTGTTCTGTTCCCCGCTCTGTCTCTGGTGAATCCTCTCACCCTCCCACACATCTGGCCTGTACCCTGGTTCTTATATAAATAAATAAATCTTTTTTTAAAAAAAAAATTAAAAAAAATAGTAAACCATTAATTATTGCTTATACATTATGTTTACAATTTTAAAATGAAGTCCAGAACTGACATACTCTCTTAATTCATATCAGTAAGATTAATATTAAGTTGATGACTATGAATACATTAAAAAATAAACTCCATACTAAACATGCCATTCTCATAACTTTCTTTTCTAGGTACTAACTGCAACCATTTTTTTCAGGTACTCCAGCAAATAAACCAGCTGTCTTTGCCCAAAATAACTATGGTTCAAAAGTAGACATGGTCTTAACTTTCCAATCTCCACTCCTCTGACTGGGCTACTTCTTAAACAACAAATATAAATAGGTCAAAATGAAAGTAATTTTAAAGAATTCAGCCATCGAGTATTTTTGTCACTGTGTCAAATACTTGAAATGAATGGTGATCAACAAGAGATTAGAACTATTCTTCATACAAATAGTGTTATTTGCATAAATAAGCTAGAAGCGTATTACCTTATATATACCTAAGCATACTGAAAATAATATGCTACAAAAGCATGCTTTTAATAAGCATGATCATCTTTTAAGTTGCTTTGCTTTCTTCACATCTTGCTAGAACAAGTTTACAGCAAAGAGAACTGAGAGGTTAAATGTACGAAGGATACCAGAAGTACACAAGCACTTGAAAACTTTCTGAGGATGATGATGACATTAAGCACGTCACACCATATTTTCATTTACATGTCCAAACTAGACAAGTTCCTTGCAGAAAGTGCTTGCGGCCAAATGTAACCTTCACTTTCAATACTCAAAGTAACTTACAGCCCAATAAACCTTTGACACTTCTGTGCTGTTCTCTTCCTTTAACCTCTTCAATGTCATTAACAGGCTTTACCTTGGGAGGGGACTGCTGCAGTTTGCTGGTATTCCCTGAATGCTGCACTCTCAGAGCCCGGGGGATAAATTCAGGTGCCAGTGGATTCAACACATATGTCTTCTTTAGTTCTAAAGCCTCGAGCTGAGCTTTGATCTGCTCAAAAGTGATCCCATGTAGGCTATTATTTTCATGACACAAGGCAATAAACCGCTCCCAAAATTTCCTACAAAAAAAAAAAAAAAAATGAGATCAGATTACAATTTCAGTGGATGAGATCACAGAAATAAACATGAGCAACTAAAGATAATCTCAAATTTTCTCTCTCCACCCCAAAATCCTTAGGTCCAATAGTCATCTGACGATACTTCAAGGGTAATATTACTTTCAGGTTACAAGACTTCAGAAGTTTGATTCTGGAACTATAGTCATGTCTAATGTTGTGGGATATATTAATTATGCTCTCAATTAACTTTGGCTGATCACTGCAAGTAAACAAAGTCACACTTAGCTAAAATGATGATTTTTATCATCTATGTTAAGTATTTCAACACTGACAAGAACTCATTTTTTGTATCTGTAGTAGCACTGACATAAATGTACATATACGTGTGTATACACATACACATTATATAAGTACATATACATACATATGCATTTTTAGACATACACAAATATAACTTAATTAACTTGAGTTATAGGACCAAAGTAGCTTGGTGCTGGTAACTAAGAAAAGTCAACTCAGGAAAAAAATCTGAGCCACAAAGTAGACAACCCTCAGGCAGGTTCTTAAGAAATAACTAGCTACTCTTGGGCCTCCCCGGTGGCTCAGTGGTTGAGCACTGGTTTGCGAAGATGCCCACAGCCTCTGCCGTGCTGGTTTGATCCCCGGCCACTGGATGAGGGTCCCACATGGCGCGCAGATCTCTCCTGCCACCCCCACTGCTCCCCTCAGCAGTGTATTTCGTCAGTCTGCCTGTTCTGTTCTCCACTCTGGTGAGTTCTCTCACCCTCCCGCACTTCTGACTGTACCCAGTGCTTGTATAAATAAATAAATAAATCTTAAAAAAAAAAAAAAAAAAAAAGAACTAGCTACTTCTATATTTTTCTTTCATTTAACAGATGCTTGTCACAAACACAATTTTAACATTAACTAAGTTAAAAGAATTAAATGGATTATGGAAAATATAGGAAGTTGAAATGTTAATTTTCATGTTGATTATTCATTTCCTAATCAAATTAATACACATTAAAGGAGAAAAATACATTCAAAACTTGTTGCAGTTGTAGACTGTTGTTCTGAAAGATTTGAAAACTGATCTCCAAATATTAAAAATATGAAATACATATTACAACACACAACATATAACAAGTTTTTGCATTTTAAATTACAATTAAGATGCATACCTATCTTTAATGAGATTCAAATAATATGCTATAAAAGATATGATAGGGGCCTCCCAGGTGGCGCAGCGGTTGAGCACTGGGCAGTGAAGCTGCCTGCAGCCTCTGCAGCGCCAGTTCGATCCCTGGCCACTGGGCAAGGGTCCCACATGGCGCGCAGACCTCTCCTGCTGCGCCCGCTTCTCCCCTCGGCAGTGTACTTCGGTCCTTCTGCCTATTCTGCTCCCTGCTCTGGTGAATTCTCTCACCCTCCTGCACTTCTGACTGTACCCAGTGCTTGTATAAATAAATAAATCTTTAAAAAAAAAAAAAAAAGATACATGTTTTCTTCCCAAGTTGGTATTCTTGTGTCCAGGTGGACAGCAGGTAATCAAGATGGCTTCAAGAGGCATAAATGAAAAGGTTTATATTATAGAAGTTAGTATGTGAATGGGAATTGGGTTTTTAATATAAGTCACAAAACTGTGCAGTTTGATTTCCAACTATGTTTCTCTTAGATATGTCTTCTTCTATCTTTTCTAGCTTTTGAAAGATGAGTTTAAGAAATGCGTCAAGGAAAAAATTCAGGCCTATATGTCAACAGGAAAAATAAAAATGCTACAAAATATTAAATATGCATTTCTCACAAAAAGACATAAAGATAACAAGATGCAGGAAATGTGTGTTGCTAAGATAGGCACACTAAGAGCTGCCCTTTTTTTATTCTGAAGGAATCAAGTTTCTCTAATGGCCTGCTATCTAATGAAGGATTATCCTTAATCTAGTAGTTGGAATCTAAAACCCATAAACTTTTCTGCCCTTAGGATTAAAAAACCCGTAATATTCAACTGTATGCATTTTTATCAATACAATTCTAATACATACTGCATTAAAAGAAGTATATTTGTTTCTGATTGATAAAACACTAGTTTCATAGAGAAGTATTTCATATTTCTGTTAAACTTCAAAACAAAGCAAAACAAGGAGAGAACAGATTGGCTTTTACTCTAGTTCAGTTTTTAATATCAATTTCTTATATTTTTCTTTTCAGCTTACATAACCAAAATTCTAGAACTTGGTCCAATTTTAAGCTACTTTTTAAAAAATGCCCCACCCTGTTCAACTGCACTGAACAGGAGGTGAAGCAAAAGAGCTAAGCAAAACCATAAAGCAGTTTCACACCTCACAAATAGCTGGAAGCCTGGTTTTTGTCTAAAGATCTTGGGCATCTCAAAAAAATAAGCTAAAGGACACATTTTCAAAAGTAACACTTGAGTTCCCCAATACTTTAATGGACACTACGCAAGGTATCATGATGTGTATCTGAGCACAGAACCAGAAGATCACTTTGCAATTTCAACTGCACTCACACTGAGGACAAGAATTCACCATTATGATTAAAGGTTTCGCCAAATTCTCTGCCCCTTGTCCACAATGTTAACATGTTATTATGCTAACCACTTTCTCTAGTAATGTTGGTTATAGGACCCAAGTGTGCCTTTATATCGTAATACAAAAATTTCAAAGGACATAACCTCACATTTAATCACTGCATAACCACAATGCTTGAGTTTGTTTTTATCCTAATCTTTCTTCTAGGATCAGTGATGTAACACTGAAAAATCACTTGGTGTCTTTAGGTCATACAGAAAGTGTACACATACACACTATCTCTATGCATACATGAAATATGCTTAGGTCTTGATGAGTAAGCAAAATGTGCTAATGAAGAAATTCAGCTGATAGGAAGACCTTTTTCTCCAAACCCAGTAATTTAGAGAAATGTATATCTCCATTTCTCCTTATTCACTGCAGATTTATCCATGCATATTCATCACTTTCTGTATAAGCAAGTGAGAAGAGCTTGGGTTTTGAAGTCAATCTGACATCTGCTTGAGTGAACCACTTAATAGCTATGTGACCTTGAGCAATAATTTAAGCTCTCAGAATCAGGCTGAACATTTAAAATGCAAATAAAATACCCACATGGCAGGGTTGTTGAGAATGACAGAACAAGGCAAAGTGTGTGAAGTACTCACTCCAGCACCTGGCATGGAGAAAGCCGTCAATAAGCAGTAGCTACTATATTAATATTTGCTGGCTTAGTGGAGGGGTAAGTTCACTATATCCATTTTGGGTTAAAAAAAAATTCTGCTTAAAAATACAACAAAGAAGAATATGTAATAGATTGCCTTCTAAACTCATAGTATACTCATTAATTGTTCCTTAAAAATTTGATTGGTATTTGGAAATATCATACTAGTTTTTTATGAATATCAAATGGGGGGTGGAGAGGTCCCAATTAACTAAAACTACAAGCCAATCATCCCTCCAAGAGGAATATTATTACACCAAGAGTCATACATATCACATCTTCCAGTTTACTTATATTGTGAGATTAAATTAATCCCTAGTTTAACCAGAAATCAGAAAGATTAAAGCTTAAATATCCATATACCAACTATCTGCTTTTGTTTTAGAATCATGATTAAACTGCGCAAGTGAAATAATCAACATTCCCATCTAGCTGTGGGATCATATAATTTTTTCTCTTCCTACACATAAATTAACCTCCCCAAAAACAACTGCTTAGTTTACAAAGTAATTTGTAGTCCTTGACACACCCCAGGTGAGCAGTATGAAAAAAGCAACCTGGCTTCAAGTTAAAAATTAGGATAATTCTGATAGCATGACCTCAGGAAGAAGTGTTTACTTAGTTGCAATGCAAACCAAATACCAGGAAGCAATGATTTGTTGTCAGAGAAGAGGCAAAAAAAAGAAAAGCTGGTATCATGCAATTCACAGTGTTACATGACTTTACAGACAGGGGTACAGGTTTTAAAAATATATTCACTTTTGTTAAGTGTGTGGAGCTATTTACAAGGAGAGTCCAAAACTATTGTGGCTCAAGATTATTCTTAAACCTACTTGTCCCCAAACAATTTCTACTTGTTTTTATTACATGTTGTTCTAGTTATATATGCTTTGATGTATTAAATTCTAATAAAACTATGTGTTCTTCTTTCATTTCCCAAGTGATAAATATAAACAAAGATGGTAAATTCCACAGCAATGTTCTAAACAAACACATGATCAATGAATAGCAAAGTAACTGAAGTAAAATTCTCAGGAGCTAAGCCTAATTAATACACTTAGTTCTATTCATTTGTAATTTAGAATTAATATATCCCTTTCTCCAATTTTTTATCATTAGTGACTAAAATCAAGTGGCAATCTGTTTTTAAAATCCAAAAATAAAATTTACAGAACTGTTTAGCTTGTAGGTAAATGTTATGGACCCCTACAAGTTGCTTTTTTTAATGGGTTTTCCCACCCATAATGTAGTCATAATAAAAATTCTACTTGATTGCTTTGTTAATGGCTTTCCCCTATAAAGAATATTAATTTCTTTGGGGCCTCAAACTCGTGTAATACATGTAGCTTATTCTTAAGGTTCCTAATAATCTCCTTTTCATAGCATACCTTCTTCCCACTAAAATAGGAAAACCAACCAAAAAATGCTATCATATCTATGCTGCAACAAAAAATTTACTTTACGGAGGGCTACTGACTTACAGCTTTAGCTACTTTAATTCTAACATACCAAAAAGAAATAATTACCCTAGGCATATCTGGAACTGTCTGTATCTCTACTCTTCTGAATTCACTTTGCCAAGCACTAGGAGTCTCATAAAAATTTCAAGTAATCTCAACAGTATTTCTTTCTTTTTTCATAAAAGAATATTATAAATTTCTGTTCAACGGGTTTCTTTTGGTTAATGCTAAAATCGTTTCCAGTACTCCAAAGGTCAAATCTTATATTACTGGTTTCATATACTTAAGATTCCTTATTATTGCTATAAATCACACACATGAGTTTATAGATCAAAAAGTTTGTATATGTTGATATTTTAATGTTTTAGTGGAAACAGCTCCTCATGGCTACATCTAATGAAGAATGCAATCCAAATACCAGTAAAGGCCATTTCTAACTACACCCCTGAAATTTAAGATCCCCTGGATTAATGAAAAACAAAGAACTTTTTATGCTGAGATACTCTAAGAGAAAATGAGTAAAGAAAATTCATAAAAACTGAAGCTAAAGCAATAATGGGGGTAGGGGGAGTGAGAGTCTCCAGAGAAAATTGAGGCTCCATCAAAGATAAACACATACACAAACACCGCAGGACCCTTGCAATAAGGCTCTTCCTACTGCACCCAGATATTGCATAGCTCACTGGCTCACCTCCAAAGTCAGCTTCTCAGTGTGGCAATTCTGACCACAGCATCACAAACCCACCCACCTCACCCCACCACTCCTAATTTCTGTGAATGTTCTATTTCTTTTCAACTGAATTTATCCATGTAAAATATTACATAATAATTCCTAGTTTACTGTCATTCTTCCTCTCCTCCCCAATAAGATGTAAGCCCCACAAAGGCAAAGATTTCTGCCTATTTTGCTCACTGATGTATTTTCAGTGGCCAAAAGAGTGTTTAGAACATAGTAGGAACTCAGGAAGTAGCTGTTCAATGATGACTGAATGAACAAATATGCAAATATGTATAGAATGAATAGACTCAAAGCAATATATTTTTGTGTTCCCATGGGCTATCAGGTAAGGCTAAACCTGATTTTAATTAGCTAAGAAATCATATAGATAAATGCATACATAGCGATGCAAATTATTCTACATTTCCCCCTTTAATATCTCAATCAGTAATGCATAATTACCTGCATCTTCCAATAGAGCACAGAGCAATGGGATCACCCACCACAGCAACCAAGGATTGTGCTCTTGTAATGGCAGTATTGAGAAGCTTGTAGTTAGATAAAAAACCATAATCTAAATCCTCTGTGGAATCTTCCAGCAGTTGCTCTTTCTTTTTAATTGGTGTCTGTTTATGTTTACAAGTATGCCTTGTACGTACTGTGCTAAGAAACAAAACTCTGAATTGCTTTCCTATAAGAAAATGAAAAATAAATGACTTAAGATTGTTATTCTGAATCACTGATATAATAAAAGTATTTCATTTTTTTAATAATGTTATGGCTAAATAACAGATGTTGGTGAAGATGTGGAGAAATAAGAACCTTTGTGCATAATAAAAATGTACAACGTTGCAACCTCTAAAGAGTATGGAATTTCTTCAAAAAATTAAACATAGAATTAATATATGATCCAGCCTCCACTTCTGGGTATACACCCCAAAGAACTGAAAGCAGGAACTCAATCAGATATTTATATACTCATGTTCATAGCAACATTATTCACAATAGTCAAAAGGTAAAAGCAACCTAAGTGTCCAACAATCCAAGTATCCATCAACAAATGAACAGGGAAAACATGATATATACAGTTATGTGTAGCTTAACAATGCTTCAGTCGACAACAGACTGCATGTACAAGAGTGATCCCAACAGGCCATCTACCACATAGTCTAAGTGTGCTGTCAGTTATACCATTTGGCTGTGTAATGACACTCTATATCGTTCACACAAGGGCAAAACTGCCTAAAGACACATTTCTCAGAATGTATCCCCATCATTAAGCAACACAAGACTGTACATACAATGGAGTATTATTTAGTCTTAAAAAAGGATGAAATTCTGAGGCAAGCTATAACATGGAGAAGCCTTAAAGACACTGTGCTAAGCGAAATAGGCCAGTCACAAAAGGACAAATACTGTATGTCTCTACTCATAAGAGGTATCTAGAGTAATCAACTTCATAAACATAAAGTAGAATGATGGTTCTCAGGACTAATGGGGAGGAGAAAAGTGGAATGGGGAATTACTGTCTAACGGGTAAGGCGCTTCAGTTTTACAAGTTGAAAGAGTTCAGGAGACGGATGTTGGTGATGGTTGCCCAACAATATGAATGTACTTAATGCCACTTAACTATACACATTAAAAAAGTTAAAATGATAATTACGTTATTATAGTTTGTCATAATTTTTTAATGTAATATTATTACTGGAATCAACCTGAGTGACTATTCCAAGCCCCATTCAATACAAGGAGCTTCCTTGAAGCAGGGTCACCTAGTCCCTTGCTAACCAAGGTAGATGCCACTGATTCCTAAGGTAGCCTTATAGAGTCTAGTTTGTATAACATTTTTACTTATGCTCTTTCTTATAGTAACACATCTTTTCCCTTATTCCCATGGCAAGTCTCCAAATATTTCAATACAGTTTTAATGTCAATCTTTAGTCTTCTCTTATCTAGGCCAAACAACCCCAGTTCTTTCAACATTTCCTAACAAATACATGGCGGTTTCTAGACCAGTGACTATACTAGGTCTTCATTTGGTGCTTCCTAGTTTACTAGTAATATTACTCTGAAAATGAACACCCAAATTCTGTATGATCTGCTCAACACATGGTACAGTGGAGTTACCTTTTCCTCATAATCTAGATACCATATTACCTCTTACTCTTGTATATTACCATGAAACCTAAGATTGTACTAGGTGTTTTTAGCAATCACATCATAGAATTGTTTCATATATTTATAAGCAAAAATTTCAATAAATAAATTAAAATTCATATTCCTGCAAAATAAAAATAAAATTAAAATAAAAGCATAAATTTTATAGTAACCAATTACTTGAAGACAATTTAAAAGAATTGCTGGTAACTTCATTCAGGAAAATCTATAGTTGAAAAAACAAGTTTTGCTTTTTAAACTGCATTAAATTAAATTAAACAGAATAAGCAGAATAGGTATAAGTTCTTAAAAATCTTTATGAATAAATTCATCCTCAGATACAGTTCAACAATAGGTATAATATGCTACTTGATGATAACTACAGGCTACAGATGTGTGTAGCGTTTAGACAATTATGGTCACTGAAAAAAATCCATTTTGTTCATACTTCTTTTATTTGGTTATAAAAATTTAATAAACATGTAAATGAGCTCAACCTTTAAGTGCCAAATTTGGCATTACAGAACTCAGTATGAGATAAATACATGGCTGCTTCTCCAGAAAAAGATCTAGAGAATAAAAAATCAAATGCGCACTTTAAGATTTATGCATCTGAACTTAATTCATTTCAATTAATACTTACCTTGAACATTTAGCACCCTTTCTACATTAACATCAGATAATCTCTTTTTTCGAAGTTCAGCGCGTATCCTAAACACTTGATCAGCATATGGAGTCACCACACCGATACTGCCATCGTCCAGCTTCCCCCACGCCACTGGCCACTTCCTTCTCAACTCTTCCACACGTTCCACCACCTCAAATACCTTAAGGTAAACATGCACACACATTCAAGTTATACAGGTGTTTGGAGAAAAAAATATGGTAACTGAAACAGATGTATAAAGGATTCTATTTCAGAAAACTGCTTTTAACAATTACTTCCAGATAGGAATAATGCTTTGCTGATACAAATACAGAATAAAAACTTTTTTCTTTTATTTCAAACAGTTAAATTCTAAAATAATGCACCAAGTAAAAACATGAAAATATAATGGCAATTGGGCCCCACCTTTTACCCGGCCTCCGATCTTTAACAGGAATGGATTCAAGATCCTGTATAGGGATAGACCATGAGACAGGCAACCCCGCCCAGAAAAAGAGGGAAACTGTGTATCCCCTGCACTTCTCAATCCATTCTGTCTAGATCAAGCCAGTGAAACTAGCCAACCTACTAGACAATCCCAAAGTGAATACCATCACTAAATCTCAGCAGTAAAAAAGATCTGCCTCCTTTCTCCACTAATACAACACACAGAATATCCAACAACTGGCATCAAGCCAGTGGACTGGAGACCCAGACTTTCAGAATTCACTGCCTTCTAAGTTTGCCCAAACCATTTCATTAACCTCATAATAAAGTGACACATATTTTATCCAACTGAATTTTTTGGACCCCATTTATTGGATTATAGTAGGACTTTCAGTGTAGTCAATCTATTTTCTTTTTTTTTTTTTTTTATTTATTTGTTTGTTTGTTTGCTTTGTTTATACATGCACTGGGTATAGTCAGAAGCACGGGAGGGTGAGAGAATTCACCAGAGCCAGAGTGGGGAGCAGAGCAGGCAGAAGGACCGAAGTACACTGCTGAGGGGAGCAGCAGGCGCCATGTGGGACTCTCCTCCAGTGGCCGGGGAGCAGCCGGGGATCGAACCTGCCCCGTGGAGGCTGCAGGCAGCTTCGCAACCCAGCGTTCAACCTCTGTGCCACCCGGGAGGCCCCAGTCAATCTATTTTCATTTAACAAATTGATCAAAGACTTTCAATGTTTGGCAGTGTAGGGGATTAAATAATTATTAAACACGTTCCTTCCCTTATAAGAAATTACTGTTTATTTAGAAAACAGATAAGGTATAAATAAGTAAATAAATAAATAAAAGGTCAGGTAAGAATATAGAGGCAAAATTATTTACAATTTGTTCATGTCTACTTAACTTACAAAATTAAATAAGCTTAATAAAATCTGACAATTTTATTTCTTTCAGGAATTTGAAGAATATAGGTTATGATGTAGTTCTCGGGGCCTCCCTGCTGGCCTAGAGGTTAAGTTTCAGCTCTATCACTACTATGGCCAGAGTTCGATCCCCCACCAGGGAGCTAACCCACATTTGGCACAGCAGACCTCTTCTGTCTCACCCACTGCTCCCCTTAGCAGTGTATTTCAGTAAATTCACCTGTATTGCTCCCCACTCTATCTCTGGTGAATCCTCTCACTCCCAGCACCTCTGGCCTATACCCCAGATCTTCTATACACACACACACACACACACACACACACACACTGTACTTCCCAGTTCCAGATATAAATTTAAAGAGCAAGACAGGTAGAGACTATAGTCACCTTATTATTAGAATGATATAACAGCAAGTATATCAAATATTCAGACTATCCAAGGGTTCTGGAGAGCAAGCTAGACTAAAAACATAGGGTTCTCACTATAAGGAACAAGAAAGGAAGAACTGTATCTACTGTAATAAGTAATTTTTAAAAAGTTGTCTTTACTCATTTCATCAGATATAAGAGCAGATGAGAGGGGGAGAGTCACTTGTTGACCCCCCCCCCACACACACACACAAAGTTCCTCCCACTAAGCAACACATACCATTTCTACACTTCATCCACTATTCACACTCCTATATACTAGGCAGCATAAAACTGTAGTCAAAATACATAGACTTGGAATGAGAGTAGAAAGAGACATCAGATTCAACAATCATTCAGTGTTCCCTGAACATTGATCAAAGACCTTACAATAAACTGCAAAGCATTTATCAACAAAAATATATATTAATTCAGAGAGAATAGTAAGAGGCCAGAGCATTCAAGCTAGGGAATATACCTATCTTTTCACACCTCTGTCTTCTAGAAAAGCTCTTTCAGCAGCCAGGGAAAATTCCCATCTCCCCTAGCTCTCTGGGGTAAAAGAACTGTTCCAGATGGCTTTGGCAATTGGTGAACATTGGAGATCCCATTTTCCTCAGCTCCAGGCTGCAAAAGATCATATAGAGCAGGGAGCAGCATTGGGGACAAGGGGCGAAGAAAGCACAGGCTGTACTGCAGGAGAATTGACTTAGTGGGCTTGGTAGCCAAATGACAGTTGCCATTCTCCCCAGTCCCCTATGAAAGAAGACCTATTCCAGGTAAATTCAGCAGTTCAGAAGATCACCAGACCCTAACCTCCCCAGCTCTGGGTTGCAGAAGACTCACAGCTTGATGGTAGCGTGTGGATGGCAGCACATGACACAACATACACACAAAGGGTATGTGAGTGGAACAGCCAGTAAGAAAAATTTCACATCCTCTCACAGCAATTACCCCATGGCCTGCCCAGGCAAGGGTCAGAGTTAGCCTTACAAACTGGCAAAACTGCCTCTGCCAAAGGAAAAATATGATAATATATAGAAATGCATGTCCCCAGGAAGATGAAAAGTAAAATAATTGAAATGAAAAATTCACTAGAAGGCATCAACAGATCAGAGCTGACCGAACAATGAATCAGCAAACATGAAGACTGACAGAGATTACACAATCTGAAGAAGAGAGAGGGAAAAAAAGGAAATAGAGTCTTGGAGAACAGGAAATACCATTAAGCTAACCAACATACGTATAATGGGAGAATCAGGAGAGACAGAAAGGAATAAACTAAACTCCAAAAAATTAATGCCTAAAATTTTTCTTTTTTTCTTTTTTTAAGTTTTATTTGTTTATTTATTTATACAAGCACTGGGTACAGTCAGAAGCACGGGAGGGTGAGAGAATTCACCAGAGCCAGAGCGGGGAGCAGAGCAGGCAGAAGGACCAAAGTACACTGCTGAGGGGAGCAGAGGGTGGCAGGACAGGTCTGCGCACCATGTGGGACCCTCCTCCAGGGGCCCGGGAGCAGCCGGTGATCAAACCGGCACTGCAGAGGCTGCGGGCAGCCTCGCAACCCAGCGCTCAACCGCTGCGCCACCAGGGAGGCCCATAAAATTTTTCTTAATGCAATGAAAAACATTAATTCGCATATCTAGTTCAATGAAATTTAAGTAAGATAAATGAAAGGAGATCCACACCCAGACACATCATAGTTAATAAGTTAGAAATCAAAAACAGGGCCTCCCTGGTGGCGCAAGGGGTGTAGCACTATGAAGCTATCAGCAGCCACTGCAGCATGAGTTCGATCCCCAGCCAGGGAGATACCCATATGGCGCAGCAGACCTCTCCTGACTTGCCCGCTGCTCCCCTCAGCAGTGCATTTCAGTAGATCCGTCTGTTCTGCTCCCCACTCTGTCTCTGGTGAATCCTCTCACCTCCCACACCTCTGGCCTGTACCCCAGTTCTTATATGCATAAACAAATAAATCTTTAAAAAAAAAGAAATCAAAAACAAAAATAAAATCTTCAGAGCAAGATAAGTAATATCTCATCACTTATAAAGAAACGCCAATAAAATTAACATGATTTATCAATAAAAACAATGAAGGCAAGGAAGTCTATTTCAACATGCTGAAAGAAATAACTAATAATTTAATAGCCAAAAAATTACTTTCCAAAAATGAAGGCAAAATAGACATTTCTAGGTAAACAAAAGCCAAGAGAATTCTTTCCTAGCAGCCTTGTCATAAGAAATGCTAAAGGAACTTCTTTATGCTGAAAGCAAGTGACACCAGAAAGGAACTCAAATCCACACAAAACATATTGCTCATGGTAATTATGTAGCTAATTATAAAAGTCAGTATAGCAGCACATTTCTTCTCTCTTTTCCTCTTAACTGACTTGAAGAGCAACTGTACAAAAAACACATACACAATTGTATAGTTAGGCTACAGTATATAGAAATGTATTCACCAATAACAGCACAAAGGAGAGAAGTGTAAATTGACACCAGATGGTACCTCAGCAGAGAATCATCAATAGTAAATAAAAGGGTACTTGCCTCCCTTTCTTCTGTCAGAATTCTTAAAGGAAATAAAATTATATAAAGTAATATTTATAACATTGTATTGTAGAGTTGATAATATGTCAGTTTTATATGCATAACAATAGCGTGAAAAAGAAACTAGCGCTATAGAGGATTAAAGTTTCTGTATGTCTTTAGAATTAAGTTAATGTGAATCTGAAGTAGATTCTGATAAGACGTATATCTCACAATCCCCAGAGAAACCACTAAGAAAACAACTAAAAATTAGTGTAAAATAATTAGTCTGACACTAGAAAATATGCACTTAATACAAAAGGCACCAGCAAAGAAATAAAAAAAAAAAAATGAGGCATAGAAAATAAAAAGTAAAAGGCAGAGGTAAATCCAACCATGTAAATAATAACATTAAATGTGAATAAATTAAATAATTCTATCAAAAGGCAGAGATTTTCAAACTAAATATTTTTTTTAAAAAAGATGCAGTGATATGGACTATAGGAGGCACACTCTAATCAAAGGTACACATGGCATGAAGGGTAGAAAAAAAAGAGACACCATGCACACAGCAATCATAAGTGTTCTGAGGAGGCTATACTGATTATCAGACAGTGATTTTAAAAGACATAAGTTATTAAAGGGGGACATTTTATAATGAAAAAAAAGTCCATATGCCAGGTATATTAACAATTATAAACATACATACATTGTGTGAAGCGAAACCATGCTCTCTTCTAGGTCACAACCTGATGGATTCTTTTTTTTTATACCCATACAACTGTCTACCTCTCATCTATACTATTTTATGGTTATTTATTTCCATAGTGCTTCCCTTTAGATTAAAATTTTCACGTAAAGAATCATGTTTTGGTGTTTAGTGTTCTAAATTCTGCTTTTCTTTTTTCCCAATTTGGCATTATATTGGGACCATTTCTTTATTGGGGGGCATCAAGGCAGAATCAAAGGGGGGAAAGCATGATTTTTCTCAGTCTCTTTCATTCTACCATTTTAAGCAGGTAAAGGACACAAGTTCAAGTGATATACAAACACGTAAAATAAAAATGTTCCCTGTACAAAGGTCAATTATATACAACAAAAATGTTATATTCCTTCAGTTCAAGGTTCCTTAATTTTACTTTTAACTCCATCCTCTGTTTCAAGGTCCTTTTGATTGTAACACAGTATAAAACTGTATTATGTTCACAATGATAAAATCTGAACTATTCTCAAACTTTGCAATGCTGTCCCAAGGTCAAAGCCTTTACAAAAGAAAAGATCTCATTTCCCCTGTTGAAGTAACTGACGCCACCTGCTCTGCATGCTCTAGAACACAAAACAGATCTGAAAAAATTCACGGCACTGTCCAGATATGACTATACTGATATTCAAAACTTTGGGAAACTCTGCCTATATAACCAAAAGCTTCTAGCCTAATCCAAAGGATCCCCATCAGCCATAGTGAGTAAGGATCAGTTTTCGCCCCTTGTAAAAGAAGCTCCTGGGGCAATGTCTCACAGCTGTTTGCTACAATAACTGAGGTTGAAGAAAGTAAATGAACAGCCATGGTCTGGTGGGGAAGTTCAACATGGCCTGAAATTCCTCTTCAATTACATGTTCAATACATGAAGGTTACAAAAAATCTATCTCTGCAGGCAAAAAGTAAATTTTACCACTCAAATCTTAAAATGCAACTTATTTGTCCTCTAGCTTATAGATTCCTGGGAGATACCCATGTCGCTCCATGAAGGAACAAGAAGCCCATGTTGAAAGAAAATATCAATCCTGAATCAGCATCAAGTTAGGGCTCAGCTCTTACCCCTGGTATCACAAGACCACCAAGACTTCTGCACCTGAGGCCTAACTCCCCTGGCAGCCCTGTGACCCCACCCTAGCTGGTTTCCTGGTTTCCTCATTCCCCGCACCCCCCCAGGCCAATGGTTTCCAACCTGAGTGTAAAAGTAATAAAGGAGGCCGTGGAGTTATTGGTCAGCATTTTCAATGTCTAAAGTTTACCTTTTCCTAAAATTGAACGGCACAGACTAACTAAAATGACAAGTTTCTTAACTTTTGGCAAGGATTTTATTAAGTTGGTATGGTTGACTTTCTTTTACTGACTTCTTACAGGTCTGGTCAATTTGTAAAAAGAAAGATAAACTAATACACAATAACAGGTATTTCTTTGCAAATAAAATACATAAAACATGGGACTCAGGGAAGATGGAGATGGAGATCATCGATCAAGAACCAATCCCCCAGTGATCAACCACGTGCACCCACCCCTCTGTGTTTCCTGAGGTACAGAACTACACCCTCTGGTGACAGTCAGAACCTGGCACTCAGAGTCTAAGGCCTGCTGGCGTGTAAAGACTTAACCAGGTTTTTGTCTTCTACCTGATCTGACCCCTCATACTACCCACAGTCTCCCTGACTTAAAAAACAGTCAGACACTATAAGAGAACCATATAAGTTGGACAGCAACACTATCATCCAGATCTGTGTTATCCTCTGGAACACAGGATTCCGCGATTCAAGTCTCTGTCATTTACAAACCTCACTTGAGTATCCACTGTAAAATTTAATCACCACCTATTTCAGATGACTAACAATAATAATCTATATGGAAATAATAATTGCTTTAAAAAAATAAGGTGATGCGTTTTATGTTTGATCACAAGACAAAATTTTCATCAAAGTTTTCATTTACTGCATAAGCTGCATCTTAACAAATCAATGTTATAAATGAGAGAATAAACTTCACCTACTATTTTCAGGTAAATTAAGTCAACACACAATAAAATACCGACCCAAAATTTTAAATAAATGCTCAACAACACCAGACTATGTAATAACAAAACTGCTAATAGTTCGGAAAAAGAACTAAAGTACCTCTGCATTATTATAAAAAGCTGTGCTATTTTTTTCTTGCACATCTTCCCCTCGTGCTGTAAAAAAAGTTAGTGGATAGAAATCCTTGTGTGCTGGTTGCTTTCCACTGGCCATGAGTTTGCCCTCATAGAAGAGCTCAGAGGTGTAACTGCAGATAAAAAGACAAAAATACAGAGTAATTATCACCAAAATTAATTTCACTCATAAGAAAAAAATTATCAGTCAATTCTAATAATGTTGCTTTAAGCTCATAACTAATTTTAATCTAAACATATAATACCTCTGAGACCAAGCTTTTCTCCAAAATTAACCCCATCAATAACAACATATTAGGCTCCTGGGGTGCCACTGATAAATGGATTTAGTAAGGCATAAAGTTAGAATACAGAAGGGAAAAAATGATGACAGTTCAATACTCGGTGAGATTCTTGCTTGATGAAGAATTTGCTAGTGAGTATATTTTCTTGGTTGGAATGTATTTTTATTTATATGGTTCACATCCATGCAAACACAAATATATGAACAGAAACAATGCATACAACTAAAAGACACTGAAATCTTCAACTGTGAAATAAAGTCTTCTGATAAAGATATTATCTAGTAGTCTATTGTGTATCTGTGAATATTGTGTTAAACAAGGAGTCTGTTTTATTTATTTTTTTTAAAAGATTTTTATACAAGCACTGGGTACAGTCAGAAGCGCAGGAGGGTGAGAGAATTCACCAGAGCCAGAGTGGGGAGCAGAGCAGGCAGAAGGACCGAAGTACACTGCTGAGGGGAGCAGCGGGCGGCAGGAGAGGTCTGCGCGCCATGTGGGACCCTCCTCCGGTGGCCGGGGAGCAGCCGGGGATAGAACCGGCGCTGCAGAGGCTGTGGGCAGCTTCGCAACCCAGCGCTCAACCGCTGCACCACCGGGGAGGCCCAAGGAATCTATTTTAAAAGAAGAAAGGGAAGAAGAAAACCATGAAACTTAGTAGTAAAGCTTTTAAAGGTATATACTAAATATAGTATGCATCTATAAAAGTGAAAATATTGTAAAATATGGACTGCAGCCATTGACTGGCAATAATAAAGAGGAATAATATTTGACATAGAGATAAAAGTCATCATTTACCCTGTTTATTTTTATACCTATCCTATTGTTATCAGAGAACCTAAAAATGGTTTTCACATGACTAACAAAATCAGTATTATTACAGTATGACTCACTTCTTTTTATTTATGAATACTAACATACAGCTTTATTTTCACTTAAGACATACAACATAGGGCCTCCCTGGTAGTGCGAGGGGTTAAGTCACAGCACTATGAAGCAATCCACAGCCTCTGCGGCACAATCGATCCCCGGGCAGGGAGGTACCCACATGGTGCAGCAGACCTCTCCTGTCTCGCCCGCTGCTCCCCAATCTGCCTACTGTGCTCCCAATCACTCTGTCTCTGGTGAATCCTCTCACCCCCCCACACCTCTGGCCTGTACCCCAGTTCTTGTATGCATAAATAAATAAATCTTCAAAAAAAAAAGATATACAACATAATGATTCAACATTTGTATATACTGTAAAATGATCATCACATAAGTTGTCTATTTAACATCTTTCCTTATCAATTTTCAATTTTCAATGTCATATTATTTTTTATTTATATATTTTCTACATCATTGTTCATTTTTAAACAATGCTTGCTTTCCCCTTCCCTCAGGTATAGTCCCCATAGAATTTCCTTCACCAATTCACCTGTGTACCATCACCTCAGTTTCCTGTGCTCCTCCCTCCCTCCCCCTGGCTTCTCCCCTGCAGGATGTCTCTGGTTTATAATTGTTTGTTTCTGTTTGGTTTACAATGTCATATTACTAATTTCAGTGCCCACACTACACATTACATCTCCTTGATATTTTGTAACTGGAAGCTTATACCTCCTGATCCCCTTCACCCATCTTGCTGAACAGCACCCCCCCCAACCCCCCGCCGTCCCAAGACTCCCCTCTCTGGTGTTCACCAATTTTCTGTCACTATGATTTTAAGTTTTTTTAGCTTCTCTGTTCATTTTGTTTTTTAATAGATCGTTTTGCAGATTTCACATATAAGTAAATGTGAAAGATTTCATTCTTTTTCATTGTTGAGTAACAGTCCTGTATCTGTGTCCAGTCATCTAGCAATGGATCCCTAGGTTGCTTCTGCAATGAACATAGGGAAGCATGTATCTTTTCAAATTCATACATTTTCATTTGCTTTGGGTAATTACACAGAAGTGGAACTGCTGAATCATATGGTAGTTCTGGACTATTCTCCATAATGGCTATGCCAATTTACTTCCTGTCTTCTTGATAATGGCCATTCTAACAGGAGTTAGGTGGTATCTCACTGTAGTTTTGATTTGCATTTCCCTGATGATTAGTGATGTTGAACATCTTTTCACATGCCTGATGGCCACCTATATATCCATTCAGATCCTCTGCCCACTTTTAATTGGATTGTTTTTATTAAGAGTCTCAAAATTATTAAAATATATGCAACTTTAAAAATCTGCAAGTTTTTGGTGGGGGTTGTGACTGATAGGAGCACAGAGGAGCTTCCCAAAGTGCTATTAATATTCTCTTTCTTGATCTGGATGCCAGTTGCATGCATGTGTTCAGGTTGTGACTAGTCACTGAGCTGTCACAATATTTTCACTTTTATAGATGCATACTATATTTAGTAGATACCTTTAAAAACTTTACTACTAAGTTTCACAGTTTTCTTCCTTCTTCCCTTTCTTCTTTTAATATAGATTCCCTGTATAACACACATATATACATACAGGCAAACCATAATGCAGTCTGTCAATATGTTTATTTACTATATCATGCAGGTTTACATTGATGTTAAAATATCTAGTCATAAAAAAGATGGCACAGCAAGTAGAATCAAAGTTCCAGATTCCAGAAAAGCCCTAAGTTATGAAAAATTATAGTTCTGACTTTTGAAATGGACTTTCATAGACATAAAATAAAACATAATTGGCAACAAAAGGGAAACCATGTATCTCTGCTAAGAATAATGTGTCCCTGTAATAGTGCCATTTGAGTTCCTTCCTGCCAGACCACTGGAAGTGTGATATAGGGGGGCAGTTCACACCTACTTGATGATAGCTTCATGGGAGCGGTAGTTCTCACAGAGGAGGATCCTACATGGAAACTCAGCAGGGTAATGCTCATAGAGTCGATCAAGTAATGAAATGTGAAGGTTTCTCTCCCTGGCAAACTCGCTGTAAACAAAAGGACTGAGCTGTAACAGACAAACATACAAAGAAAATTTAACTAAATATACAAATAGCATTTTTTAACCAACTTATTTAAAAAAATCCACCACGCTAACACTTCCAATGTACTAAAGCTCAACAGGCTGAATGCTAAGAAAACAGAATAAAAAATATTTTCCAAGAACAATTTTAATGCTATAAAGAACTAGGTTAAAAATGCTAATCTTTTATCTCAGTATATAAACACTAACCTAGGGTTTCTCTACACAAATGTTAATAAAGGGCTACTCTGACATAATAACAAGCACTATTTCAGTAATTTTAGGGATGTACCCCATTGCATCATAAGGGAGTCAGTTATTCATTAAAATGGATCAACTGGGCCTCCCCGGTGGCACAGTGGGTTGAGCGCTGCACTGTGAAGCTGTCCACAGCCTCTGCAGCGCAGGTTCGATTCCCTGCCGGCCAGGGAGAAACCCACATGGCTCAGCAGACCCCTCCTGCCTCTCCCGCTGCTCCCTCAGCAGTGTCTTCAGTCCGTTTGCCTGTTCTGCTCCCAGCTCTGTCTTTGGTGAATTCTCTCACCCTCCAGCACCTTTGACTGTGCCCCAGTTCTTGTATAAATAAATAAATCTTTTTTTAAAAATGGATCAACTATTTAAAATGGTGAGCTGGCAGGATATACAGTTTATGAATAAAAATTTTATTTTTAATAATTAGCAAAATAACCCTTGTCTCTTTTAAATTATAAGGAGTCTTTCTTGATTATACTTTGATGGTTAAAGAACAAAGCTAAACAATTTTTAGCAAAGAAACAAATACAGAATTTGTTCCTCTACAGTCAACTCTTTCTTGGCTGCCTTACCAGTTATGATACTATGCAGACACAATCTTAATGAACTGGCAGAAAAGAAAAACACTTCAAATTATAACTTTATAAAATAGATATTTTAACAGAAATACATCTTTCTCTTTAAACACAAAGGTCTTCAAATACATAAAATCAGACATGTTCTCTGAGAATTTGACTATTATTTTTGACAAAACACTTTGTTTCCTATGATAGAGAAAAATCAATCCTTCATAAAAATAAAATTTAGGGGCAGGAATTGGGGAATTCTAAATTATTTTTAAAGAAAAGAATCAAATATGCCTAATATAGAAAAGTGAACCTCAAATTAATAAACATGAAATGTATAAAATAACACTGATACTCATTACAAACTAAGCAAAGAAGACAAAAGTGGAGGAATATTTTTCACTATTAATACGAAAATATTTGAAGTACTTAAACTGTAATACATGCACAATTCATAGAATGTTCTAGAAAAATAGAATATTAAACATCAAAATACAATTAAAAGTCCCTTTCACTCTGATGACTCAGAGGGTGCTTACCTGCATGTGGTCACCAGCCAAAACAATCCGAGTATTTTTCGTTGCTAATGCTAGAGGCATAATGGTTTCGCACTCCATGGCCTGAGCAGCTTCATCTAATAGAATGTGCGTAAAAAACCCTACAAAGCAGAATGTAAACACAGTAAAGCATAATACAGCAGCAATAAAGGTAGGAGGAGTTGTTCTTTTTTTCTACTAAGGAAAGGATTTAGTGTGCTAATTTAAGAGTCATGAATAACTTTAATGCCACTCCTCAATTTAGAAAATCATCAATTTAAATCATCATTTAAAAACAGAGGAAAAAAGAACTTCACTCAATAATTATAGATACATATATGGCATCTGGTGCGAAAGGCCCCAAGACTAACAGCTTAATCAGTATATACAGAAAAGATTTTTAAAATACAAGTATGGCTTTTCACCAAAAAGAAGATCTGGCAACTAAACACTGATAAGCCCAAAGTGCTCTCAATACATAGGTGGTGAAACACCCAAAAAACAATGGTAGTTTATAAGTCACTTTAGTCTAAGTATGCATGTTAGATGTTAAAAATGAAGGCATCATATCCAAAAACTAACATAAAGGAGAAAGTTATAACCCAACTTTGAAAACAAAGGGCATCTACTAGCAAAAGTACAAATTTGATTATTTAGGTTACAGAGATGTTATATTTTTAGTCTAAGACCCTATCTGCCCTTGCTGGAAAGAAATCACCAGCTGATAACAAAGACAGATGTCCCCTGGAAGAAAACCACCTCTAACAAGAGGTACCCCATGTTTGAGTTGTGGCTGCCACTTGCACTAGGGCCAGGGAATCTGCACAGAAAGGAGGGAAGTCCATTTCCCCTTAAGAAGTGGAAAAGAGGTTAAAAACTTCCTTGCTAGCTAGTGTCCTCTTCTGCCAACTCACACCAAGGTAGAAAAAAAGGGCTCCCATTTTACTAGCCTAGGAAAGAACACAATCTAGCGTCCATTGGCATGATGGTTTATTCATCAGCCTCCCATGCATTTGCCCAAGAACTCAACCTCTATTTTCATCTCAAATTCTATGAACATCAAGTTCCAAACTATCTGCTTCCAATGTTCTAAAGCAACTTGTTTTTAGGTTGGGATTTTTCTAAATCTTATTAATAACAATCATCATCATGGCTATTAATGGCTATGGGTGACAGTACAATTACCAATAATTGCTGTCTATTTACCAATAGTGGCCCAAGCAAAATTAAGAAACATGCATTTTTCCCCCCCTGTTGAAGTGAATTTGTGCTTTTTGTTCTATAAGACTCGCTAAGGAAGATGACTATATAAACATAGGATCAAATTGGAAAAATAGTGACACCAATGAACAAAACACATTTTCATTAGATAACATTTTAAGGTTTGAATCAGAAAGTGGGTAAAGTCCAGAAATTTCTACAGCTATTGCTTAAGCTAGTAACTTCAATTCTGTGCTTTGTTCTGGATGTTGTTTTTATTTTATTCTCATATCAACTCATATCATCTAAGTGATGGTGCCTGAGTTTTGGTTTTCCCCTCTGTAAAATAATCCTCCACAGAGTTGATATGAGAATAAAATAAAAACAACATCCAGAACAAAGCACAGAATTGACTTTCTATAAGTCAAAACCATTCTTTAATCTTTCTCATAAAACTATACTGCTTATGAGGTGGCAAATATACACAATATAATCGAAGTAATAAGACTAATTGTTAAATAAACATACCAAAATTTACATTTCAAATAAGTGTTGTTCCATTCAAAGAAGTCACTTGGAAGGAAATATAACTCATTCCAATGATACAGCCACTGTTCAAAACATTTTTTGAAACTGCTTTTGTAACTGCCCTCACCAGCCAGCTATGAGCTGCATGCACAAGAAAATAAGTCTCATTATGGGAGAAGCATGTCTCTTTTTCTTTTTACCTCTAATGGGTACTGCTCAGTTTGCTCACCCACCTAACTCACAGACATGTCTCAGAAAGATTTTGATGCTTTTCTAAAATTAAATCTACCCTCAAGAAAAAAAGTTTGGCCACCATTCCTTCATTCCAGATAAACGGAGGTTTATCAAGCGCCTCCAGGTGTCTATACCTTGGGCCAGGTGCCAAGAATACAGGGTGAAGAGAACAGTCTCTACCTTCAGGGACTCAGATGTTCAAGAGAATTTGTCACCTGCTCTGAAAGCAATCCCAAAGGAGAGAGCAAAAACGTGTTGCGCAATGCCAGCCATTGTAATATGGCAGTAATAAATGGATATTCTGCCAAAGCAACTACCTTAAAGTGATACCACTTTTTGATGGTTCAGTTCCGCATATTTATCTCAGAAAAATTTCTTGTCACTTTCTGTCTATACTTCCTAAGATATTAGTTTGATTGTGACATGGTTCTTGTACTTACACATAATGACATTAATAGTGTGTCATAAAAAGCCTATCATGATTGCTGTTTCTATGCTATAGAACGCAAAAATATTTTAAAACAAAAACTTGGAAAAAATTGTTAATAATCCCAAGTGTCAAATTTAAATTTTTCACATGATCAGTAGTAAGTAAATACCACTTGATCAATTAAATAGAATAGCAGGGCCTCCCCGGTGGCGCAGCGGTTGAGCGTTGGGTTGCGAAGCTGCTCGCAGCCTCTGCAGCGCTGGTTCGATCCCCGGCTGCTCCCCGGCCACCGGAGGAGGGTCCCGCATGGCGCGCAGACCTCTCCTGCCGCCCGCTGCTCCCCTCAGCAGTGTACTTCGGTCCTTCTGCCTGCTCTGCTCCCCGCTCTGGCTCTGGTGAATTCTCTCACCCTCCCGTGCTTCTGACTGTACCCAGTGCTTGTATAAATAAATAAATAAACAAATAAATAAATCTTTTAAAAATAAATAAATAAAAATAAAAAATAAATAGAATAGCAGTCACTAAAATGTCTGAACTAGAGGTTGACAACGTTTTTTCTATAAAGGGTTAAACAGTATATATTTTAGGCATTGTGGACCATCTAACCTCTGCTGCAACTACTCACCTCAGTTGTTATAGCATAAAAGCATGCACAGTTAATAGGTAAATAAGTGGGCACGGTGGTGTTCCAGCCAATAAAATTCTATTTACAAAAACAGCTTATAGGCTATTGTTTGCCGACCCCTAGTCTAAACTGACTGAGAAACCCTAGGCATTCAGAGACACTCCACGTGTGTCTTGAATTGGCATACCAGGTTCCAGGTCCAACTGACAGAGGTACTGGGAAGTATTCAATGTAACAACAACCACTCGGTGCTTAAGAATATCTTCTTTCTGTGGCATCTGAAAGGTGGAATGTGCGCTTGAGATCAGACAGTACTGATGCACGACTGGGTGGACAGTCTTTACCCAGCGATTTCTGAAATATACCCTATAAAAGAAGATAATATTTCCTATTTATACTTATTAACATCTTAATAACATCTGACTATCAAAATATTGACATTGTTATTTGAAGACTATAATATGTAAAAGTTGAAAAATAAATGTGACAACCATTATCATTCTACTGTATCAGAATTTAACATACCACTACTACTATATCTACTGCAACAATCCCCACAAAACAATTCAAGCAGATAGCATACGTACCATAAAATAAACACCTAGTTATTTCTAAGTGTTTAACCTCACAACAGAGCGATACACAAGCAAGTTTCATAAGCATCAGCTTTTAAGTTCAAAACATTCCATTTGGGAATTACATGTTTCTAAAAAATATTCTTTAAAAATATGCTTAACTCATAATGTAATTGGGGCATTGGCAGTGAGCATGGTGTGAAAATACATATTGTAAAGGTTTAAATCTATGACCTGCAAAGATACATACAATGACGTGAACCAACTTTATCTTAATAAATTTCAAAAACAAATTCATGAAGTCACACTGCCAAGAAAAAGATTACAACAGAAAGTTAAAAGTGATTTGCATTTAATTTTGGAATATATTTTTACCTATATCTAAAGAGGCATCTATCTAAGGATCTAGAAATTCAAAAGTAAATTTAAATTTTGGACAACCAGACCTCTTAAGAACATCTTTTCTGTAAGTTGCAAAAGAAAAATATTTGTAGGCCTCATGCAATAGATTACTAAGAAGATACAGACAACTCTTCCATCCATCTACCCACCCACATACATCTCAAACCCGCCCATATAGCAAAGATCTACTGAGTGTCTACTAAGCTGCAACACAGAGACAAATCACATGGCTTACAAGTTTTCATAATGGCTTTGGATTTATGCTTTGAATCGAAAGACATTACAGAATTCTGACAGGGTAATCACATGAATAGAGTGTACAGTTAGGGGGCTTGGGGCCCTAACATAGTGTTTGTTGATTTCTGTGGTATAACAACTACTAACATGGCCAATTTCAAGCTACTAACAAGTTGTCACTGAAAGTGAACTTGGGAAGACATACACATGATTGACTGTAACAAGTCAGTATAAGCTGGCTCCACCATATCCCTGAATGTTATGGAGGCAGAAGCAGGAGGCAGAAACAGGGAGACCAGTTAGGAGGTTGCTGTAAGGTCTAGACATGAAAAGATGACAGTCCGGGCTACGGTAGTAACAGCGAAATTGTGAAAATGATCAGATTCACTATTGATTTGACAGTAATGATGACAGGATTTACTGATAAACTAGATGTGGAATTTAAGAAAAAGAATCATCCTTTGCCTTTAAAACTGGATGAATGGCAGCAGAGTTTGAAAGGGTGAAAGAGATTTGGGTTTGGAATTAAGAATTCAGTTTTCGACATATTCAGTAGTAGACATCCAAGCGGAAAGACCCAGTAAACAGAAGGATGTAAATTTGGAGTTCAGAAGATGACTGGAACAAAACAATACAATTTAGATGACACTTAAGCCTTGAGACTAGATGAGACCTAGGGAGAACAAGTGCAGATAAAAGAGAAACTCTTTGGAAGAATGACTGATGGTCTACTCCGTCATTTAAGGACAGAGGAAAGGAGAGGGCTACAGAAAAGAAGACTGAGAAGGAAGAATCAATGAAATAAAGAAATCAGGAGAGTGTGGGGCTCTGGGAAGCTTTTAAAAGAAAATATTTCCAGAGAGAAATAGCAGCAACTGTCCAAGGCTACTAAGAGGCAGCATAAAATGAGGACTGGATACTAGCATGGGCCTTAGCAACAAGAATGTCAATGGTGACCTCAATATGCTGTTTTCAGAAAAAAGACAAAGGCGGAGGCCAGGATTAGAATGAGTTTGAGAGAGAAAGAGGAAAAGCACAGCCAGTTTTGCTGAAAGGAATGCAGATGGAGTTGAGGCAAGTTTTGTTTTCTTTTTTTTAAAATAGCAGTCATTATAATATACTGGTATGAGGATGGAAGTCCTCCAGTAGAGAGAGAAAGGATGCAGGAGAGGAGAAACTGTGGAGACAGAAAGGGATGAGAGCTCATTCACAAGGGAGAGGCAGGCCTCAGAAAGGAGTGAAAATGGTTTAGAATGGAATGGGATGTAGTTATTTGGCAGGGGCAAGTCCTATTAAAGGGAACTTGTTAAAGGAAATCTTCTAATTACTTCTATTCATTCAGTAAAGTAACAAAGACTAGTAGCTTATTGTTATTTTCATCACTACAGTTAAGAAAACTGAATCCCAAAGGTTTACAGTCAGAATTCAAACCTGTGCTCTTATCCTAAGTTTCATTTCCCTTATTTATAAAATGAGTATAATAATTCCACCTCTCAGGAATTTGGAGAAATCAGACTCAGTAATATACACAAAGCAGGTAGCACACAATGCCTGGCACCAACGAACTTAAGTCCCCCACTTCACCCACAACAAAGCTGAAACTAAAACCAGCACTTCAGTTAACATTCTATGTACAAATGAAACAGGTCATATCATGACTTGAATACAAGCAATCAAAATAAGTAAAAAATCTGCTGTGTATTATTATCTAAAAGTAAATGTTGTTAGAAGTATTTTATTTAATAAGCAATCACATGGAATAAAAGGATACTTTTTACTGAGTTTTCCCAAAAAGTTAGAGCAAAATCTGGTGCTTAATTAGCTTACCTTCAGTTAGTCTAAAAGTTAGGCTCTTGTCTTCTAACTCTTGTGTTAATGTCTCTCAGTCTCTGTACATTTTACTACAGCTACCTTTATTTTTGGAAGCAAAGCAGAAATGTTTTTAAACGAATGATTGTTTTAGTCTCTGATGTAATTATTAAACAGCTTTTTTTAGACATCAGAATTCCACTGTAACAGTAAATAGTGCAAATTGCTATTAAAAGTGACTTTAAATGTTGTTAAAAATATGTAAGTTTGAAGTTAGTGACCAATTTTTTTACTAAAAATGCTATTGAATATTTTTTAAATTCTTTAACTCACTCTAGAATTGAATTTATTTTTCCATTCTATTCAAAACCAAACATGATATTGAGCTTTACAGGAAGGTCTTTTTTTAATTTAAAAATAATTCTTAAATTAACATATATTCTTTTATTAAAGATTAAAGAAAGTGTTGAGTGTCTCAATGAATCAGAACCAAGATGTTTTCTATTCATTATACTCTATTTTTAAAGGCTCAGTGTTACAGAAATAAATTATGTACGTAAAGTACCCCAAAAAAGCCAAACATGCTTGAAAGTGATTTTTGGTGTGGAGAAAATTTACATAATGAAGACTATCTAGACTTGGCAGAAGAATTACATCTTCTACATCATACTTTTTGTATGATAATTTTCTTCTAAAAGTAACCTCTGGCTTATAATGAAACATCTCTAGATGCATAAAATTTATCATGAAATAAATCCTCATGGCTACTGATCCTGTCTAAATACTCACTTAATGATGAACAAATATTAAGGAAAAAACTGCACAGTTACTGAGCCATACCCATTAAATCTGATAGTAAAATAAAGGTATATTCAGCTATTCAAAAGCTGAAAACAGTAACCTTATGCACTTATTCTCAATAGGATTGAAAATACTACAAAGTACATGTATGTACTAAAGGATATGTGCCAACAAAATCAGGTAGAAAATCAAGAAAGAGGAATACCTGAGGTCCAAGAAACAGAACTTAACACAGCAGCAAAGAAAAAGATATGGCCAAGATGATGCAAAGAGAAGTCTCAGAAAGACAGAGAACCAACTCAGAAAGGAGTAAGTTAAATCAGGAGGCAAGTCTCCAGAAAGGGGAGGCAAAAAATGGCACTGAAAAATTATCTAAGAGCTTTGATAAAGCAGAAATATGTTTTGACATGTATTTTCACACAGTCACTTAGGGTATAAAGATCTGGTCACATGTTCAGAGAAAATGAAGCCATGAAAAAAAAGCTAAGTATATTAATGCCAGGAGAAAAAAAACAGAACAAGAAAGGAAATTTGCATATTATTGGCTAGAAGCAAATATATGACCAAAATCATAATCATGAAAGTCAACAGATACCCAGTTTTATATATACATATATAAATATAGCTGTTTAAATACATATATTTAGGAAAAATAGAAGCAAATCCCACAGGAAACTACTATAGAGTCAAAAGGATTTGCCTTTGGGGATGATGTTTGGTAGGAAGTAGGTTGGTAAGAAACAGTATTTCTTTGATACGAATTTATCTTTTACAAAACTACATACAGTGAATTTTTTACAAATACTAATTTTAAAAAAAGTAATCTAAATATTTGAAACATTAGGGAAGAAAAAACTGCCAGTATTTAGATTCAACCTCTCATTTACAAAGGCTTTTTAAACTTCAAGTGCTCTGTTTTCTCCCACTTTAAAAGAACTTTCATTTAATTCTTCATATTCTTCCAAACACTGTCCTATCTTCCCCAGTCTTCTAAAAGTGTTATCCAAATGGCCCTCTCTACTTACTAACCTAACCTTTCACTTCTTTAGTCACCCAACATGCTTGAATATTACCCAATAATATATAATCTGGATATATAATATATAATCATCTGGTTAATTTTCAGGTTCATCAAGTGACTTGACTTATTAGCAGCATGCAGTTCTGTGGTAACTCCTTCCTCCTTCAGCTCCAAGACTCAACTTACCCCAACTTTCCTCTACCTCTCTAGATTAGGGTTACTCAAGCCTGAGTCTTCAAAGCTCTCCTCTTCTCAAATTGTTTTCTCTCCTGACAACTGCACCCAGGCCCACGGCCTCAATTATACCAATACCCTGGTGACTCACATTTTTCTCCCTTCAGCCAAGACCTCACCTCTGAGCTCCAGCACACATTATCCATCCAACTGTTCATCTGATGTCGCTTTCTCCTCTAGGATGTCTCAAAGGAAGCTCAAATGTAATGTGTGCAAAAACTAATCTCATGATATTCTAAAATGTGTTCTGACTTTCCATGAAATGCTTAGAAGTGGATTTTGTCTTTCTTTAAGCAAAGCAATAAAGGGAGGGGCCTTAATAAGCAGAACTAAATAAAAATTATAATAGAAGCAATTAAAATATTGCTATAAGACTAAAAACTTGGTGAAAGTAATCAACATTGTTTCTAAAAGATGCACGATTTTAAACATGTTTTAGGTTTTATTTAAAAATGTTTATTCAAATCGGCAAAGCAGAATTTACTTTTAAATACATGAAAAATCTCATTTTACAATTAAATCTGTACTGCTACCCCTAATATTAACTATAGTATGTGCATTTAAGACTGTAAATTACTAAAAGTTAAACTAAAAAATACTAATAGTGTTTATTCCTAGCTGGTGAAATTATAGATAATGTTCATATCTTTCCTTTGCTTTACTATATTTTCCATATTTTCTTTAAGGAATATTTCATTGCAAAGCTGAAAAGGTAGTTTTTCAAATTACTCTTTAAATCTGACTTCAAGCACCGCTTCTTCCTCAGAAAAAAAAACCAACAGAAATTGAAGTTCTAAGTTTCACTACTGACATTTTCACAAATACATGAGAAAGCTAACTCATTCAAGTTAGTAAAAAGACAAAGTTTTCACATTAGCCCTCCTTCTCTAAAAGTATAATAATTCTAGTGCCAACTTTAAAATTATTTTAAAAATTCTCTGTACTTTTATTTTGAGCAACATTTAAAGTAGTGTCTATAAGATTATTTAAAATACATCCAACATCATTTTTCAGAATTGAAGAATTGATGGTGACAAGTGACACTGCATTTAGTATAAAGTGTGACACCAAGATGCAATTTATGTATTTCTAGAAACAAGTCAGCCATGTATCCCAAATGAATAATGATTCTTAAAACAGAAGATTGGTAAAATATAATTTTAGTTCATTGAAATTATATTCATATATTGAATTCATATGTAATAAGTACTCCCCCCAATATTAGTAAGACACTACAGAATCAGGAAGACATGATCCCAGAAGAAAATGTTTCTTTAAAGAACCTTAAAGATCTGTATACAATAAATACTTATAGGCCCAGAAGGCAGGAAATGCACACCTCTCCATAGCCTCCATGACCTCTGACTACTTAGGGATAACTTTGCCAGAACGAGTTAATGATCTCCAGAACCATACACAGAAGCTGTTTTTCTTCTCTATTCCATTTTAAAAATCTAATTCTAAGTAAAAATTTAAAAAAGCCTAAATATCATCTAAAATGGTTTCTAAAAATCTCTATCCCCAAATATTTCGAGCTCTGCTATGGCAGCTACCAGAACTTTATACATTTCGACCATAAAGATAGATATATATATATGTAAGTATGTATGTGTGTATGTATGTATTGACACATTTACTGTGTTAACTAATGTTTTTGACTATTTTCACATTTAGTGGCATTTATCAGGGTCCACTCTAGACTGCACTGTGAAGAAGGGAAATTCGTTATCAATCCTACTCCACAGAGTCCCAACATCTTCAAGGTCATATGTGGACACTTAGTGCCCTCTTGTGTTCTTTCCCCTGTATCCTGGGACAATTCAGATAAAGTTTATTGACAGAGATCCCTGAGCGCTCAAGTCATTCTAATTTTCTCTACTCTATCTCCCCCACCTTTCATATGTGATGACTATTAAGAAAACTATAAAATAATCTTAGTTAATGTAATAGAAGATAGTGCTAATAAATCCCAATAATTCAATGTATTAATCCTCTTGGGAAATATATTTATAAGTGAAGACCCTCCTGGAAGAGAAAAGCTATAATGAAAATGTGGAGTCACATAAAGAAAATAAAATACTTGGGGAACTTGGGTCTTTTCTTATTTTACTCAATTTACTAAATGAAAAGCATGAAATTTGTATTTAAGTATTTTCTCCATCTTGCACTGAACCACTCCAGAGACTTGTGAGAGACAAGTTTTTTGCTAGAAGGCAAGTATCTATATTTGGGCCACTACATCTACTCACATGCCCTACTGGAACATAGCTTCTTACTTTACGTATTTATTGGATTATACTTTCCCAAATATAATCTTACACGACAAAAGCTGAATATAATGCTAGCCAAATGGTAAACTTCAAAGTTTAATGAAAACAACTCTACTGCCCCAAATGTCAAGTGACCTGTAGTAGGTTAAGCAAGATTTGAGTGGGCTTTACCCCTCATTTATAAGTCAAGTACACTATGAAAGTTGAGACTGTTGTGGTTCCTACATAACACACATAGACAAACGTAAACATAAACACATGGCTCAACCAATAACAGAACAAACAAAACAAATATCTTCATTAAAGTAAGGATATTCAGAATAAAACTGCTATTAGCTGCTTAATTTTCACGCATGAGCTAAAAATGATTAGATTCTGAAGCACTAGCTATTGACAAATGTGTCCATTAATAAATATCATATTTATATTTATAGTGATTACATACATGCAATACTTTCTTATTAAATTCTACTTAAAATAATTATTTCTGTTCTAATTTATCTTCCAAAGCTAAAAGAAAGTACAGCACAAAAGCTGTGTAAACAGGCCGTGCCATTTTTGTCTCCTTTGTTCTTTTTAAGGCAATTATAAAATCATTAATGGTTTTGGCTATGATAAGTAAAGAATTAAATAGCAAACTTTCATTTTTCCATGCCTGGGCTCAACTTGAAATAAAAAGTTAGTGAATTATGATTCAACATGTGGTTAGAAATTAATTTGTAAACAATAATCGTATTCAATCAACATAGGACATGACATATTAGTTTGTAAAATGGTAAAACTAAATATTAATTCATACAACAATGAAAGCAAATGGTATAATAAACAACCATTTAATGATTCTTTATTGTTCTCTGAAGAAAAGGATTTTTATTCCCCCCAGTCCTGTATTAAGTACATTTCATAACCATAAACATTCAGAGGACCTTTCTATTTTAACCAAAATTTTCTTTGTCTCTTAAATGACAGCTAAAAGTTAGAAATACCAGTCAGCTATATTCTGTTGAAAAATCATTTCAATATGCCATACTTCTCTAAGGTGGAGCATCTATGGAATTACCTACATAAACACAGTCAAAATTTTTTCAATAAAGAACTATCACACATGACTAGTTTGCCATGCAAAATATGCTAGTTTAATTATACTAAATTTGATTTAAATTAATCATATTTATATTATTTCATTATAGTAGCTTTTAGAGATACACATCAAAATCTGTTCAGATCGTAACAACATTTTTACATACAAAACTTAAAAAAGGATGTCTTTCTCTTTATTTAATGTTTAAGAAATGGTCAAAGTTTATAAAATTTTTCCTTAATTTTAAATGGTTTCTTCAAAAGGCGTAACTTCCAAATGCCAATACACAGTTAAAGATTTCGTTATTCTCCAAGTTACTAAAATCTTTACAGACACCTTTTCTTAAGAATAATAAAGTATGAAACAGATACGTAATAAGCCTTAAACAATACCTGAGAGGTCTTGCCTGGGGATTGCCTGCTTCTACATATGGATGTAAATAATCCTTTATGTAGAGATCAGCAGCACTATTAGAATGGGTGCAAATGAGAATCCTGCTGAAATAAATGGTGCAAATAAAAAGAATGATAAAACACAAAACTATTCAAGCAGTATAATACCAAAAAAAAGCAGTGGCCATCTTAAAATTATACATTTCCCTCAACCTACTCAGTAAGCTCTAACATATTATTCAATGATGCCTTTAGGAAATTATATTACTCTTTAGACTATAAAGAAAATAAGTTCCCCAAATTATTTTTAAATCTATCACAGAAAGTTGTTTTGTTTTGTTTTTAAATACAACTCTTCTGACTCTAACATACATCACAAGTCCTTAGCACACTCTGAGTCTGGCTGGCTATTTAAAAGATATTCTCTATATTGCCAACTTTAAAAAAAAAAATACTGTTTTTTTATCTTGCTTTTTTTTTAAAGATTTATTTATTTTTATATAAGAACCGGGGTACAGGCCAGATGTGCAGGAGGGTGAGAGGATTCACCAGAGACAGAGCAGGGAACAGAACAGGCAGACTGACCGAAATACACTGCTGAGGGGAGCAGCGGGTGAGAAGGAGAGGTCTGTTACACCATGTGGTTTGCTCCACCGCCTGCGGGGATGGACCCAGCGCTGCAGAGGCTACGGACAGCCTCACAGCGCTGCGCTCAACTGCCTGCGCCACCAGGGAGGCCCCCAAAAACACAGTATGTTTTAAGAGAATTAAAATTTTAGTGCTTTAGGGTGTTAGTTTTGTCTTTTTCTTTCTTTTTCTTTTTCATTTTTACAAACTGGATGAGAACTGTCTTGTTGGCCTTTGCTTTAAATTCTCAACGGGGACAGAGGCCGTGTCCTAATATAAAATCAGAGCAGACATACCACCTTCTCACCTCGTCTCCTGCTGCTGGAGTATGTGCTTGACGGCCTGAGCTAAAGTGAATGTTTTTCCAGTCCCATAGGGTCCAATGATGAGAACAGGAGGCAGCTGTATGGAAAGCGGAGTTGTGATGGCCAGAACAGCCTCTTTCTGTTTTGCATTTAGCCGAGGATCCAACTGTTCATCCCACTGTCTACAGAAAATATAAATGTAAGTTATTTTAAACACATGCATCTTATTAATAAACAGAATACAGCATATGAGTAGCCTAATTTCACTGAGCCATTAAAAATACTGAAATAACAGCATCTACAGAAACAAATGTTTATTATAAAACTGCTTTTGCAACAATTACTCAAGAGTGTTGATGTGGAATATTTTTGTTATTTGATCAAAACTCAACTTTAGTTATGTTGTCCTATTACAAGACAAAATATTTTTTGATGATTAATCTAAAGACACCACATACTTTTAATCTAGTAGCTGCCAAGTCTATAGATACTGATGGCAATGTCTCAAAAATAAAATTTCTCTGTTACATAAAAGCATCAAAGAAAATTTTTTCTGTAATAATGAAGTGGTAGTTTCACTGCATAGCAAACACAATACACAAGGGAAACTGACTTTCAAATCCTAATCCACTAAACAACCCCTTAAGACGTGGAAAAAAGCCCAAGCCTGTATGTCCCTGTTTAAGAGACAGCAAACATAGAGCTGTTATTCAGAAAAGAGCAGTCTTTTTTAAAAAGGCCAAGAAGGGCCTCCCTGGTGGCACAAGGGGTTAAGACACAACCTATGAAGCTGTCTGCAGCCACTGCAGCACAAGTTCGATCCCCCAGCTGGCCAGGGAGCTACCCACTTGGCACAGCAGACCTCTCCTGACTCACCCGCTGCTCCCCTCAGCAGTGTACTTCGGTCAATCTGCCTGTTCTGTTCCCCACTCTGTCTCTGGTGAATCCTCTCATTCCCCCACACCTCTGGCCAGTACCTCAGCTCTTGTATGCATAAATAAATAAATCTTAAAAAAAAAAAGGCCAAGTAATAGGAAATGTATTCTAATATTCTCATGCACACAAATAATCTACATCTGTCCTACATTTTGGGGTAGAGGACACCTGCCGTGGCAGCACAAGTGACCTATGGCATGAATGAGATCCAGCTCACTGGTCCCGTCACAACTTGGTTAAGTTTCGAGGTTTAAATGGACAGCAGATGCTGAAAGGGATCATACCAAACAGAGCAGCAACAGCATTCTTTCTCACAACTACAATTAAAACACTAAATCTCAACAGCTATGGTAAAAATGATAGGGATGTGAATCAAAATAGGATGGGTGTGTAAAGAGACTCTCAGAAAATTTACAAAATGTCTACAAATAATCCTGAAGGCAGAGGACATGGTTAAGATAGGAAAATCCCCTCTCTGTGAAGCTATACTCTTTTAAAGTCAAAAGCTAATATTTATGGAAAATCTTAACACTTTCAAGTCTTAAAAAAATTATAACTACTGCTATGATAATTTCAAATAAGATTTGCCTAAAAAATATAAAATCTTAGAAAACAAACAGACCATACTTACATGCCACTACTCACTTTCTGAAATTCGAAAAAAAATAAGTAAAAAACAAAAGAACTGACCAGTGTCACTAGATTTCCTGGAATTCATTCACTAAAGCTCAAGCATTTTATTCCAAAGAGTCCTTCAGCACTAACCAGTTTATTGATTCAAAATTCTGCCAGTAACCTGGCAATGTTCTATCCTCTATAAATGAGGAATTGCTCTAGGTGATCGCTAAGTACAGATCTAATACATTTGGCTGAAACTGTGGAATGGTTACCCCAAAACTTCACAGCACCCTTTTTCTCCCTCCATTAATACTGAGCCTAAATAGCTGCAATAGTCCATTTCCCATCTCTTCTACTGGAGATCCAATTTTGGTCAATGAGATATAGGAAGAGGTCCCTCAAAAGGGCTTCTGTATCAATAAAACAACAGAAGCTCAATAAAGGAAACCCCTCATGCTCTTGGCCTTGCTCCTCCACCTGTCAGGAAGGAGCTCATGATGAATAAAACTGCAGCAGTCATCTTGTAATCGGGAAGGAAAGGCATCAAGAAGAAAAACCAACGTAGTCTCTGTCAGAGGAGATGGAGAAACTAGGCCCTTGATGGCACTGCTGAGCCCCAGCACCAACCCTGGATCACCTACCTTCGGGCTTCCCTCTCTACTTGTTTAACATCACAATTATAGCTCAGGAAATTGACATCCATAGCTGACCACTATGATTCTATGTCTGTCCCCAGCAGTCCCTTTATCTGATATGGAGGTAATAATACTTGCACCAAATGGTTATTTTTAGAGATCAAATGAGGTAACACATGCAAATTGTCTAGAAAAATAATTGAGCAGTAAGTGCTCAATTAATGTGAGATTTTATTAATATTAATTTTCTGAGGATTTCAGAAAAAAATATTTTATCTGGTCAGTACACACTTAAACAACAAAAAGATTTCTAAATACCTTCCAATTTTTCAAATTTGGGGACCTTAATGAACTTAGAGATATTAATTATAAAAATAAATATAAGAGGTTAACAATAAACTTATAGGTATAGTTCTAAAATGTCATTCTCTACACAGTCCATTGCTTCAAAACAGATAAAAAACTATCAATATCAGTCATCTCTAGTTTCTGATCATGAATGATAAACATTTATAGAAAGTCAATGAGTAAAACAAGTTATTTATTGTAAAACCTACTTAATAAAGGAAGAAAGATTTACTATGTACATGCCAATGAATCATTTCTATTTTCATAATTTAATATGATATAAAGTCTCTTTGAGTTTATTCTGAATAAGAGTTATCCTATTTCCTGAAGCAAATTAATTCAAAGTTCTTTTTTCTCTGACCTAATTCATTGTTATAATTAATTTATAGACTACATGCTCAAAAATAATTTGAGCATAATAAATTTCATTTATCTATCTGTATTCCACCTTGCTCCAGAAGACTTTAAATGGCTAATGATTTCCCAGTATAATCCCAGACACATAACTTTTAATTACTATTTAAATTACAGTGTTGTAGAATCTCTTCCTGCTTGAAAGTTTTCTTCTACTTGCCATTTAGTCTTTTTTTTTTTTTCTGGTTGAAGTAACATTGGTTTATTATATTACACAGGTTTCAAGTGTACAGACTTACACATCAACATCTGTATATACTATATTATGTTCACCACTAAAAGTCTAGTTTCCATCTATCACTATACAATTGCCCCTTTTACTCAATTTACCAACCTCCCCCTCTCCTTTCCAGTAATCATTATTTTGTTCTCACAGTCTAAGAGTTGGTTTCTGTTTCATTTTCTTTGTTCTTTAGCTACCACAGATGGGTAAATTCATATAGCATTTGTCTATGTTACTGACATTTTCCCACATGACACCTGCAGTCCGTGTATTTGGCTATATCATTATATATAATTTTCAGAAGTGAACATGCCACATAAACATCTAAAACTTTAGGGGCCTCAATGGTGGCCTAGGGGTTAAGTCTCAGCACTATCACCTCCAAGGCCTGAATTCCTTCCCCAGATAAGAAGCTAACCCACATGGCATAGCAGACCTCTCCTCTCTCACCCACTGCTTCCCTCAGCAGTGTATTTCAGTAAATCTGCCTGTTCTGCTCCCTATTTTGTCTCTGGTGGATCATCACACCCCCTGCACCTCTGGCCTATGCCCCAGTTCATCTATGCAAAAAAAACACTTTAGTAGCCCACATTAGAAGCCCTAATTTTCTTCTTTAAACTTGACATCCTAATTAATTTAAATGTGTCACATATTAAGCATGTTGAAGATTCAAAAATAAATAAGACGCAGTCTTCTTCCTTTAAAAGCTCAAGAGACTAATGAGAAAAGAAGAAATGTACACAAATGACAAAATTTGGGTAAAATTATGCTTGAAAGCATGAAACTTACTGAACCGAGCTAACTGTGGGCATTCAAAAAATACCTCTGACATAGTGAAATGGAAGGATCTGGTTCAGCTACTTAAAAGAGAAAGCACTTGAGCTTTCTTAAAGGAAGAGAGATTTTCAATAAATCTTCAATAAATCAATATTGGGTAAAGATTGTTTCAGATAGAGAAAATCACTTACAGACAAGACAGCCAGTTTGAGAGAGGGAGAAGCACAGCATTTAGTGAGTATAGTTTCAGTTTTACAAGATGAAAAAGTTTCAGAGGTTGACTAGACAACATTGTGAATGTACTTAACATTACTGAATTGTACACTTAAAATGATTAAGATGGTAGGTTTTATGTAGATTTTACTATAATTTTTTTTTAATTTTAAGGATTTTTAAAAGATAAGGAGGTAAAGTATACAAACTTCAAGGTAATTCAGAATTGCTAAAGTATGGGAATTTTTTTTAAAGGGAAAAGCGGGGTGTCAAATAGAAAAAAACACAAGTCTAAAAAGAGTTTTGAAAAGCATGGTCAATGAGACCACATAACTTTTTACTGGCTACTCAGACTTTACCTAAATGACAAGGAGAAGTCTTCAGAGACTTGTAAGCAGTGAGATGAAATGATTATTACAGAAACTACCTCTGGAAGAAATATGTGGGTTGGGCCAAAGAACAGAGACTCAGATAGCAGGATGAAGACTGACTAGAAGGCTGTCGAAACAGCCCAGTTCTAAATTAAGCACTGGCTGTGAGAGGGAAGGATGCAGAGAAGCTGAATCAAATGAAAACTGAGACGTCACTGGACTTCTATGATTAGCGGATCACTGACTGCTTTCAGGAGAGTGAAGACATGGAAAACAGGGGCCTCCCTGGAGGCGCAAGGGTTAATACACAACCTATGAAGCTATCCGCTGCCACTGCAGCACAAGGTAGATCCCCGGCCAGGGAGCTACCCACATGGCTCAGGAGACCTCTCCTGACTCGCCCCGCTGCTCCCCTCAGCAGTGTGCTTCGGTTGGTTTGCCAGTTCTGTTCCCCACTCTGTCTCTGATGAACCCTCTCACTCCCCGTGCCTCTGGCCTGTACCCCAGTTCTTGTATGCATAAATAAATAAATCTTAAAAAAAAAAAAAAAGACATGGAAAACACAGACTGAAGAATGAATAACTACTACCAGAAATAGTAGACTATTCCTGCTCAAGAATTTAGGCAGTGGAAAGAGATCAAGCAGTAAGGGCGCCTGACAACAAGAGAGAAATGATTTGGTTTTGGGTTTAAGTCATATTTTGCTTTCTCTGTTTGTAGGTCCAGAAGAAATGGAAAGTGAGAGCAGTGATATGTACCCCTATGCGGCCCATAGACATTACCCACACAACCCTCTGTGCTCATTCTCCCCAGCTACCAGCTGGAGGCCAACACCCAGGGTGACCTTGGATACCACACAGTGAAGATACGAGACCCCTCTATCAGAGATGAAATAGGGTCATCCTGTCATGATTGGATTGACATAAGTGATAAATAAAGAAACTTCTATCATAGAGAGCCACTAAGATTAAAAAAAAAAAAAAATGCAGTGAGCTGAGCCCAAGCAGGAGCTGAGCCCAAGCAGGAGCTGAGCCCAAGCTGAGCCCAAGCAGGAGCTGAGCCCAAGCCCACTGAAAAAGATAAAAGTCAGTTGTAGTCATTGCAGCTATTATCGCTGTCATTCCGGAAACAAAATGCAAGTATCATATTTAATTAGACATAAGCATGTGCTGAATAGAATTTCTTCAGAAAATATTTACTCAACCATTGACTTGAGAGTAGTTTCTGAAGTAGTATCTTCCATGACACTTTCTCCATTTTGGTAAATGACAAAAATGCCTTCTATAGTCAAAATTATTTTAAATTAACTACTTGAACCACTTCAGAAAGGCTCTAATTTCCTCCATTCAACTTCTACTGAGAAATATTCCTAAATTACTTGGCACCCTATCAAATTACAGCTGTGAGAAAAGCAACAGAACTTATTTAGACTCTGAGGAAAGTGAAGAAAATGGATGATGAACCTAAAATGTTTCAATCTAAGGATTCTTTTACTCCTCCTGTCTCAGCTAGTACAATATGTCCTTAAAGTACACTGGCAAACTTCCTTACAAAAGTATGCTTGAATTATTTGACACAGATATTCAATTTAACATTAACATAACTTCCTTTAATACGATGTCTTTTCTGTACCTGTTGGGACTCCAAGGTATGGTTGGAGTCATAGTGATGTCTGGAAATAAAACCCCATTATCCTTGATCCTGTCTAGCGCATAATGCATTTCACAGAGGGGTAATCGATTTAATTGAAACTGAAGTTCAACCTGAAACACAAAAATGAAGTATTTGTTTAAAAAAGCATTAAAGCAAACCAATACTTCTAGCTCACAAGAATACCCTGTGGAGACAATCTTTTAGGGAAGCCAAATCTAGAGATTCATTTAAAGTTCAATCATATTCTAAGAATAATTATACGGTTAATATTTGCTTTGTATATTAAATGTCAGACACTGTAATAAGTATTTGACATAGATTACCTCATTTAATAGTACCAATGATGCATATATATATATATATACTACCTAAACCTCATTTTATATCTAAAGAAATTGAAGCACTTACAAATCACTTAATCTCCTAGATAAAGGTTATCTGATTCCACCATAGCTATAAAGAATATATTTGATAAAATTAATAGAACATCTATGAAATACCATCTCTCAGATGATAAAATTTACTATGAATAATATTCATCAAGTTCTGTTTAAAAAGAAAAAAGTTTAATAGAGCTTCCATATGATCCAGCAATTCCACTCCTAGGTATTTACCCAAAGGACACAGAACCATCAATTCCAAAGAGCACCTGCACCCCTATGTTTATAGCAGCACTATTTACAATAGCTAAGCTTTGGAAACAACCCAAATGCCCAAAAATAGATGACTAGATCAAGAAGATGTGGTACATATACACCATGGAATATTACTCAGCATTCAAAAAAGATAAATACATGCAATTTGCAGCAACATGGATGGCGCTGGAAGGGATCATGCTCAGCGAAATAAGCCAGAAAGGAAAAAGAAAAATACCGGATGGTCTCACTCATAGCAGGAATCTAGAAAACTTAAATAAGGGACCAGGAAAAAGAATAACTATAAGTGAAAATCAAAATCAACAAACAACTATGAACCAGAGACACTCTATGGGTGGTGGGGGGCGGAGAGGGGAGGGATTGGGGTCAAAATAAGGGGACTGCAATTGTATGGGGAATACAAAAATAAAATTTATTTAAAAAAAAAGAAAAAGAAAAAAGTTTAGGTTTCCAGCTTCATATGACAGATTGAGCAAAGAGTTCACCTAAGAATCCAGAACGACAAAGTGTACAGGAGCATTGTTCCAGAATGTAATTTAGTTTCTCTTAACCTGTTCCTCCATTGCTGATTTAAAACTCTAATAAAAAAACTCAACCTTGTATAAAACTGGAAAGTTTTACCAATAGATGTTTCTTAGATCAAAGAGAATAAATTTTCTTTGTTACCAAAAGTCCAATTCTCCACCCATGTGTATAACATGCCAATTGCAGAGGCTCTGATTATGGCAGAAGGTGGCAAATCAAACCAGATGGAGAGTGTCAGATGACAAGAAGATTACAGACAACACAGTTGCTGCCTTCAAAACATACCTGTGTATCATAATCAGGCCGAAGATTAAGTTCTTCACAACATTCCCTGGATATCCTTAAAAATATATATTCTTTTGTCTTTTCTTCAATAGTAGCTTCATAAACCTTCTCTTTGGCTCCCTGGGTCTGCACTAGCTTCTCTTTAGGGACTGGCAATAAATAAACAGCATTGACTTTGGTCATCACCAGCCGTCCAGCCAAAGTATCTTCAGAAAGTGTTTTAGTAAGTTTAAAACGACCAAAAAGTTGTCCATTCTGAGCATACTTTGCACCTCCAGAAACTCCAGTGAGCATGAAGCTTGCTAGAATCTGCAATTGCACTTTAAGGTTGAACCTAAATCAGAAGTAGAAAATGAGTTGAATATTTAGAATCAAAAACTAGAATTAAAAAAAGTCAAAAGCATACCAAAAAAAGAAAATTTCATTATCAGTTCCACTCCATTAAGCTGCAAATTATATACTCTCTTTCTGCTTTTAATCCAAGATGGACACAACAAAACCTTTTTAAAAAGAATGAACACCTACAAAAGATAAGGCTCTCTTGTGAGTCGAGAGCTGGTGCACTCATTCACGCCTCTGTGCATACATGTGAGGATGAGAGAGAACACATGTGTGAAGGAAGTACAGAGAATCAATTAATCTACATGGTCAAGAAACAGGAAGTGAAAGAAACACTTAAACTAACTGACAGCTTATCTCTTGAGATTTTGAAAGGTACTGTGAGAGGGAAAACAAAGTGGTAACAATGGAGATGTTTTCAACTTTTCCACAGAAGGTTTAAAAAATGTGAATGGAAAGAATTAAATTGTTTTAAAATCTGTATTTACCCATTTGTGAAAAAAGGCTATACTTTTTAACCATACTACTGAGCTCTTTTCTTCTCGGATCTTCTTTTGCATCATGATCGCAAGAATATCTAATAAATTCCTAAAGAAAAAGATCCTCTTAAGGGATCATGCTCAGTGAAATAAGCCAGAAAGAAAAAGAAAAATATCGGATGGTCTCACTCATAGCAGGAATCTAGAAAACTTAAATAAGGGACCAGGAAAAAGAATAACTATTAGAAAGAAAAAATCAAAATCAACAAACAACTATGAACCAGAGACACTCTATGGGGTGTGGGGGGCGGGGAAAGGAGGGCTTAGGGTCAAAATAAGGGGGTTGTAATTGTATGGGGAATATAAAAAATAAAATTTAAATTAAAAAAAAGAAATAGATCCTCTTGTAAAGCATTAAAAATTTCTTTAATGGAAATATCTGTGTTGTTTATGACATTAGGAAGCCAAATATAATTAAAACACTACTATTAAGTTTTTGAAAGTTCACTTACATACTTTTTAATAAAATTATAAGGATAGGGAAATACTTTCACAGAAAAAAATTACTGAAGGAAAATAACACATCTAAAGAGTTATTTATGCATATAACAAGTCATAAGAGTTTACAAACTCTATTAGTAATTTGAAAATACATTTATAGTAGAACTCTTAAGGCTCCAAAAATATGTGTAAAATTTTTTGGACATATTTCATGTGACTTTATATGAGGAACAAATTAATTCCAGCAATATTTGCCTATACATATATGATAAGTGGAATTATTAAAAATAACATTTCACTCATTCACTACACATGTCAATAGACCTGAGCTAGAAAGAAATACAGATTTGTATGTTACATAATTATCTTGAATCTTTACAGATAGGAATTTAACACTAGGATTCTATAAAAATAAGTCTTAAGATGAAAATGAAACAAAAATAAACTACATTCCCCAGTTAACATATAATCTGTTTTCCTAGTTTTTCTAAATAAAATATGTGCTTTAGAAAAGAACAGGAACCATATGTTATTCATAGTTTCTCAAATGAAGTTTAATTTTTAAATTTTTCACATCTATATCAGTGAGATTTGGGGTCTTAACTTTCTCAGATCAAAGAAATTTCTTACAACACATTCTTGATTCACAAATGATTACTCTGCAAACACTTTCCTTAAACTCCCTCTTCCATTGACTGTAAAGTCATACTCTCCTACCATTTCTTTCTACCTTCCCAACTGCTCTTCCATCTTCCATCTAAATACCATCGCACCTTCTGAAAGCTCTGTGCTGTCCTTTTGCTTAATCTGTACAGTCCCACCAGAGAGATCTCTCTCCCCTACACCTCTCAGCTCAGGGCTATAAACCCAACTGCCAAATGGAAACCTTGATTATATAACCTGCAAGCTCAACAAGAGAAAACAAAATCACCATCTGATTTCCCCACATACCATGTAAAAACCAACCTTCTGTGTATTATACAACTTCAGGACCGGCACTACCATTCACCTAGGTGTCCAAGCCAGAAACCAAGTTATCCTTGACTTTGTCTCTCTCAACCTTCATTCCCCCATCACATAATCACCAGGCCCTTTAAGTTCTTTCTCCTAATTCATCTGCATCTCAATATACTTAATTTGGATGACTATAACGAATTCCTAACATGGCTGCTTTTTTCAAATCTAGTATGCAAACCATCATCAAGAGGATCTTCGTAAAAATGCAATGATAAGGGCCTCCCCTGGTGGCGCAGTGGTTGAGCACTGGGCTGTGAAGCTGCCCGCAGCCTGTGCAGCGCTGGTTCAATCCCCGGCTACCAGCGAGGGTCCCACATGGCGCACAGACCTGTCCTGCTGTGCCCACTGCTCCCCTCAGCAGTGTATTTCATCAGTCTGCCTGTTCTGTTCCCCACTCTGGCTCTGGTGAATTCTTTCACCCTCCCGCGCTTCAGACTGTACCCAGTGTTTGTATAAATAAATAAATAAATCTTTTTTTTTTTTTTTAAGAAAAAAAAATGCAATGATGAGAAGCAGCTTCTTATGGCTCTGAGGGTAAGGTTTAAACAGCTCTCACCACTCAACCACACGCGTGCCTTCCATTACAACGACTAACAACTTGCAGCTTTCCCCAGAAATTCCTGCTCTTACTCTCATATCCTGTTTCCCCTAAATAAATACCTTTGTCTTATTTCTTCACCTGAAATTTTTTATCTTTTTTTTCAGAATTCAGTTTCAATGCCATCTTGATCCCCTTACTTGACTAACCTCATTCTCTCTACTAATGTGAAGTAGGTACCTCTCATGGGGGCACAGAGGAAGGCCCTTGTACCTTCCTCTAAAGCAGTGCCAATCACACTGTGTGCTAATCACACACCATAGTTGTTTAAGTCCATCTCCCCTCTATTTACAAACTTTGGGGGAATGAGAAAACACCACTTGTTTGCCTTAGAATCAGCAGTCACTAGCCTAGAACTTAACAGAATATTCATTAAGTTGTGCTCACTAAATTAATTTTACATTTTTGCAGTAATCTCATTTTTCCCAAATGTCATATTTTCATTGCAACTACTTTATATTATTCCCTAAGAAATTCTTGAATTTTATCAATTAATATGGACAATAAAGTTTTACTATTACACCTACTTTAGAATCTGCCATCTCAAAAGACTTGATTACAATTTAGCATGCATGAAAAATTAATCTTACAGTTTTAAAGCAATAAGAGAACACACTTTTGGACATTTAGTTGTATCTTGCCACAAAACTCTTGAAGTAAAGACACTAGAAAATAAAAGAACCAATTTTTCTAAAAGATTAACCAATTAAAACTAAAATTACACTAGTAAGCTTTCTTAGGCATTTAAAATATGAATTTCTGAGATTTAATAACTCAGAAATATCTAAAGTATAAATCACATCTTAGAGTTAGATATTTCTTAGGGAAACAAAAAACAATCTTTCCATGACTGCATGCCACAATTTGAAATCAACCTTAAAAGTTTTAGAGAATGGCAGAATAGTAGGCAACCAAATTTTCAACCAATTTAAAACCGCACTTGATAGAACCATGGTTCTATCAATCTTGGCAGTAGTTGTATCCCTTGAGTGTTACTTAAAGAAAATTTCAAAGCTGTCTAGCTAATGTCACGTCATGCACTTTTTGACTAAATGAATGACAACAAAAATCCAAGAAGCAATAAGCCAATAAATAGGTTTTTGAGGCTGAGCAACAGAACCAGGGTATAACTGAGTAAGGCCTGGCACACGGTCATGGTAAAACTGCCTCCCCTGGGGCCTCCCTGGTGGTGCAAGGGGTTAAGCACTGCACTATGAAGCAACCCGTAGCCTCTGCAGCACAAGTTCGATCCCTGACCGGCCAGGGAGCAACCCACATGGCACAGCAGACCTCTCCTGTCTTGCCCGCTGCTCCCCTCAGCAATGTATTTCAGTCAGTCTGCCTGTTCTGTTCCCTGCTCTGTCTCTGGTGGATCCTCTCACCCCCATATCCCTGCATCTCTGGCCTGTATCCCAGCTCTTGTATGCATAAATAAATCTCTAAAAAAAGAAAACCAAAAAACTGCCTCCACACCTAGGCCTGTCATGCCAGCCAGTAGTTAGCACCGAAAAGTCACAGCAACATGACCAGGCACGCCACCACACAATTCAACAGATACAGTGGTTTCAGCCAAGTCGATTTCTTTTCAAAGTACTACGTATTTTAGAATCAAACAGATTTTACTTCAATGCAAAATCATTATTGAATACCTATCGAGACAGCTAAAGAGGATTTTTTTATTTTGAAAAACTCAGAAGCATTTTCTAAAGCTTAAATGAAATACAGTATTATCCTGACCACCCCCACACATGTCACACTAGAAATTAAGAAAGAAGAAACCTCAATTTCTGGACTGCTTTTAAAGACCATTTTTCTCTTAAAAACACTTGATTACTAACATCGACCTCAAACCAAAATATATTTTGTCTAACCTTGAGAGACTTCATTTAATCTACTTTCGAGGCAAGAATGCTAAAGTGACCGTGTAAAAGGTACAGTCCAGTCCCTACAATCAAAATGTAAGAAACCCTTGAATCTACTTTTGTGATTAGAACTATTCTGCTTATATTGTCAGAGTTCACAAATGACCCATACTTTCTCTGGTACTTGGGAAACATCCTACCAATTGTGGAGTAGGTTTGATTTCCAGGTCTATAGGCACATTTCAGTTCCTGCAAAGTACACTGTTACTGTCAATACTCATTCAAGTATTTAGAGGCACCAGTTCATTACCTATAACATTGCCTTCTGGCTTTTAATTGGGTCTTAAGCCACAACAAAACAATCTTTACAATTCTAATGGTTACTTCAGTTTGCTCTATGGCTAGTATTGATTAAACAGACAAGTAAATTGACCCAATCAGACAGACACACCACAGCATGGCCCCCAATGAACAAGTCCAACCTCTGGCCTGTTACTATATATTCCTTGACTAAGAGGTTTTTATAAGAACAAAATATTAAAAAAAAAATTATCTGACAGAGACTGTGCACAGTCCACAAAGCCTGAAATATTTACTCACTGACCCTTTTTAGGTAAGTATGCTGATTTCTATGCTAGAAGCATGTTTTATAGCTGCATGCACATGTCCTTCAAACTCATTTTTAAAAATATTTTAGGTTCTTTGTACTTACTTAAAAATCAAATGAGTCAAATTCAAGGCAACATTAAAGTGCATAAAAAGGTAAAAAATAAAAATAAACCTTTTTAAGCAACTTTTGAAATTGTCAAAGGTTTATGAAAATCCTTATAATATATATTTGTTGTTAGTCCCTCTTCTACCTGCACACAGATGCCTTCCTGTTGTCTAATAACTAGCAGGATTTTCTTTTTTGCATGTGTACCCATTCTATACTGTATTCCATTACACTTTATAAGCCTGCCAAGTTTATAAATATAATTTTCTAGCCTTCACATGTAGGGTTACCTCTGGGTGAGCGTATCATTGGAAAATTACCAGAATTCTGACACAATATTTACTTGTTACCTGTTAGACATGTAGCAATAAATCCTCATTACTATCTTTAAGGGCCTTCAAACCTCTTGTGTAGTCTACATATACAACACATCAAAAGTGATCATGAGATTTGTAACAAGTTGTAAATAACCTTATTTGAATAAGTAACTATAATCTAAAAACTTCTCTTACCATTTCTTACCACAATCTTTCTTTTCATATCTAAGGACAATTTTATACCATGATCATCAAATGCTGCAATTAACAATGTGCTAATTTCATTTCTTTGTTTGCTTTTTCTTATTATATTAAGTGGTCATTGTAGAACACTTTAAAAATAGAGAAAACTATATATAAAAATCACCTAAATTCTAACAACCAGAACATTTTGCTTTAATTCTTTCTATTATGTTTATATACAAATGCATATAAACACAAATATACAAATTAGAATTGCAGAGGATAAGGTTTTATAACTAGTATATTATCCCCTTAATGCTTTACCATGAGCATCTTCATGGCATTAAAAATTCTCCAAGGAAGTAATTTCAATAGTTCTATATTTGATCACATTACTCTTAATTTATTTGACTTACTCTTCACTACTCTCTGATGTCAGTGTTATGTTTGTACATAACAAAATATGTAAAACATCCTTACCTTTACCTCTGACTATTTCTTCAGGATGATTCATCCTAAGTACAATGACTATATCATAAGGTTCAAAGTTTCTAAAGATCCTGAACATGAACTGCCAAACAGCACTCTGAAATATGTACCACCTTAGTTTGCCACCAGCACTCATATCATATTGCAGGTCTTCTCAAGATTTTGCAAGTTGCTTCAGAGTGAACTTTCATCCACTTATCTTCTTGACAGAATCTGACTGCCACAATTTCGTAGGATTTACTCTTTCTTCCATCCCAACTTTCATTTTCAAAAGTTTTTTAAATATTTAAATTATTTTTGAAATATTAATAATCTTTAAGCATACAGGTCTTTTATTATAATTTCTTAGGTATTGTAAAAAAATGATCTATAAATTTCAATAAATTATTTAAAAAATATCATATAAAATTTTTTTCTGACTTTCTATGTATTCCAAAAAAAATTTATGGTTCTAATAAGTTTTTAAACCCTGTTTTATCCCAATATTTATGATTTATCATAGTGTTCTTTCCTAAGAAAAAGGAATCTATTATAATGTAAATCATAAACTTGCATAGTAATGTGAATAATGTGCACTAGGCAAGCCACTGTTCCTGTTATTTAGTAACTGACAATTTCAATGGGACAATCTATAGAAATAGTTGATAAAAATCTTTTTAAAAGACTATCAACATACCATGATTTAGAGTCTTAGCGTAGGGCCTCCCTGGTGGCACAAAGGGTAAAGTCTCAGCACTAGCAAGCTATCACCATCCACTGCAGCATGAGTTCAATCCCCGGCCAAGAAGCTGACACACAAGGCGCAGCAGACCTCTCCTGTCTCCCCAGCTGCTCCCCTCAGCAGTGTATTTCAGTAGATCCTCCTGTTCTGCTCCCCACTGACTCTGGTGAATCCTCTCACAGCCCTCCACCCAGCACCTCTGGCATACACCCCAGTTCCTGTATGCATAAATAAATAAAAATAAATCTTAAAATAATAGTCTTAGAGAAACAAAAAGTACATTACACTTTGTCTTTGCAATTTTTACATGCATATAATTTGAAATCAGACACTATAAAAGTTAGATTCTATATTAATCTAGAAACATAACAGAGTAACATGAGGTATGTTGAAGTTTTCATTTTTCCTTTTTTGAATACATCATTTTTAATGAGCATTCAGTATGTACAAATAATATTAATGGTAAGGTACCAATAAGGCAACTTGGAAAAGAAAAATATATTGGTTAGGCTATATTTCAAGAGAAAGCTACTTGTAAAAATGCGTTTATATCCCATAATGACTTTAGATAAAATCATTCCCATTTTATCTAAAAAAACAGAACATGTCCATGAAATGTAACAATTATTTTATTAATATCTTCATTCACTCAAGCCTTCATTTCTAAGATTACTTTCCCTACAATGATTGAAATAAACCTTTGATTTATATACTCGGTCTTAACCTGTGGCATACAGATAAAATGTAAACTATGTTAATGCATTTATAAACTGCTATAAGATATTTTATTATCATCAAAAGATGTTTCTGGTGATTTTACTCATTTCATCCTTAAAATTACATTTCAAAATAGGTGGTCTCTTTCAGTTGTCATACATTTATTCAGCAAATATTCATTGAGTGCTTGCACTGTCATTAACAGAAACTTCCTGAAAAGCAGGGAGCACATGTTTCTACTTGAAGTACATGATAGAGTCTTGTGGAAATGAACTACACACTTGACACTGGGCGTACCAAAATGAGCAAGACACACTCTTGCCTTACGAAGCTCATCTATAGCTATGGAATAACAACCATTTTCCGGCCTGTTTTCACTTAGGTATATCCCCATTTTAAAAGTAAAAAATACCATCTCAAGAAGAGATTATAAAAACAAAGGTGTGTCTAAAATGACTTACTTGCTCACTTCTTTATACTGGGCTATCTCCTCAATATAAAGAAGGTCATGCAACCGTGACTGATAGTTGCTCTTGGTCAATGATTTGTCTAAAACAGACTGGGTAAATAGCTGGTCAGCAGAGAGAGGAATTTGGTATCTGATAAGAAGGCTCTTCTCCAAATCAGTAGTTTCATTAGGTTCAAAATCTATAATAGTCTTAGAAGAAGAATCCCAACGCTTAGCTGTGGTTACTAGCTGCTGTTTTGCATGCATCAGGTATTCAAGATCTAGATGGAAACAAAAAACACATTTATAAAGGAACACAACATTAAAATTCTCAAATAACACATGTACATGTATGCTTTGCTAACAGAAGTTTACATGCTAGACCTAATGTTCTTAAAACATAGTTATACAAAAATCTATTTGACGTTATTTTCCTCATATCGAAAATATTCTCTGTCTAGCTTAGCAAAATAATGTAAGTAGGAATCCATGTAAAAAACATCTTTTTTTTTTTACATCAGGCCACGTCATGCCAGAACATTACTAACATTTGAAAGTACAGATAACATTTAGAACTTAACTCCTCAGTCAAGAGAAATCTGATCTGCAGGAAGAAGATACGATAAATTCCTCAATAGACAAAATATCCAGTGGTATCACTTTTCTCTTCCTACTGCCAATACTTGCCCCATTATAGAAAGAGAAGATCAGAAAACTGAAAGGTCAAATCTTTTCTGTGTGTGGTAAAGCATAATGAAACTCTCTGTGAGTCAATTTACACAAAAAAACTCTTAGAAAATATTCATGTAAAACACTACTAATTATACATTAAAATGCAGTATGATATACCATTCAAATGCCATTCCACAGAAATCCAAGTTTAGCCTCAGTTAAATTTTACAGAAAAGTAGGGCACAATGTCAAAATAAATAATTGTTCAAGTTTTGACATCCCTGAAAGAAAAGCAGTGTAACAGCAGCACAGGGTGAAATACAGCATAAAACCTAAGCGCTGGGTAAACTCGCTCTATCTGCAGTGCACATGGCTTTTCTATTAGGTGGAATATATATACCCCTGTAAATATGGAACTTAACCAATGTGGAAAAAAAAAGTTGCTTAACTGACTCATTTGTCCAAGATCCAGTTTTAATATAATGAACTTGACAGGTGGCTTCACAATGCAAGTCAAAATTTTAGGAAGAAATGAGAAGTTTTAATAGATCAGTTACTCTCTAAAATACAAAGACAAAATATTTGTCTCTATTTGACATGAAAACATAATAAGTAACTCTCATCTCTTACTGAGATTCCCCTACATTTAAATGTTATAAATTATAAACCTATGCACAAAGCCATTCACCAAGAGAAATTTCTCAATATTAGAAAATAACTTATGATAATTTTATTAAAGATTAAAATGTAAAAAGGCCCTAGTTTAAAAGCAAAGGCCCTAATTTATAACCTTTGCTCCTTAAAAAGACAGTTTTATAGGGCCTCCCCTGGTGACGCAGCGGTTGAGCGCTGGGCTGTGAAGCTGCCTGCAGTCTCTGCAGCGCCGGCTCGTTCCCCGGCCACCAGCGAGGGTCACACACACACACACACACACACACAAAAACAGTTTCATAGGTCAGTTTTATTATCTCTCAAATGACTACCTAAATACAACTATAATCATCAAGATGTATAAAAAGGTGGTCTACTAATTAAAAAATCTAAATTTTTCAAGTACTCCACATAAGATAATGATGATTTTTACAATAGCTTAGCAAGTTCAAGATTTATAAACTAGGGCCTCCCCGGTGGCGCAGCGGTTGAGCGCTGGGTTGCGAAGCTGCCCGCGGCCTCTGCGGCGCCGGTTCGATCCCCGGCTGCTCCCCGGCCACCGGAGGAGGGTCCCACATGGCGCGCAGACCTCTCCTGCCGCCCGCTGCTCCCCTCAGCAGTGTACTTCGGTCCTTCTGCCTGCTCTGCTCCCCACTCTGGCTCTGGTGAATTCTCTTACCCTCCCGTGCTTCTGACTGTACCCAGTGCATGTGTAAACAGAACAAACAAATAAATAAATAAACATGCCTCTATTAAAAAAAAAAAAAAAAGATTTATAAACTATCCACACTTCCTAAGACACTATAAAATTGGACCCCACCCATTAACTCATTTGATCATTTCTACAAAATACATCTAAGACAGATAATATCATCGCTAAAGATCAGGTGCTAATTATCATCAAAATAGCAAAAATGTATCAATTTCTTTCCTTAATTCAAATCTCAAAAATGGTACAATGAAGAAACCAAATAGTCATTTCTTTCAAAATAAAATAAACTCTACATGATATTGAAGAATCTATTAATATGTAATAAAAGGAAGTGCAGCGATTCCTTGGGGATAGGAGAGTTGTATTTCAAAATTTCATTTTAAATAACAAATAGATTCAGACTATGCCTAGGTCAATATTATGTTCACTTTCTTTAAAAAGTCACTAGCTAGTCTTTGCTTAGATTTAAGTAACTGGGATAATAACAAACCTAAAATAGTATAGCTTTCCTTGGAAAAAGCTTTTTGTAGTACCTATTTCATATGCAGGGCAAACTGTACAGAAAGTCTTTCTGCCTGGGCTGGAAAGAGTCAGGTCTTTGGGGAAAGAGGCAAAAGCACATGCTGTTCTCATCCTGTCTGGATAGTGGCAAGACTCCCACCTTGATTTTATAAAATTCTTAAAATGAATGATTTCAGCAAATAGTACAAACATTTCAAAACAACTGCCCATGTGGATTTTTATTTCATTTATTGTCTTAAATGACTATTTGAACAGGGCAGAGGAGGGGAGAGTTGGGGAAAAAAGAAGAATCTTGAAAAAAATCACATGTACCAACATCAAAAAGCCTACAGACTACTGATGCCTCAGTCATTAACTCAGACATCAAAAATGAACTGTGGTGAGCCTCCCTTGTGGCACAGGGGTTAGGTCTCAGTGCTATCAAGCTATCGCCAGCCACTGCAGCATGAGTTTGATCCCCAGCCTTGGGGCTCACCCACATGGCACAGCAGACCTCTCCTGTCTTGCCCGCTGCTCCCCTCAGCAGTGTATTTCAGTAGATCTGCCTGTTCTGCTCCCCACTCTGTCTCTGGTGGATCCTCTCACCCAGCCCCACACCTCTGGCCTAGACCCCAGTTCTCATATGCATAAATAAATAAAATAAATCTTTAAAAAAAAGACAAAATATTTGTCTCTATTTGACATGAAAACATAATAAGTAACTCTCATCTCTTACTGAGATTCCCCTACATTTAAATGTTATAAATTATAAACCTATGCACAAAGCCATTCACCAAGAGAAATTTCTCAATATTAGAAAATAACTTATGATAATTTTATTAAAGATTAAAATGTGGCCAGTAACTACTAAGAAGGTAGCTTCCAAAAACCACTTGACTTTTCCTACTTCCAATGAACTTGAGGTAAACATCTGCCTGCAATCTTCTCATTGATAGTAAGTTAATTAAACCTGCTTAACACCTACCTAAAACACAGGTCTTGGTACTTCCTCTTTAAATAAAGGAGAGAAATGAGGTTCCCCAAGGGAACACTGGACATGAGTAATACTGGGGCTCATGTCACCCCTCCCCCACCTGCAGCACGTGCACACCTGCTAACTTCTAAACCAAACACATGCACTACTCAGGGCAACCAGGCCTTGGTAGACACTTTTCTTCAACGTACATTAGACTAGAATGAAAAGCACTCTGGAAAGATGAAAAGTGAACAAGTTAGAATCAATACTCATAAAACCACATAGGGAGAGCTTAACACTGCCTTATTAACCAACTCCTCAAAGAAAACTTGACAGAAATAAGCCTATGGACTTTGTTACCCTGAGATGTGCTAGGCAGAAGCTACAAATATATTTTAAGAAAAACATACAAGGAAAAGCTAATGATAACTAGAATATACCTAATCTTTTGAAGATATATCATGAGGGAAAAGCTGCAACTGTCCAAAATAGAATTCAAGGTTGGAATAACTTCAATGTTAGTCTGACACAAGATAGGCTCGCCAATTTCCCTGACCTTCTGATTACTGAGAATAGCAGCTCTCTCATTTCAGTCACACAGTTACTACTCTAATAAAGCACCAGAGGGTTGGGTTGGTGTGTTTTGTTTTGAAGTAGATACTACAGTACACTTGAAAATTATCCTTAATAGGACCTGGAGAGTAGATAAGGAGGGGGAAAAAATCCAATATTCTGTGTACTCAGCACAAGGGCTAACACAAAAGCAGCACAAAATAAACACATATTACTCTAGATACCAAATTTATTTAAAATAGCTGTACTTATCTAGGAATTAAATAAAATGAGATAAAATGATTCCTAATTCCAAAATCAAATACCATATATCCGTAGGAAACTCTCTGATCTGTGACTTTACAATCTTAACTGTTAACAATAAAATAAAATCCAGAAGTAATCCCAAACTACCACTTCAAATACTCATTTCACCAAAACTGCTGCATTGAAACAAGGTTTTATAGCTGGTCCAAGTTGTCTGGTCCCATTTTCCATCTCTTAAGGAGACCAATAAGTTAAAATAGAGTAACAGCACAGGAGTACCTTACACTTTTAACATGCTTTACTCAGCTGAATCATTTATTGACAAATACACTATCATTTAAAGTCAATTTTTCATTACTTTTCTAATCACCTAATATTAAGTAAGTGTATATATACATATTTATAATGTTGAGCATTTTTAAGTCACTAAATGCTAATGTTGACATACACTGCTAGACTCAACATACAGAAATATATAAAGTTTTTAAATTGAAATATAAAAAATATTTTCAACATGTAGCTTTCAGATACTCAAAGCAGAATTTCAAATCAATTTTGCTAGGTAAAAATTTTCCATTACCCAAAACTCTAGTATAAAGTGTATAATGCTTCCTTCTTTTGTAGGTATCTTTTGCCACAAATTTGTAAAAGACACATCTTGACTCCAAAAAAAAATTTTTGTAATCTTTTCTTGACCCTCAATCTCACCAACAAGGGAAAAACACTAAAAAAGGTAAATTTAAAGCTATATGCATTTCCTGAAGAGTTTGCAGGACTGGCATATAACAGCTAGAAGAAAAAATTCATTCACAGCCTATAAATAGAAAAGACTGGGATGCTTTAGACATCATGACAATAATGTAAGAAAAAAAAAAGCAGGTTTTTTTCCCGGATTCAAATTTGAATTAACTATAGCAATTAGAATTTTCAGTTCAGTACTGAACAATGAATTAAATAAATGTCTGCTGAATAACTTAATTTTGAGTTTCAAAGCGTAATGCACTGAGGTAACTAAGTTCCAGGATGCGATCAGTTTGACAGACACTGAGCCTATAATTACCGAGCTGCACAGTGATCTTTAAGAGGGAAATAAAGCATGCACCATTTCCAAACAAATTTGTACATGAACTCTTCACTTATTATTAAGATATCACTTATTGATTTCAGTGGAACACAGTTATAGAAACACTGATATCAGATGGTCCAGTACGGTCCAAATTTCTAACTCTTTGGAAGAGAAACACATGTTCTCAACATTAATTTAAGGACAAAAACTTCCTTAAACAATGAACAGTTAATTAAATGGAAGAAATACTAGTAAAGATATTTCCTATTCAAACTCTAGTTTTACATCATCACTATATTTCTTTGTGTGTGCAGATACCAAATTATATTATGATGTAATTTACAGTATTATCAAAACTATATCGAGACATGACAAAGTCCAGAACTAAGTCAATTTCCTAATTCCAAACTGCATTTGGTCAACATATTCCTGGAATTATGTCCCTCCTAGTTCTAGGTCAAGGAAGATCAAATTATCAACAAGCTTGATGCTGGAGGTGAAATTAGCCAGGCTGTCACTTTGTCACCAATTTAACAAAGAAGTTTCTTCTTCTCAATGCTTCTAAACGTTACCCACATAAGTATCCCAGGAATAGATAACATTGAACACTGACATTTTACATTCTTATTCTTTTTATTAAACCGTGATTTCCCATAAACAAATCTTTTGTCCTCAATTTTTTGCTGACAGGCACTCTGCTGTAATAAAAACACTGCCTACCACTAAAATAGGGGCAGGAAATAAATATTAAACTGTTTATATCTTGCTTTCACTTCTCCAAAATTGTGTTGGGACTATGTCCACAGTTACACACTGAAACAGACACAATGAAAATTTCAAACTTGGGCCTCCCCTGATGGCGCCAGGCGGTTGAGCACAGTGCTGTGAAGCTGCCCCACAGCCCCTGCAGCACAGCTTCGATCCCAGCCGCCCGGGGAGGGTCCCACATGGCGCAGTAGACCTCTCCTGTCCTGCCCACTGCTCCCCTCAGCAGTGTATTTCATCAGTCTGCCTGTTCTGTTCCCAGCTCTGTCTCTGGTGAATCCTCTAACCCTTTCACGCATCTGGCCTGTACCCCGGTTCTTGTATAAATAAATAAATAAATCCTTAAAAAAAAAAAAAAAAAGAAAATTTCAAACTTAACAAAAACATGAAGATATTCAACATCAATTTTAAGACGAGGGAAAACAGAAGACAAAGATAAAACTAAAAATTGGCATAACAGATCAGCTAATTTAAGTAATCACCAAATAAGTCAGTCAAACGTCATTTAGTTTGCCTAAACCTAGATTTAAGTCTTTCTTTACATAATGTTCAAAATCTCATTTTGTACATTTATATTATAAATATAATATTTACTTTTTCCCTAATAATATTTACTTTTTCTCTGTTCTCAAAAAACAAATCTTACTCTATGAAAATGCTTAGTCGCTTTCAATTATTTTCTATACTATAACTTCTAAGAGATAAAACCTTGTTTAAAGGAAATTAAGATATCAAACAGCAGAGAAGTCACTGGAAACAAAAGGATATAGAGAATTATAAAAAGGGAGAAGGGTATAACATTGGTTCTAAATGGGACATCTTTGTGTTAATTCCACCATATCTGAAAGAAATATAAAATTTATTATATTTTCAAATTGATATATTAGGAATATCAGAAATGAAACTATTTCTTTCAGCAACACCATTCCAAATGTCAGTCATCGTGGACCACTTCTCTTCTACCCTCTACCATATTCTCTTGCCAAGATTTGTAGGTGCTGCAGCTTTGGAGGCTCGGGTCTCCCTCTCTGCTTCTGAGTCCCTTTGCTAGCACCCTATTCTGGGTCATTTTCTTTAAATCCTCCTTCTCTCTTCTTACTGTCTTCATCCTGTATGTAAGCCAGAAACTACCCTAACCATGGCTGATAAAAATAACAGCTACTATTTACTGAATACCTACTGTGTGACAGATATTGTGCAAGGTTTATTTCTGGCTCGCACAATAATCTTCTAGAACTAATTGTTCCCAGCCCATTTTATAGATGTTCTTCATGAAGCCCAGAAATGTTAGGTCCTTTGCCCAGAGTCACTGGGGTAATAAACAGGTAATCAGGATTCAAACCCAATCCTACTTGACACTGAGTATGTTTATTTAAAGTGTTTTTTCTTCAACTAGAACAGTACATATCTGAGGTAAAGTAGCCCAAATACCCTAAATCTCTTAAGCCCATGAAGGTACCCTAAAATCCTCATCATCACCATCTCTTTCATTATCAGCTATTTCAATAGCAGCCTTTTTCTCTTACTCACTATGACAGATATTTAATACTTTATATTATTAATAAAATAGGCTTTTTACTAACAAGTTCAGATTCTTAGCAATACTTACAAACTTATTTCTATGGGGAAAATGAGTCATAAGTTATAAATTAACAATATAAAAGCAAACATCTGAAATATAACCCACATGTAAGCCAAAAACATCCTTTCAGAGTTATATTTGAGACTAGAATACATGCTGGTCTCCATAATTTAAATGTCCTTACGATTCAAAAAGGATATTTCCTAGTAGTTCTCAAGTTCTAGACTCTAAAAGCAACTTAGTAGTACAGGGGTAGGCAAACCACAGCATGCAGCCCAATCTAAACCACTGTTGTTGATTTTAAATAAAATTTTATTGTCACACAGATAACCCCATCACTTACATATTGTCTATGGCTGCTTTCTGACCTGAAATATTTACTAACTGGTCCTTTGCAGAAAAAAATGCCAAAGAACTTTTATACAAGAAAATATAATCACAGAGTTTAATTTTGTCAATGAGCATATCCATTTGGCAACGGAAATGAACATATTCTGATTGCAACAAACACTGAAAAGATGACAAAAACAAAATACAACAGACTGAAAAGAGGCAAAAAAGATCAAAGTAAGTAAAATGAAGTCTGGGTAATAATATTAGCATGTACACAAGAAGGTAATGACTACTTGTTAGATTTTGGTACAAAACTTGCTCTAACTTTTCTAGCAGCTTAAGAAAGAAGACAAAACAAGTTCTACCTGTTTACTATGTCCAAAAACTAAAATCCTAGCATTTACTAAAGAAAAAAAGTTCTAGGTTCCTTAAATGAGACGTGATAATGAAACACTCCACAGCACAGTTATTTATTTCATATTACGCTGCTATGTGAAGTGGTCATTAAATAAATATCTAGTGTTTGTTAAATAAAGCACTTAAACGCCAAAGCAAGGTAGGCTACTGTGCCCTTTCCCTGTCCCTTTGGATCTTGGCATAAAATTTAAGGATAGGCAGAAATATTTGGACAACATACAAAGTAATTCATCACCTTCTGCTGATGCTTACGTGTTAAAACCAGGACCCAGAGCAGATCCTGTGAAAAGACTCTTTTATAGTACTGAATGCACAAAACCAACTTGTGAAAACTTGTATTTAGGACTTTTCACTCAAAAGATAATGTACTGACACCGGCAATTTTAACTGGATAATCGGACATGGAAATAGGCATTACAGGTATATTCACAATTACCACTACAATGATATTCTACCCAAAGTAATATTAAAAGGGTTTATACTATGCCAAAATTATCTTACTTTAAAAACAGCTGGTAGACCAAAACAGACCTGATCATGTATTCACGTAAGTCTAGGGAATCTCAAAGCAAGTTTTGCCTCATGACTGTATAAAGAGACTGTATAATGTGAACCATTACAATCTCATTACACAGTAAATGAGTCAATTAATTTGGAGGTTTTTTTCCCTTATTCTCTCCCTAAATGCATGGAATATTTAGGGGCCAATACATATCTTTTAATGTTGCTATTATAGTGCTTTTTAATACATTGTATCAGGGGAAAAAAGTCTAAATATTACCTTCTGTAGAAGCTGCATCAATCATTACTCTTTGCATGAGTACTGGTTCCAATCCAAAGTCGAAAACTATGGTTTGGCGAAAAGTTCCAAATATTTCTGTGTTAAATGCTATCCCGACTTTATACACGTAATGATCTAATCCATTTTGGGCCATCTTTCCTCCTATCCATTCTTGACAGTTTTCTGGGACTTCTTGTGATACCTGGGTAGTACTATCTCCGGCAGATATTGCAATGATACTAAAATGAGGACGATGAGCATCATAAAGCAATGCTACACGATACAGCATTCTTGCAGGCTACAAGGAAGTTAAAATAATTCATTGAGTACAAGGGGTTGAAAAATCCAATTGTAATTGGGCTCTTCAATGAAAATACTTCTATAAGGGACTCTTACTTTCCATGCTTCTAAGATAATATGTTAAAAATACAATTGTGCTCATTAGTCATTTAAGAAAAAAATAATTTTTTAAGAATCAGTTGTCAAAAATCACATATTTAATTTGCCATCAATTATACCTCAGTAAAGCTGAAATTTGAAAAATGATATATTTATGCTACACCACTAGTCTCCCTACTCTTTCTGAGACATGTTCATCTTCAATGTGGCAAAAGCTATCACATAAATGACAATCCACCTCCAACTTTCCATACCCTTGGCCTAAAAAGTTCTATCTAGACTCAAGTAGGAAGTCTTCATAGGAAAAGCAGTTACCTCTGAAGGCAGTGGATTGAGTTCAAGGCCAAAGCTAGAAGTCTGCAGTTTTCATCCCAAAAGGCAGATGGTACAGTGGAAGAAATGCCACCAAAAAGTACACAAAACTTTGCCACTGCACATATTCACAGAAATATTTTATTTTGTTTCATTCTTAAACTTTGAATATTATAATTCAAGATGGGAAGCACTGAAGAAAATGTCTCATATTAAAAACTCATTATTACAGAATTTGTGATTTCATCAAATCAAATATAAAAACAAGTTGTCATTTTTAACTATATTAGAACTGCCAAATTAAACAATTCAATTTTTTAATAGTTAATTATAAGCCATGAACCCCATCCTATGTTACATGTTTGGAAGACATTGTCAGAGAGCTCTTTTATCAAATAGATAATTAAATAAGCAAGCGTCTAAATATTTACAAAGACTTTATCTCAAAATCTAAAAGGAAATTTGTACCTTTAATGATCAAAATAAAGAAATACATGTTAGTATGATATGGGACCTAAATGGAGTGTACTAAGATGAAAATTTTTTCGATGCTATTTTAACACAGACTTAAAGATCAAAAAAAAGCTTTAAGAGAAATTAAATAAAAAATTAAATAAAAAATTTAATTAGCACAAAACTCATACCTTACAAGTGAGAGCAAAGGTCCATGTCTGGTGAGACTTTTTGGTGTTGACAGTAACGGACAGATCTGGATTATGCTCTACTTTTACTCCTTCTATACATTCACTAAGCTGAAAATAAAGAGCAATTCTTGTTACGTTTTTATTCCTAAAAGCACAAAAACTTTGACATGACAAATAAATGTCAACAGTAAAGATGGTGAAGCAACTGTTTACAAAGCAAGCATCTTAGAGTTAATTTTCTGGTATTTTTTAAGAACAAAATATTATAAAGCTAAAGAAACAAAAGAAAATTAACCCTAAAAGACAGCGGTAAAAACTCTTTGAATGAAGATAAATTAACATAAAACCTGCAAATCTCTAAATAAATGGCTTAGCTTTGCTCTTTATTTTAGCAAATGGGTGTATTTTTGCTACTAAAAACACTTTATCAAGAATCAAGTTCTTCATATATAGGATAAGGAAATAAATGAAAACATAGCACAAAATAAAGTCAACACTCAAACAAGGCCATAGCTTAAAACAAACAAACAAACAAAAACGTAGTTTATTTTCCTCACCACTTTCTCAGGAGATAATGAATTCATCCACTTTTCTATCAAGGTTTCCATGTAACTGCCTGAGAGCTGTTTATTCTCATTTTGCTGTTTCAATTTTATCAACCGTGAAGCATATCTTTTCTGCCATTCTGCTAGTTCTTCCTGGGAATGTGCTGAAGTACACTGGGCACCATACCTACAGATTCCTTGCTCTAAAAATCTAAGTAGAATAGGAAAGACTTTTTATCATATACTTTGTTGGACCATTTAAAAGATAAACTTCCAGCATTTGCCCTCTGACTCTTCAATAATAAAAACAGAACTTCATATCATCACACTGTTTTTGCAGAGGAGGAAGAAGAGGTTTAGAGAACATTTCAAAAGTTCATCAAAACGGCAACTCCCCATATTCTTTCATGGGAATAAGGAGAGGCTAAGGAAGAACATATTCATGACCACCACCCTCGTCCTTCAGAGACAGTGAAAAGGTAGATTCCTTCATGACACAGCAGCGATATTAGACGATTCCTCTAAGAGCAGAATTTTTCTAAAGCAACACTGACATCAAGTGGATTAGTTCCTCGAACACAGGTATGCCCTACTTCCCAAATGATATGACCTCAAGAAAATTTTCTACATACTGTGAAATTTCATTCTGGAAAAAAATTAATAGCTTGTTAAATTGTCACATTTTTACTCTTTTCACATGGCTGTTAACTATATTTCATTGAAAATAATGGTTATTATTAATATGTTTGAAGTTTTAAATAAAGAATAAAAGTTTTATATTAAAATCACAATTTATCCAACAATCAAATTAAATCCTTTAATGGGTAAAAATTCACACATTTTATTTTTTTTTAAGATTTATTTATTTATGCATACAAGACCTGGGGTACAGGCCAGAGGTGCGGGAGGTGAGAGGATTCACCAGAGACAGAGTGGGGTGCAGAACAGGTGGATCCACTGGAGTATACTTCTGAGGGGAGCAGGGGGTGAGACAGGAGAGGTCTGCTGTGCCATGTGGGTTGCTCCCTGGCCAGGGATGGAACTCAGTGCTTCAGTGGCTGCAGATTGCTTCACAGTGCTGAGACTTAAACCCTTGCACCACCAGGGAGGCCCCCACATGCATTTATTTTAAAGGAGACTGAATTAATGATATCTCAGTACTGATAACTCAGAAAATTAAACTGACAATTTGATGATCAAAAACAGATAAAAATGCAAGATTCTGATCTTTTTTTTAGTTTTAAATACCCTGCAAAAGTATGGGTTCAGTCAGTTTTTAAACAATTGAAACATTACAAAATTAATAAAAGACCCTCTGAGAAGAAATTAAAATTAAACTATAAATAGTAAAGCAGAAACATGAAAGATATAATTTTTCAACTGGAAAAATGTGGACAGTAGAAAGATAAATGAACCGTCGCACAATATAAATTACCAAATGGTTCGCCCTACTTAAAAAGGTAAATAGTTTAAAGCTTTTCTTGATTATACGAATAGTGTACTTGAACTAGTAAGTTGTACTATGCTTCATAAGACATTATTCTCTTAAGTGTGTCTTCATGAGACAAGTATTTCTTTGCCTTGCTATTGCTTTATTTCCCTAAAATTTGACAGTCTTATATTCTTATCCAGACTGTAGGTTCTCACAAATCCTTTGTACAGGATTGTGCACTACCTCCCCTACAACAAAACACCACCAGGATTTTTAAAATTTTCTAGTTTCTTTATACCTATCTGAAGTCTTGACTATTAAATCATCAAAACTACATACCGAATTTCCTTCATTATCAAAGGCAATCTAAAGAAATGAGAATTTACATCCAAAATCCCACTAGTTACTACTTTTCATAAAAGAAACTCAAGAATTTACCTTTTTAAATGTGACTTTAATAATTCCACTTTAATATATAACTATTCAATTTGAATAATTCAATTTTATATCCTTCAAATATAAATTATTCCTAAATTCCATAGGGATTACATGAAGATAACAAATTTTCTTTTCCCTAGGGAAGTTATTAAGATATCTGTACACCTCTTTGTCTATTTTATGTTCTACTTCAGTTTATGTAAAGTAATCTCAATTTCAATAACCATAAGTTAAACAAGATGGCCAGCAATTAAATCCTTATAATAATAAAATTGGTATAACGAGAGACTACTAAACAAAGCCTTCACCTACATTTGGATCATTTGGTAATTAACAGGAGGCTCATCGATGTGGGTATGCTTTTATTATTTATGATAACAACCATAATGGTTTCTGTTTCAAATAGAAAATAAACCATTTAATACTCAACCATGACACACCTGACCCTTGAACAACATGACAGTAAACTAGGAGCACCATGCTGTTGAAAATCTGCATACTGTAACTTTGATACCCTAAAATCTTAACTACAGTGATCTTGGTATCATTGGGGACTGGTTTTAGGACTCCCTCCAAAACCAAATATCTACTAATTCCAAAATCTGCTAATACTCAAGCCCCTTATAGTCCATATGAGGAGCTGATCCACCATATCCGGGAGTTAATCACTAGAGGATTCAGCCAACTGATATCTGAGGTTGACTGAATGCTGAATGAGGAACCCACCTATCTAAAACAATCTGATATGAGTGGATCCACACAGTTCAAACCATGTTGTTCAAGGACCAACTGTACTACATATTATCACCTTTAAATTTGAGTTACTACTTTTCAAAAAGTGAAGGAAAGTAACTGTCCTTTGAAGAAAGAAATATTATTGTTTAAAAAAAAAAATAATTCACCTTACCTTTTACACAAAGTATATTCCTCGCTGCTTGTAATTCCCCTAGGTGGTGGGCGGAAATGCCAACCATTACAAGATCCTAAAGAGTAATCAGGATATAGTCATATCATTTGAGGCTTGCTAATAATTCTGATACTTTAATAAGAAATATTACAAGCAAACCCACTGCATATATCAACTGGGATGATGTAAAAAAGGCATACTCGCTCCTACCAAAAAAGTAATCTGCCAATTGACTAAGTTAAATTAACTAACCATGTAAAACTTAGAAATCAGTGGCGAAGCAGTCACCCAACTGCTATTTCATGTCAATAATTGACTCTCTCCTAGCAAGTGGTGGACATGTTTCCATGCAGGGAGACGCGGGCATGCTTGTTATCTCCTCAGCATGGGTATGCTTCTACTAGGAATCTCTTTAGGAATGCAAAAATTACCATATTCTGGAAAGAAACTTTGTAGAACAAATTCCAGTACTGCATATTAAGTGAGAGGTCCCATATTACTACCCATGTTCCTCAGGACCTGTCTGACACACGTTTGGTGTCAAGTCATCCTTTTTTTTAAACTGAAATAAAATTCAAAAAATTGAATCCTGAGATAGGAGCAAAAAAAATAACATTTATTTACTTCTGACTACAATTACTTCTCTAAATGACTGATTTAGAGAAGAGGTTCCAAATTAAGTCAAGAAAAAGAAGGCCTAAGATAGAGCAGGGACAAGGTTTCAAAGACCTTATAGTCATTATCTATTTCCTTACAAGTCACTGTACCTCTTCCCTCCTAAAAAAAGAGCCAAACTGAGTTTAAATTTGTGATTCATCCCTGTGTGGCACTAGGAAAATTACCGAACCTTAATAAATACCAGTCTCATCACCTATAAAGACAGAGAAGGGCTCTAAGGAGTCATATGTTTGTAAAAGTTGCTACACACTACACAGTCTAGCAAGCAGTCCATGAGTGAGCAGTCTCTTTCGCTTTCCTTTAGAGAACGAGAAGAGGAGAAAACAGACTTTAAGAGTGGTAGGTGCCACACAGCTTAGAGATCAGAACTTCCAAAAAGTATTAACTGTACTAGCCCACAGAGAGAGAAAGGGAAAAAGTCTCAATCCACAGAATGAGGGTTAAATTTAAAACTCTATGGAAGCAAGAAGATGAAGGAGGTGGATCAATTATCTCCTCACTTCATGCCACTACTCTATGAAAAGGAGCCAGTGAAAAACTGCTTTCATCCACATCTACTTCTAAAAATGAACATTTTATATTCCCTCCTACTATATTCCTCCCAATAATCAGTAATAAAGCAAGGCACAGAACACAGCTACCAGAAGTCATGCAGAGCCTGGTACTCACCCTCCTCGAAGTCTTCCACATGATACCCAGAGAGGACGTTACTAGTTGCTGTCTGTAATTTTTCAAATAAAAGACAATTACGAAATAACCAGTGGATGTTGAATTAAACTTTGACATTTCCAACATTTTTTTAAAGGTGCAGTCGGAATACTTACATTTTTAATGAACATTAGAGTTGCAAATGATATATTTTGCTCTTTGCTCTATACTAAACTATAGTTAAAAGCGGAAAATATGTATCTGTGTGGACCTCATTAAAGGAAAATGGTAGATTCCCTACATAAAAAAGTACCTGGTAGCAAATTTAGAGAAATCTAAGTCCCTAGTCTTGCACACTAACCACCCAATTTTCAGTTCACTCTCCTTTTTCATTACACCTAGAAAATTACTGGCTAATGAGATGCCTTTTCTCCTGCCTCAAGGGCAATGCTACGCTTTGGGGCCTGGAAGGACATACTGCCCAGTCCCCTCACTCTGGGACCTGGTTATCCCACAATGGAACCCAAGGCTGGGAAACCACTCATTCTGATTTTCTGCTCTTCTTGACTTGCTTACTGCAGATAAATTCCTATTCTGCCCCTACAGCTGTCCAATTTAAACCCAGTGTGCCAGCCGTAGCACTTGCTCTTAACTCTTTAGCATTTTACATGCCGGGTTGCTGTCAGTTACATACAGATTGTCAATAACCTGCCTCTCCACATTCCTGTAGCTTACAGACTATCTGGCCCTCGAAAGGTGCTCTGCAAATGTTTGTCAGATAGATGATTACCCAAGCATACTATGTCCAAAGAAAATCTGTCAACTTTATCCTTAATCTAATCCTCCTTCAAGGTTCCTTATCTTGAATGAATGGAGTCACCCTCCTCCAAAGGGATCAGACTGAAGTTCTGAAAGCCATCTTAAACTCTCCCTCTTCTGTCCTGCTCTGAGTATTGCCCCAATCTTACCCAACCAGGTCTAGAATGTGTCTGAGATGCTCTACTCCCACTGTCCCTGTCCTGGGGAAGGCCCTCATTACTATTTGTCACATCTACCCCTGCACCAAATGACTGCAGCTCTTACCCTTTTACCAAGTCACCTCTGGCTCTTTACTTAGCCACCCTGATGCCCTAACCTCAGTTCCCACAATCCCCTCTGCTGTCTCCCACTTACATCTCTTTTACAGCACTAGTGACCCCCAGCTGCCCTGGGGGTATATAACGCCAAGTGCATCTCAGACTGGCCCACCCCACTGTATTTCATGGGTATCTCCGCTTTCCAAAACCCGCTGAATCCAGAACAATACAGGCACTCAGCAAATGCTGAGCTGAATCAGAAGACGCTATCTCAAGACACAATTTGGAATGTCTTGTACCACGGAAAGAGCGTCATCAATGCTACTTAGCTATAACTTAACAATCACATCACTATAATTTATATGCAGTTCTTAAATTGGTTTTTAGGAGCTAGAACTCAATCTCTGTTACTGTTTCTCCATGAAAGTGCCTCTGATTCTCAAACAACTTTACTTATAAGTTTTTAAAGGCAACCCATTCTTCATAAAATAAGGGACTGAATACAAGAATACCTAAGTTAACAAATCAGGAGTAACTGTTCACACTACACAGATTCTATGCTCACAAAGATGGAATAAAAGATCTCTTTAAACTCCACAAGCAAGGTCCAAGTGCCAAAGTCCCACACAAGTCCTTAAAATATGATTCCATTTACCCAGAATAGACAAATATAAAAACAGAAAATTCACTTCTAAGGTGAAAAATTTTAAGTGTCGCCTCTTAAAAACATCAAAATAAATGCATTAAATGTGAAAGAAAAGGAGTAAGAACAAAATGTTTGCTCACAAAATAAAGTCCACAGCATTGATAATTCTTAGAAGGGCCGAGCGGCAGGCCTCAAGCTACTTGAGCCTGGGAATAGCAAGTCTCCCTCAAGGAGCTGATGAAATGAGAAGCTCGGTCTAGGCTGCATATCTGGCTGCTACGGCTTTTAAAGGTTCCAAAGTACTGTGTTTGTTTTTTGTTTTTGAGGTTTTTTTTTTTTTTTTTTTTTCCATAAACACCCTTTTAATATGCTCAGACTCCAAGACAAAAGCAAAATTATCAATTAACTTGTGATCTTCAGTCTTTACTGACACCTTGAGGGAAAGCAGCCAAATTTCATATGGCAAAATTCCTATAAATGTACAATCAAATCCACTGACTTTCTATTTTAAACTTCACTAAAGAATATGCATTGTCTTTTGTTTTTCCTTAACCAGTCTTTATTTCCATGTCTTTGTCCTCATCCATTAGCACTTACTAAATAAGGAGCTCAGTCCAATCTTTAACAAATTGCTGTTATTTTAAAAAATCTAAGTGTAATAATTAATAAGGGTAGCCACTGTTTGTTAGCTTTTCCTAGATGTAATTTTTAAAATTATATTGGTTCACTAACTAAAAAAAATACTACTCTAGTTACAGAGAAAAGAAATTATAAACAAATCTCAAATCACTTCTTCCAAAAGTCAAGTCACAAAATAAGAGCCAAGTGATATTGTGGCCTTACATGTAACAGGATTATAATTTTTTAAAACACATTTGCACGATTACTAAATGTAAAGCTGGTAATTTAATTAAGGAAATAACAGAGAAGGACAAAACCAAAAATCTTAATAAAAGGTCATTTCAATTTATATTCTCATTTTAAAAGCTAAAATATTTATAATTGTCATCTTTATTCCTCAGAAATTAAAAAAACGACATATATACAAGAGACAAAAGCTAATTAGAGCTTACTGGTTCCCAGTTTCACAGTAAGGTAACATAAAACAAAGAAAATAACATTTTTTTTAAAAGCCAATATAATTTTACCAAGACAAACAGTATCTATAACCAGTTTATTAATTCACAAAGATTTTCGTCCTTGCTCATTTGTGTGGGGTCAATCTCCCCAAAAGATCAGATTTTTCTAATGTGCCCAAAGCAGGTCTCCTGTCACCTTAGTGTGAAAATTAAATGTTACTGGAGGCCTGTGAGCCTCAGGAAGTCTACTGCTATTCCTTAAGAATGCAAATTTCGGGCCTTCCCGGTGGCGCAGCAGTTGAGCGCTGGGTTGCAAAGCTGCCCGGCGGCCTCTGCGGCGCCGGTTCAATCCCCAGCTGCTCCCCTGCCACAGGAGGAGGGTCCCACATGGCGCGCAGACCTCTCCTGCCGCCCGCTGCTCCCCTCAGCAGTGTACTTCAGCCCTTCTGCCTGCTCTGCTCCCCACTCTGGCTCTGGTGAATTCTCTCACCCTCCCGCACTTCTGACTGTACCCAGTGCATGTATAAACAAACAAACAAACAAATAAATAAATAAAACATGCCTCTATAAAAAAAAAAAAAAGAATGCAAATTTCCTTGAGTGGAGAACAGTGAGCACCCAGAAGATTAGGCAAACTTCTCTTCTTGCCTAAGTCCTTAGGCCTTCCCTAACTGAAGAAGAAATCACTGCTTTCCCTTTTATGACCTAGAAGAATGTAATTTGAGGGGTCTCATGCAGCTGAAGGTAAATCAATAAGTATGTCTTCTCTGAGACACGGTTCCCCTTTCCTTGACTGTCATCTGAAGTCTCCCTTCCCCTCCCCCCTCAATGCCCCAGGTCCCTAAACACAGGATGAAGATCCCTGGTCTGTTCCATTATTTATTAGAATTTACAACCATATGATTACTCCAAAAGTATGTCATTAAATTGTGTTGTTGATAGGGTGGTGGTGTTCTGGTGACTTGTCCAGCCCAAGAGGAACCCAGAGGGGCACAGGAATATTTCCTCTGTGCCCAGACACTCGTTTGCTGCTACAAACATGATAATATTACCAGATTTAGAATGGGAAATAAACTACCAAAGGTCATGGGTCATGCTCCAGGTCTCGACAAATCCTCTACCTCACTCTCCATGAAACTGGCACCTTATCAACTCTCAGCTCTTTGCTCAACTATCCCATCCCCTGACCACCCAATCCAGGTAAGGTTCTATCACAGAAAACTTACTATTTTCCCCATATTATTTACCTCAAAATATCTGTAATGGGATCAGAAATTTGAGACTCACAAACCTATGAGTCTTTTACATGGTGATGTTGTCCCTGGACTTCAGCCTATCATGTGTCCTCAAGTCCTTCAACAGAGCACATTTTTGTTCCCACTTACCCTGATGTATATTATTCCTATCTCCTAAACCCATCCCCCCATAATAGTCTTTAAATCACAGGCTTCCTCATATTGCTTAAAAAACATACAAAAGGCTTAAGGAATACCTCATTTTTTAATGACAGCATTTTCTAACAGCCAATGTCATTAAAAACTAAAAATTCCCAATCATCTTTCCATTTGCTGGCCAAAGACAGGAATTAAGGACAGAAGAGAAGACCTGAGAGGCAGAGATGTGAGAAGAAGCAAGTTCCCACGATGGGACCAAGCTGGGTTACAGGAGAAGATTGGAAAGTTCCATGACTTCACCTTTATAGTATTGCTTTCTTGGTCCACACACATTGATTTTCCTAAGTCTAATTCAAAACACATACTAGTGACTTAAACTCTTTCCAGACAGATCCATTGAAATAGTCTTACCTCTGTTTCTATGAGAAGTGTTTTCAGTCTTGTCAAATCTTTTGTTACCATCCCATTCTGAAAAAGTGAATGAAAAAGGGAAAAAACAATTAGCACATTTGTTCTCTGCTAAGGGGACTTATAACTGAGTTTCTCAGACATCTCTAAGCTTTAGCTATAGAAATAAACTCTTCTCATCTCCTGCCCCCACTACCATTAATGATGCCAATAAAACTGACCATCTATAAGGAATGCTAAAAAGGTTAACAGGACAAAATATACACTATGCCCTGAACCAATGTAATCAATTTTCCAAAGTTTAAAATTAGTTCAGTAAAGTATTCACAATGGCTACCATTGAAGAAGAAGACAGGGGAAGTGAAGAGAAAGATAAACCTGAACATTACTTTTTTCAATAACACCAATGGGCTATATTTGTAAAATGATGAACTCAATTATTTATCCAAGACTCAAGATTCACAATGATCATACCACCTTGCTATTGATAAAGCAGCCGAAGGAAAATATGCAAATTCACTCTTCTAAAATTCAAGTTTCACTTGAGATTTAAAAGCAAATTTCTTATTCCTAGTTTTAAATCTAAAAACCCAACAGGTAAAAACTGTGCACTAAAAGTTGCCTAAGGGTAGATCTAAATAATAAAGAAGAGAGATATTCTTTGTCATCTACTGAGAACTAAATAGCTATACAATTTTGCTATGTTAATAATATACATTAGCTTTAAAATTCATTCATGAGTTTGGGGAAATCAAAAAACATTGTTTAATCAACTAAATAATTTACTGCACAAGTCATCCTCATAGGTGGGTCACTACATTACTCTCAGCAGTACACTAAGTACATTCCTAAATTCTGCTTTTTAAACCAAATATTTATTTGCAGCAAAAACACAACTTTGCGCCAGATTTTCACAATTCATAGGAATAAAAAAAACACAGGAAACTCTTGTTATTTAGTAAAGTATATACATATACTTTCTTGTTTTCACTGTTTTTCATTGTGAGTCATGAAAAAGCCAGCCAATTTTACAAATTACCAAGTGGTAAATAAAAGTTGTAATATTTCTAATTTCTACAGATGCCAGCTCTAACGTTCCAAAAGTATTCTTTCAATTATCTCAACAAAAAATAATATAGGAAATTAAATGCTATACCAAAAAATTTTACTCCAGAGTCTAAAAATTATTAGATAGCTCCAATCAGAATGGTAACGAATATTAACTTATACACATACCATCTTCAAAGACAAAAATAATTACTGGTTAGTTTAAATAAATTTAAAGATTTCATAAAATAAATGGCTAATTCTAAAAACCTTTAAGATTATATGTCCACAGGACCATTTTAAAACCAAAAATACTTCCAGGTCCCATTAAATTATATCTTGAAAGAAAATCATTTACTTGTCCTTTATTTTCAAGCTCTAACAAGTACCTGCAAGGTTTATGTATATCATGATGAACTACATGAATCCAATGATTAAAATTCAGTTTGTTGAAGAAAAATGAGTATCTCAAGATACTCATGAACTCTGATTTCTGACAGAAGGAACTAAGATGAAAAATGCGCGAAGTATTTCCCCCCCAAATTTGCCTATGCAATCAAATGAATTGAATCCATTTTCAGACCTTCAAAATTAGAAATCAACATACCAGGGACTCTCCTGTCAGTGACTTGGCAAGAATGCTGGACACAGGTTGGAGCTTTCCTTTCAGTTGCATGCAGCAAAGCACTGCCCGAAAGGCACCGTCTCCCTTGGCCAGGCCTTCTCCCAGCACTATCGTGAAAGAATGGCCATCATTAACCATGTGACATTTAATACACACCACTCCTGATTATATTATTAGCGCACACAATCCCAAGAATGACTTCTTATATGCTCAAAGAATAACACTGAGAACTAACTAGAGGAAAGCTGGGTTCCAATTCCATCCAGAACATGGATGAAGGAAAGAAAGAAAAGGCAGGGACAACCAGCATGCCTGACCCGCTACAGTCTAGAGCCAAAATCAAAGGGAGAAGAATCAATCTTTAAGCTTTAAGTTTTCCAGTGAAAACTACTACTGTCTATGATTTCTGGATAAAGGAGGACTTTCAAACTGCAGCTATCCACTGAATAAATTCTAACATTTTCACAGTCACACAAGAAACCCAAGGCCATTAAAACCCATAAAAATAGAAACTGCAAAACTTGGTATCTGGTATTCATAAGCAATTAAAATTAGCCTTTATCAAAACCAGCAACTTTACATACATACTCAACTGTCAACTGGTCACAGAAAATGCTGCCCCAACTGTCTGCAAGTGTTCACAGATTTAAGTTAATACACTTACATGAGGTACATATTTCTAAAATACAAAATATACTCTTTTTTTTTTAAAGATTTTTTTATTCATTTATACAAGCACTGGGTACAGTCAGAAGCGCGGGAGGTAAGAGAATTCACCAGAGCCAGAGCGGGGAGCAGAGCAGGCAGAAGGACCGAGGTACACTGCTGAGGGGAGCAGCGGGCGGCTGGAGAGGTCTGCGTGCCATGTGGGACCCTCCTCTGGTGGCCGGCTAGCAGCAGGGAATCGAACCAGCACTGCAGAGGCTGCGGGCAGCTTCGCAACCCAGTGCTCAACCGCTGCGCCACCGGGGAGGCCCCAAAATATACTCATTTTTATGCCATTTCATTTGAGATGATTTCTCACAGCAACTGCTACCAGTTCAACTAGTAAAACAATCTGTATCCTCTTTACTGCGAAGTTCAAGATTCTATTTTTAGTTTGTACACACTTTAGCTCCTTTTCAAGAAACTAATTTGCTGAGAGAAAATACTCTAGAAATTGCATTTTTTTCTAATTCTAAGAAAACGTTTCTTTTTGTTTTTTTAAAGATTTATTTTTATTTATTTATGCATATAACAACTGGGGTGTAGGCCAGAGGTGAGGGGAGGGAGGTACAGAGGGACTGGGTTGGGGGAGATAGGATTTACCAGAGACAGAGTGGGGAGCAGAATAGGCAGATTCACTGAAATACACTGCTGAGAGGAGCAGTGAGGGAGACAGGAGAGGTCTGCTGCACCTTATGTGGGTTAGCAACCTGGCCAGGGATCAAACTCAGGCCTCAGCAGTGACAGCATGACAGCGCTGAGACTTAAGCCCAGACCAACAGGGAGGACCCCAAGAAAGCATTTCTTTTAGAGATTAGTATTATATACTACATAAGGTCCACATGGATTGTTCCTATTTATTTTGGTTGTGCTGAATATATTGTTTTGTGAAATGTTTGATTTTTTTATACACAAATAACATTATAACAACACTAATAAAATTCTATATAAAAGTTCACTATAACTGGGGCCTCCCTCGTGGCACAAGGGGTTAAGTATTAGCATTATGAAGCTAATAGCACCACTCAGTGCAAGTTCCAGCTCTGGCCAGGGAGGTGACCCACATGGCGCAGAAGATCTCTCCTGTCTTGCCCGCTGCTCCCCTCAGCAGTGTATTTCAGTCAATCTGCCTGTTCTGTTCCCCACTCTGTCTCTGGTGAATCCTCTCAACTCCCGTACCTCTGGCCTGCACCCCAGCTGTTGTATGCATAAATAAATATATCTTTTTTTAAAATTAATAAAAGTTCACCATAAGTTCACCACTCAACTAAACAAACTTTTCACTTATTGACAGTCTCTCCCAATTCTTGTAAATGTTTACATGATGTGACTAACATAAATGTTTACATTCTGCTTTTTCCCCCTTAGCACATTCAATATTTTATATATCATTAGAGTGCTTATATATCATATTATTGTCTATAATGTTCCATCAAGTATATACATCAATTTAACTACTCCCTCCCCAACAAGTCCAAATTTCTTCTAATAAAAATAACACTTCATGCATAAACATTTTCATGCATACACCCTTTATTGAATCTAAACTAGAAGCTGCAGTCTCTCTATATTTAAGCTTTCATTCATTTACTTTCAGTTTGGGCCAACTTGTCTCTCCATACAATTGATATCTACTCAGCTATCACTGGATAATTTCAATTTAGAGTTTCTTTAAATGTATCTTGAGCATCTAATAAAATTCCAAGGTAAGCCCACATCTCCCTCGGGTCTTACTATTCCTAAAACTATTCAAACATGACCTAAGACAAGTCATTTTATCTCTCTGGCCCTCAGTGTGGTCGGTCATCTGCAAAATAAACACATGTGAATTTGTTATAAGGATAAAATGATACAATGCAAATAAAATGCTGTGAAGGAAAATGACAGTCCTACTAAGGTCTGAAATTCTTATAAATTCACCTCCTTGTAAAAAGGAGGTGACAGTAGCTACAGTAGTAGCTACCTTATAAGGTTCCGGTAAAGATTGTGGTAATTATATGAAGAATCTAACATATCTCCTCTAAAAGTTTCCTAAATTTACCTTCCCCTTCTAAAAATTATAAAGCAGTAGCACTGAGAACTACTAAGAAAATAGTCTAGTTCCTTTTCAGTAATCGGGATATTAAGAAACTAATTGACACAGGTTGAAAAATATTTCAGGGGGACAAAAAAAAATTCTAACATTTCAACCTCAAATGATTATGTCTTGTTTCAAGAATATTAAATCACATCACATTTTCAAACATTTCTCACGGATCTTTGGTTTTTGTATAAGGTATTTGCTGAATTTTGTTTTGCAAAGATTCCTCCATTACACTGACGTCTGAATGTCTCAATATATGTCAAAATTATGTTCCTCTTTTCTCTTTTTAGATAAGAAGCAATATTGATATCCTTCTTTTCCAGCTGTTCCTTTAAATGCAATTCAGTTTGTCTTGCAGGTTCCCACATAAAGAACGATGGCAAAGAAATAGTCAACAACTATAGATAAAAAGCTCCCTTACTACACAGTATCATATAACAAAATTAATTAAATTGCAAAGCTGCCAATTGGGTACCTTATTATCTTTCGTATCGTAGAAAAGCTTGAAAGAAAACAGAGTATGGCTTAGTGTATCATTAAACTAGCCTTAGCTATATAATAATTGAACTTGCCAAAAGATTAAAAAAAAAATCCAACTTTGAGAATTTTAAAAAAGTTACAAACCTGTGCATGTAAATTCTCTTCTCACTGTCTGTGAGATTGTACTGTGAGCACATAACTGTTCCCAACCTGAACTGGAGCTCCTTCCTGTCCCTTGGAAGTTACGCCTGGTGGCGCAAGAGGTTAAGTCTCAGCACTATGAAGCTGTCGGCAGCCACTGCAGCATGAGTTCAATTCCCCGGCCAGGGAGCTGACCCACATGGCACTGAAGACCTCTCCTGTTTGGCCTGCTGCTCCCCTCAGCAGTGTGCTTCAGTCAATCTGCCTGTTCTGCTCCCACTCTGTCGCTGGTGAATCCTCTCATCTTCCCTCCCTCCCCCAAAACACACACACCTCTGGCCTACACCCCAGCTCTTGTATGCATAAATAAAATAAATCTTGAAAAAAAAAAACTTCATGATCTCATTTACAGAATCCTTGGTTGTACAAGTTTTAAAGTTAAGCATTATAGGAGTAAGAAGTACTTTTTTCTTCAACAGCAGTTCATTGTAAACAATTCTGGACTCCCTTCTGGTATTTTCATCCTATAGAAACTTAAGTCGTTTCTCCTGGCTTATGTTCAGCATACCAGTTTAAATTTTAAAGCTAATTCACTCAACTTCCTAATTACTACACAAATACAAATTATACACCATAAAAAGCTGACAACACAATTAAGCATAAAAACAAAGCTGAATAACCTGCTTCCCCAGAAAAATCATAGAAGATTTTTATTTCATCTACTTAAGGCACTATTAAAATGATATTTGTAAAAGTAGCCTGTCCTATATTAGGTGTGCTGTAGAGAGACAATCAATTTGCTGCTCTCAACACCTTCAACTTCCACTTTATAAAGAACTCTAATTTCCAAGATGCATTTGCCATATAGTTACAGCAAAGTTAACCTCTATTAAATGTTGAATAACTGGACTAAGAAGGTTTTTCTATTTTAAAAAATCACTTTAACTTTATTTTTTATCTTGAAACTCTTTCACTGCCATCATTTCCATTTCAAAGTCAACATCTTGCCCTCTCTGTTGTAACCACTCAAAGGAAATCCAGCTTATGGAAAAGCAAGATTTTTCTCAAATTCTCTGCTAAGGCATTCCCTTACTTCATTGTTTCTATGTTTGTTTGTTTTGACTAACCTACTTACTGAGAAAAACTCTAACCTTTTGCTATTCTTGTATTTCCTTTGCTCTGTGGGAGAGCTCTGCTTTCATGTTTTCAAAATAATCTTAATTTTAGTTCCTCGTTTGGTACAGTATTTACTGAGATTTTATAACACATGGTATCATTCCCTTTACATATAAATATAATTTCAGTTAGTATAAAATTAATGCTTACAAATTTCCATGTGTCAAAAGTAACAATGAAATACATTTTAAAATATTACTCATGTCTAAATTAGAAAATGCCTAGAATGACAGTCTTACCACTATGATGAGACAAAACTCCTGAAACTGCATTCAGAGAAGTTCAAAGATAATTGCTTATTTAAACAAGAAAGAGTCTGCGTATTTAGAAGATAACATAGTCCTCAAACTTAACTCAAATATTAAGTAAACATTCATTACCCTCATTTATATTCTGTCCCAAAATTAGTATTCTATAATTTAACTTATTATTCCTATCAACTTAAATATAAGGCCATTATTTAAAATAATTAGTAGATATTACAGAGAAATGAAGAGTGAAAGTCAAAATTCCATTCCATAA